CTTGTTTATCTCCTGTTGGAATGTTCAATTCATGTATGCTTGGAAGGTGGCGGGGGAATTGCAAAGGCCGAAAAACATGACATTTGGCTCGAAGAGACCATATTCCGTGGTGAAAGCTGCCTTCCATCGATCATCAGGATGGATATGGATATTGTTGTATCCAGAATGGACATCCATTTTCGTGAAGTATTTGGCACTGTACAACCAAGCAACCAGCGAAAGCAGTAATGGAAGGGGATAGGCGTTTTTAACCGTCCAATCGTTGATATACCGGTAGTCCTGGCAGGGGTGTAGATCTCCACTCTTCTTTCCTACAAAGAAGAATCTGCTTGCTTGCGGTGATTTCGATTCCGAGATAAACCCTTTCTTTATGTTCTCATCAATAAAAGCCTTGACTGCCGTGCATTCCGCTTCTGATAATGGGTACACCTTGGATGTTTTGGGGATAAAACCGGGCTTGGTCTCAATGTGATGATCTATACCAGGTCATTCAGGTGGTAACTGGTTAAGACCATCTTTTGCAAAGATGTCGGCGAAATCATGGAGGTAGGAGGGGATGAGTTCTCCGAATGATTTTTTCTTCTGCTCAAGTCCTGCTGCTAATGCAGACTGCTGTGCCTTGTTACTGGTTTTGACGTATTCTGCTGGTCATGACAGGGGTGCAACCATGGGTCATCGCTCTACAGCACTAGTGCTGTCTTTGGTTAAGGGAGTGTCCAAAGAGACGTTAGTGATAACCCGAAGCTCAGAAGCATTGATGGGATATTTGACCAAGAATTCATCATCTTCAAGGTGGTATGTAGCAATTTTGTGCACAGATGGTGCATAATCCGCGGTCCATACATCATCTTTGGTATTGAAGGAGTTGTCATCGTCATCAGGGATGGGGTCAAGGTTAGGTAGTACCGGCGGAGTTTCTTCGTCTAAGACTTCCGTAATGGTAGTTCGTAGTGTCGGTTCTTTGGGCGATGCAGCCACAACCATCTCTACAGGAGGCGCCTTCGGCAGCACTACAGCTGGAGTTGGTTCTAGTTTTCGACCATTGTTCAAGAGTTTCTCGAACAAGGGTGGAAGGTTGTTTTTCTTCCATTCGATATTGACCTCTTCTTCTATTTGATCACTCTTTCCAGTTCTTGAGAGTTCTAGCGTTTCCGCTCTCCATTGGATTACTGGATCCATAGTGCGTAGCCAAGGGATCCTGAGTAAAATCTGATCACGATGGCCAAGCTGTGTGATGTTAAACTTTCCAATCATAGATCATTCATCAATCTTTACAATGAGGACACAATATCAAGTGATAGCTCCTCCTTTCACATAACTTCCATCCGCAGTAGTGACTCGGAATGGTTTTGATAGTTTATGCATATGGATTCCATGAGTTTTGACAAACTCTTCGGAAATAAAGGTTCTGGTGGCACCAGAGTCAACAATGGCTGTTGTTTCGACAGTTTTCAGACAAGTTTTGGAGATGAGAGAAATGGGAATGTGAAGTTCCTTTCTGATTCCAATACTTTGTACAAGTCTGATAGGTACATCGGAAGATACTGATGTCGATCCAGTCTTCCACATCAAAAATCCTTGGTAAGACGACAGATCGTTGTATCTCCTTCTTCCGAGTCGCTGTCCTCTATTTCTTCACAACAGACAGGGGTCTTCTTCTTCTGTGGGCATGCTTTGGTCATATGCCCTTTCTGGTGATATGTGAAGCATAGTCCTTTCTTCATATGGTCACTTCTCTCTGCTTCTGTAAGTCGATCTACTTCCATGGCATTTGGATTGTGCCGATCAATAGTCAGTTTAGGCACATATCGCTGTCCAGTAGATTTGGTGGCAGTGCGGTGGACCTGCCGGAATGTGGCGCCCCTTTGCCAATTGCTGTCAAGCCTAATGGCTGTGGCGACATATTTGTCGAAGTCTGTGGGGATGGTCTCCATCTGAAAGATGGAGTTGATGATTCCCTTCTTTAACCCGTCATTAAAAAACGTAATTAAGATGGCGTCTTGCTTTACTGAGGCTTGTACAGCAAGGGTCTTAAAACTGGCGATGTAGGAAGTGAGGTTGCCGGTTTGTTTCAAGGTTCGGAGTTATTCATGGCTGTGCCGATAGCATCTGCCGGTACGAAGGCTTCTTTGAATTTGGTTTCAAAATTCGTGAAAGTCCCATAAGACTTGGAGGAGGAGTTATTGACTTTGGTGTAAAATGTAAGTGCCCAACCCATGGCACTATCTTCAGTCATGTATGCAAGGGCGGTAATGACTTTCTTTTCATCAGTGTTGTAGATTGTAGCGTTAAGCGCAAAATATGCCTTAATCACATACAACCATCTCAAAGCTTGCTGGGGGCTCCCGTCATAAGATGTGGGTGCTCTGGCTTTGAGTTCTGGGTTACTGGTGGTCATTGACATCCTGAGCTTTCTGGTCTAGTGATGTTTTCTGTGCAGGGAACGGTTTGTTTCTCTCTGCTTCGATCTTGGTTCTGGGACCTTTTGGATGGAAAGGGTCGGGGTTTTACTTTAATCCTTTGTTATGAACTAGGATAGTTGCAACAACAGCTGCTCGATAAGAGCGACAGCTGAAGTTGAATCAAGACCTTACAAATGTAAGGGTCGGTTAAGACAAGTCAAAGAGAGTGTCTCTGACTTGAATATCAGTGTTCAGACGACCTAAGATTGGAGGTCTTAGGCGAAGGAAGTTCTGGTGAAAACCTAGTAGGATTAAAGTAAAGATCTACTAAGTACATGACTGGGTTTATATAGATGTAAGTACTTTAGGGCAGGTATGTATGCGTCAGTGATGAGTCAGAGATAAGGGATGAGTCAGAGATAAGGACGAGTCAGAGATAAGGGTGAATGAGTCATCTAGCAACAGCAGTGGCGATCGTGATGTAATACAGATATGGTAAGAAGTAAGTCTAGTGATGGCGCAGCAAGGCGCGGTCATGACGTAATACACAAGAGAAGAGGAAAATGAATAGGGGCAAGCATTACTGTAACACCTACAGTATATAAACCTCCTGTAACTCTCAGAAATACTCCAGTTCAAATATCATCTTAGTTCCTGCTCATTCCTGTGTCCTCCGGACTTGAGATACAGTGGCTCAAAAAACTGTCCGCATGTTTTGACATTTTTCACTATCTATGATATTGTGTGAGAATGAACAAATGCCTCAAGGACATGCTTATACCACATTGTAGTATGGCTTCAGGGCTTTCATTTGAGCCCTACACCATGGGAATCGGTGGAGACATAAGGCTTACAAAATCATGACTCATGCAGACAGTTTTCTGAGCACATATTAAAACTATATAAATTATCATTTATGACACCATAACAATCATGCCACCATTAAATAAATTATGAAGTGGTGTCATTATGTCATTTTAAAACCATATCTAACTATACAAACCAAAAATTTCCATATGTCATGGTTATATTCACCATGAAAGCCACCCCCCCTGCTCAAAGGGATAATATCCTCTCTCTTTCCTATTCTGGCCTCTCTGCTTGTCAAATTTCCTCTAGAACTGGAGTATCCAAGTCCACTGTGGCCAAGTTCATCAAAGAAAGTCACACAGACAAGGAAAACTTCTGTGAAGGGCATCCATCCAAGCTCACCTCTACTGATAGGAGGGCTATTATTCAACATATCACTACAGGAAAGGCTGATAATGCTGTCCAGGTCACCTATTACATCAATTCCACCATCACATTCCCTGTCTCTTCACACACTGTGAGAAACATTCTCAAGACAGCTCATCTCAGGTCAGTAACAAGGAAGAAAAGGCTTTCCTCTCTATCACACATAAACAGAGATGACTAACCTTTGCCTTAGCCCATCAGAATTGGATTACATGGACTGGAAGCATGTTATATGATCATATAAGACCACAATAAATAGGATTGGGTCAGATGGCAAGGTATATATGTGAAAAAAAAAGGGTGCTAGTCCTCTCTGCATATGTGTGATAGAGAGGAGAGCCTTTTCTTCCTTGTTACTGACCTGAGATGAGCTGTCTTGAGAATGTTTCTCACAGTGTGTGAAGAGACAGGGAATGTGATGGTGGAATTGATGTAATAGGTGACCTGGACAGCATTATCAGCCTTTCCTGTAGTGATATGTTGAATAATAGCCCTCCTATCAGTAGAGGTGAGCTTGGATGGATGCCCTTCACAGAAGTTTTCCTTGTCTGTGTGACTTTCTTTGATGAACTTGGCCACAGTGGACTTGGATACTCCAGTTCTAGAGGAAATTTGACAAGCAGAGAGGCCAGAATAGGAAAGAGAGAGGATATTATCCCTTTGAGCAGGGGGGGTGGCTTTCATGGTGAATATAACCATGACATATGGAAATTTTTGGTTTGTATAGTTAGATATGGTTTTAAAATGACATAATGACACCACTTCATAATTTATTTAATGGTGGCATGATTGTTATGGTGTCATAAATGATAATTTATATAGTTTTAATATGTGCTCAAAAAACTGTCTGCATGAGTCATGATTTTGTAAGCCTTGTATCTCCACCATATCTCCTCTGATTCTCATGATGTGGTGCTCAATCCAAAGCCCTGAAGCAGCACTACAATATGGTATCAGCATGTCACTGAGGTCTTTATGTATTCTCACACAATATTGTAAATAGTAAAAAATGCAAAAACATGTGGACAGTTTTTTGAGCCACTGTATAACCCCTGTAGATACTCCCGTAGTTCCTCAGTTTGAATGTCATCTTAGATCCTGTTCCCTCATCTTAGACTTTGCTCTACTTGCCCAATCCTCTCTTGGACTTTGGTCCACCTAAGTCTGTCCTACTCATCAGGCCTAGGAATTGATTCCCTAGGTCAGAGCTTTGCCTTTCTGGCACTTACCCTCTTTCTGGACTTAGGTCCAATCCCTGTTCTCTCCGACTCTACCTTAGGGTAGTCTACCTCTGTTTGTTTCTACATCAGACAGAGTCCGATGTAGCCCCTATTCCTTCTGGACCTCCAGGTGTCCTGTCCTTCAGATGTCCTGCTCTCCGTACCTCTGGACATCCTGTCCTCCTGTCCTCCTGTCCTCCCATCCTTCCATCCTGTTTCCTGTAGAAGTATTACCTTGCAGTGGGAACTCTCCTGAGCACTTCCTGCGTTCCCCTGGAACTCTCCCATATTCCTCTGGACATTTCCTGTGCTCCTCCAGAAGTCCTCTAGCACTCCACCAGAGTAGCCAGCCTCTGGACTTTGTCAGACCATCATCAGACCTCATATGAAATGAAGGGCACATACTTGGGTAAGGGGCACAGCATATGAGCTGAGGCCAAGCCCCTCTGAGTCAGTCTCTCTCTCCTTTGAGCAACATGGTTCTTAACAATCACTCACAATAAATGGGAGCTGGAATAGAGATGGAACATGAGCTCCTGCAGGTAAAATGAGGTGAGAAGGATATGACAAGATGGCAGGAATTGGACTTACTTGTCTGTGTTGTGCTTATATATATCATCCCTGAACATGATGTAGTGACTTGGCCTGCTAGCTGCACAAATAATCAGCCAATACAAAGACAATGTGCAGATTTGAACATGTTGGAAGGATTTTGATTAAGAAAATTGGGAGTGGGAAACACACTGCACAAATAATAAATGTGCAGGTGTTAAATGTTACACCATAGAACATGGAATATTGAAATGTGAAGCCCAACATTTGTGTGTATTTGTTTTTCACACATGACTTTCAGTTTGAAAAGTTTTCAATTTACTTCAAACCCTCAACTTCAACCATGTTGCATCCTCCATAATTTCTGTGTTCTGTATGGTAAATATCTAGTCCCTTCTAATTTTTAGAGGAGTTTCTATATGTGGCACATCATCCTTCAAGCTTGAGTTGTGCTGATCAAAGCTGTTGCTTACTGTTTGTAGTATGTGAATGTATCAGTCCTCCTTTGAGCTCAAGTTGTGTTGATTTTTTGTCGAGTTCAAGCAATTGATAATCAATTGGCAGGAGGTCTTATTTAAAGTTATTTTACATGTCCAGCATACTTTTAGCACTACTTTCCCTCAAGTCCAGACTTAGTTGGTGTGTCCTCTGTCTTTCTTTTTTTGCCTGTACTTATCATTAAGTGTCTCTAGTACTCATGTAGTCTTTGGTTTATTGGGTGATGTTTCCCTGACAAGTCATAAGATGCTGACTGCTATTTTCCCTCCCCCATATCATTCTTGTGTCCTACTCTCCTACCATATCCTTGACTGCTCCTTCAAGTACCTGATGTTCTGTCCTTGTAGCTCACTGCTTACATTGACACTTGGACTATTACCTTAGATTTAAAGTACTCTGTTTGTGCTTGATAATATAAACTCAATTTGTGTCTTTTATTGCTTGAGTGATGAAAATGAACCTATTGTAACCTGTAAGAACACTGTTAGGACTTTCACTAATTGGTTTTAGGATTGCTCTAGGATGACAAAAATTAGTGCTAATTAGAAAGGCACCAATTAAAATTTTCTAGCCATCTAATCCATCTAATTAACAAAAGTTAGGATAATTAGCTCTAATTGATTCTAACTAGTGGGGGAGGTTTTTCCTGATGTGCATCATAGTGAGAATGAGTTTGGTAGCAATGTATAGGCAATAAAGGCTCCATAGTATGGTACTAGAAAAAACACAAGTAGACATCAGTAAACCACAATTTTTCCCACAGACATGGGCTACTGGACAGTTTCCCACAGTACCTCACAGTGTGGACAGAGTTCACAGACCTACAGATGTGCACAGAGGCCTATTCACACAGCTCCCTCACTTTGTCCAAAGCTAACAGACATCACATGCTTTCAAGTTAGCACACCATGGGATGTTCAAATACTAGTGCAGAGACACAACACTTTACACTTGACTACTAGTACTAGTAGGATAAATCTTGCAAAGTTCTAATACAAGAGAAACATATTTATGTATAGTGAATATACATAGTATGTAAGACTACTAAGACAAAAGTTGCATGTATAACTCCAAGCCTTATGCTACATCAATTGAGCTGAATACTAATATTACAGCTGGCCCCCAAATGGATGGAAGGATCTGTAGTTTGTATCACATAGTAGCACATTGATGTCCCTACACTGTTGGCAGACTTACTGGCATTGTGTGCAGGTGCATGATGAGAAAGACCATGTTTATTGAAGGTGATTTGCATATATCCTAATTGTCATATCCACATATCTGGATCTCAGATCCGATCCACATCTTATCCCCCTCCAACATCTCATCATCCAATCTGCCCACTCGTCTGGTCCAGTCCACAATTCATCCAAATCCACGACCAGCACTCTTCTCCTTTCGGTAATCCCCTGACTCCAGTACTTTGGCTATCTATATATCTGTCCTGCTCACTGATCCATTACCTATGCTTCATTTCCGTTTCATTATTTGTGATCCATTTCTACTTACAAATAGACTATCCATATGTTTTGTACATAGCCTCAGACCCTGCTGATTGATCATCCCGTTAGATACCTATAGTATATAACCTCCTATAAATCTCTGTAATACCTTAGTTTGAATATCATCTTAGTTCTGCTCATTCCTGTCCTCCAGACTTGAGTATCTCTACTCTTGTCATTCTCTGAGACTTAGGATTGATTCCTATAGTCTATCCATATCCACCTCTGTCTATGTCAGTCCATACCATTAGCTTCTAGTCTGGACTCATCTGGGTTAGCCTTATGATACTTATCCTACATCTGGAAGTCATCTGGATCTACTATGCTACTCATCCTACCCTCTGGATGTGCTAGTCTTGTCCTCCTGAAATAAGGGGCAATACTTGGGTAAGAGGCACAGCACATGAGCTGAGGCTGAAGCCCTTAGGATCTGTTTAGTCTTGAGTATGACCTTAACACTAATCTAATATCTACCTTGTTGAGTTTCTGCTTGGAAATGTTCAACTTGAATTTCAATAGACTGGTCATCAGTTCACACTCATGGACCATGTAATCAGTAAGCAATTTTTCAGCCCTGAAGACATCTCATCTGGCCCTTGTGAGTTCCATAACTAGGTTAGCTTCAAGTTTGTCAGCATTATCAATTGTCTGGATAAGCACAACATATGATGTTAACATAAATTTGAAATGGAGGCACTTAATATTGATACAATACCATCAGCAACATTATACAGGTCTGGGAGACTGCAACCACCTGAATTTAAGGTTTGGTACAAAGTATGAGGCCAGTAGCAAGAGAATGTCTTATTTGAGGTAGAAGGGATATTGTCAGTAAGATTAAGACTAGTAACAGATGGGTTCAACACTTGTGACTATATGTTCCTTAGGGCTTCCAGCTTGTTGATTGAACATCGCCACAACTGTATAGCATTCAGTGAAATCCATGCTGACTTCTCAGAATGTACTAAGTATATATTGCCTTGAAGATTTCTCATACTTATAAATGTCCCTATACTATACTATGTTTCAGTGTCCTTTGTGTGGCAAAGGAGGATTCAAAGACAATGTTGCTGTTGCCTATCACATGAACCAAACTCACTTGGGATGTAGCAGATGGCTACAGGATGTGATACAGCTCCAGACCAACTACTCTATGACTGTTGACAACTCACACATGCCACATGACTTGCATCAAGACTATGAACCTAAGGACTTCAGAGTTATCAACTCAGATGAAGGTGTTTTTACCAGTCACATTGATAAGGAAGACACACTATTCCTGATGCCTCTCAGACATATGACAAGGGTCATACATTTCTTGATTTATTTCACTCTGATGAGAATAGCATATATCGTATAAAGAATCCTTACTACCCATTTAGTGGTTGGAAGGAGTGGAAAGTTGCATCATGGCTATTGTGTTCTGGATTGAGCATGGGAAAGATTAATAGTTTTTTGTCACTTGAGATGGTCAGTGCACAATCATTTTCATTGGCAAAGTCTGACAGGGTTCCCATTTATATTAAGGATCTTTCATTATTATTCTCTTCTGCTAAAGAGCTACAAGGTAGGGCTGAAATGTTTCCCAGCAGTCCACACTGGATGTTGCAAGTAATTCCTACCAGCCATCTCACAGAATTGCCCATCATATTATACTGGCATGACCCCTTGGACTGTATCTTGAGCATACTAAACCATCCTATGCTTCACAAAGAGTTAGACTTTGCACCTCACAGAGTGTATACCACTGTGCAGTGGCTGTGTCATGTGTACTCTGAGTGAATGACAGGTGATGATGTCTGGAAGATGCAGGTGCATGGTCTTGTTGTTCAAGCCATTCTAAGTACTTATTAATTCCAACAGTCAAATCCACCAAGTGGTGCAACCCTACTAGGGACTATTTTGTTGTCAGACAAGACCAATATATCCATGATAACAGGTGACAGAGTTGCCCACCCACTCCTCATCAGTCTCATGAACATGCACATGTCTACTTGACTCAAGGTATCATCCAGTGCTTTCTTGCTCACTGCCCTACTCCCTGTGCCCAAATTCACTCATAAGAAGAAACACTTGTGAGGTGTGTTGGAGGATTGTCTGATTCATCAATGCTTGGATATTGTTCTTGCACCACTTAAGCAGGCCACTTGTGAGAGGGTCATGTTATCAGATCAGGTTAGGCATAGTCATTATTGTTTTACCCCACTCACAAGCTATATCATTAATACCCTGGAGACCATGATGCTTGCCACTGTTGGCGGGAAAATGTCTTCTGTTACCATGGCCTCATGCAAACAATTTGGAGATCCTTTCCTCCATGAACCTTGAACTAGATCAACTACCCTCACACAACTAGCCATCATCCAGAAAAGGTTGACCCCAGCAATATTGAAGTGTTCTTTTGTGAAGTGCAGAAATTTTGCTTGAATGGAGTTGATAAGCCTTTCTGGTTAGATTGGATCATGGCTGAACCATCATATTTCCTCACTCTGGAATTTCTTCACCATTGTCACTGAGAGTCCTTTGACCATGATACAAAATGGATCATCTGTGCTGTTGGGGAAGTGGAAATTGATTTCCATTTCTCTGTGTTGTAGCCTGTGATGGGCTTTCACCATTTCCATAGCAGGATCTCAAAGCTGAAGCAGGTTACAGGGCATGCACAATGTGACATCCAATGCTTGATCATTGCAGTTGCTGCAGATGCAGTACCTAATGCTGTGATCACTGCTGTACAAGTGTTGATGGATTTCTGTTATCTTGTACAGTTGACACAGATTGATGATTGTGAAATTGAGTGCATTTCAACAGCACTGGCTGAATTCCACACTAACAAGCAGGCAATCATAGATGCTGGGTTCCATCAAGGCAAGGGTGACAAAGTCATTGATAATTGGTACATCCCAAAAATAGAGCTCACACAGAGTATCATTCCCAGTATTTGCAATACTGGTGTTGCCATGCAGTGGACTGCAGACACTATGAAGCATGTGCATGTCACTGACATCAAAGACCCCACACAATCCAGCAACAACAACAATTATGATGCACAAATTTGTCGCCATCTTGACCATGCTGACAAGTGCTGTCACTTTGAACTTGCCATGAGTCTACTGGACTTGCTGAACCAATACACGTACCTAGATGAATATGATGACAATATAGATCTTGATGTTCACAATGATCACAATCACCCTGTGGACCTCCTGGCAACAACCAGTAGCCCTGGTTATTCATGACTAATTACTGATTACTTTGCAATTGCACAGACCCTTCTGCACAAGGAGGTAGGGACAATCCCTGGGCACTTTCATTGTTGGACAGCATATAGCAGTTTATCTTGCCTATGATCTGTCAATTAGAACCCTCTCCGTCAATGACACTGCCCTCAAATTTAACCTTCCTGACTTATGGCCAGCTCTTGCTGACTTCCTTCATCATGAAGATACCTATGGAAATAATCACATCTACACAATTGGTGGGGCTAGGAGAGCTGGACACAATGCCCTACTTCCTTTTGATAAACTACAAATTTGGTTCAAAGTTCAGCTTCAGGACATGGACATTCATGATGCTAGTACTGTGTAGCCTACACAGACCCTGAACTGTGCACCACCTTGTGACCTCTGGACCTCTGGCCAGTATGATACAGTCATTGTCAATCACAAGGGAGGGTACTTGTGGCCCACTGATGGTCTTCATGGTGAGTTGTTATGTTCTTCTGTTATGTTGCAAACTATCTCATTGAATATCTAGGTCATAGTGTTGCTCAAATCAAGCTTATTATCTGTCCAATTGGAAAGAGGGGCACAGAATGGTTATGGAAAGATTGCTTTCTCACTTATGTGGAACAATTTGACATTGGCGATTGTGAACCAAACACGCAGTTATATTTGCTCAAGAGGGTGAAACAGTCAAATGGGACTTGGATTGGTGATATCATTCCAGTTACTCAGCTTAGGGCACCCATTAATATTGTCCCTCACTTTGGTGCAAGTGCAGATAATCATCTCACCCTATATAACAGCAATGGAGCCCCTTCAGTGACAAACTCCATATTAGATGGGCCAGTGGACTATGGGCCAATGTTATGTATATCCTTGATGTTGACAGGTGGGCTGGGAGGAATATTATTTCTGATGGGGATGGGTGGGCCCATCTATGCCAATGTTATAAATATCCTTGATAATAGCGAATGGGCTGGAAGAAATATTATTACCGATGGAGATGGGTGGGCCCATCTGGGCAATATGTAGAGTAGGATAGACATATATTATAGACAGCTGGGCTGAAGAGAGATGTATGGCAGATATTATTATATAGATGGGTGGGCCAATGGGGCAGTGAAATATGTATTATATATATGGGTGGGCTGGCATAGGGTATATTACATAGACAGGTGGGCCAATGGAGGGGGATGTCATATAAATGGGTGGGCCCAGATACATATCATTTAGACATATGGGCTGAGGTATTGGTATACTATATGGACATATGAGCAATGCTGTTGCACTAGTTTGATCCAAGTCATTAATGACATTCAGACTCAGATTCTGTCAACATTGATCAAAGTCAACACAGTGAGTACTGGATCCCAAAACCCAAACATCAAACCCTGAACATCAAAACCCAAAACCTGAAACTTTGAAACTCCAACATCAAGTCTTGAAACTCAAAACTCATACATTTTTACGACTTTTGAGTATTGAATCACTGAGTCCCAAAACCCAAACATTGAACCCCAGATATTGAAACCCAAAACATGAAACTTCAAAACTCCAACATCAAAACTCAAAACTCAAAACTCAAACATTTTTATGACTGTCAAGTTTTGAGTTTTGAGTGTTGAGTTTCCAGTCTTGAATCACTGAGTACCAAATACCAAATGCTGACACCTGAAGTTGTGTCAGTACTTGTCATATCCGCATATCTGGATCTCAGATCCAATCCATATCTCATCTCAGATCTGATCCACATCTTATCTCTGATCCTATCCACATCTTATCCCCCTCCAACATCTCATCATCCAATCTGCCCACTTGTCCAGTCTGGTCCACAATTCATCTGAACTCACAACCAGTGCTCATCTCCTTTCAGTAATCCCCTGACTCCAATATTTCAGTTATCTGTACATCTGTCCTGCTCACTGATCCATTACCTATGCTTCATTTCTGTTTCATTATTTGTGATCCATTTCTACTTACCAATAGACTATCCATATGCTTTGTACATAGCCTTGGACCCTGCTGATTGATCATTCCATTAGATACCTATAGTATATAACCTCCTGTAAATCTCTGTAACACCTCAGTTTGAATATCAACATAGTTCTGCTCATTCCTGTCCTCCAGACCTGAGTATCTCTACTCTTGTCACCCTCTGAGACTTGGGATTGATTCCTATAGTCTATCCATATCTGCCTCTGTCTATGACAGTCCACTACCATTAGTTTCTAGTCTGGACTTGTCTGGATTAGCCTTACAACACTTATCCTGCATCCAGAAGTCATCCAGATCTGCTATGCTACTCATCTGACCCTCTGGACGCATTAGTCTTGTCTTCCTGAAATAAGGGGCAATACTCGAGTAAGGGGCACAGCGCACGAGCTGAGGCCAAAGCCCTTAGGATCCATTTAGCCTTGAGTCTGACCTTAACAGTACTCAGATTTTGAGACTCAGTGATTCAATACTCACAAGTCATAAAAATGTATGAGTTTTGAGACTTGAATCACCAAGTCCTGAGTCCTGAAACCTGAAACCCAACACCCAAAACTTGAAAGTCATACCAATATCTGAGTTTTGAGTTTTGAGACTCAAATCACTGAGTCCCAAAACCCAAAACCCAACACCCAAAACTTGAAAGTTGTACCAATATCTGAGTTTTGAGTTTTGAGTCTCAAATCACTGAGTCCCAAAACCCAAAACCCAACACCCAAAACTTGAAAGTCATAAAAATATCTGAGTTTTGAGTTTGAAAATTGAGACTCGAAACTCATACATTGTTACAACTGTCAGGTTTCAAGTTTTGATGTTTGTTTCTAACTTTCAGGTTTTGGTACTTGATACTTGACACTCAGTGATTGAATAAATGGACTGGCAGAGGTAACATTCATTGGAAAACTTGTAGATAAATCTATCACTATGCAATTATGTAGCCATGTCAACCTCCTCAGAAGACACTTCAACCTTCACCTCAACATCCATGTCATCAGAAGAATCATATTCTGGGACCAGGTTACCTGGATCACCCAGGTCCACAATTTCACCAGATGTATCTGGAACCTCTGGTTGAACAACCCAGTTGTACTCAAACAGGAGGCCCTCAATGGCAGAGGCATCCTTGAATTTTGGGGGTGTGGGCATTATCTCTCCAATTGAGAGATCAATGAGAGGAGGAAGTGCAGATGCAGATGGTGACATGGATGGGGGGACAGATTGATCAAGCAACAAGGATATTGCATTGGCCAGAGGTTCAGGAATTGGGAATGCAGGGTGCTGGTCGATGATTTTGTGCCTAAGGCCTTCATGGAGGTGTTGCAAGGTGTTAATCTTACCATCCTGCTCTGCCACATGAGCCTTGAGAATGGCAATGCAAGCTGTGCCATCCAAAATTGCAATTGCCATGGCATGGAGATCCGGCATGGGCAGGTCGAGTGCTGCAGCAGGGACTGCTGAACTCAAAGACAGAAGTGCTACAAGAGAAAATTAAGGTCAGATGGTGATGAAAAAAAACTCGGGTGACTTATGAGCTGGTGCAGGTGCAGGTGCCTTGATGGCAGTGATGGTCTTGCTGTGACCACATGTCTGGGTCTTGGGGGTTGTCACAGCAGTGACACCTGGAGTTCCAGACTTGCCACAAGACTGACTGCAAGTTTGGGCCTTGGATTGGGAGGCAGGGGGAGCTTTGGAGGGAGCCTTGGAGGGTGTCCTGGACCTCATGTTCTGGGTGGTAGAGGAACCATGAATGTGTTTCAGCAGGGTACCCAGAGTCACAGGGATGCACTTGATCTTCTTTGTTGTGCAGCAGATGCATGACATACACAGATTCCCAGTCCTCTTGTCCAACCAAGTTGTGCAGGGCCAGTTTAGCTTGGTGCAAACCTGGCATGGGTTGTTCTGTGGATTGTGTTAGTGAATGGTCACTTTTCAAATAAATCAAAGTACTCACTGGTCCAGGAATGGGGATATCACCTCCATCAATGACTGGGGGTGCCTCCACTGAGCTTTCAGGAGTTGGCTGGGAAGGCTTGATGACTGCTGGGTGACTGCTGGCAATCACCTGGTACATTGTGAGCATACACCCGAGTCCCGGACACATAAATGTGACTTACTGTAGCAGGGCCAAAGGGCTTTTTGGTCAGAACCTGGGGTGATCTAGGCGAATTGGAGAGCTGGGGAAGGATGATGTCCAGCACTCCACCAGAAAATGGCTACAAGAAAATGTGAGCCAAGTCAAAGATGAACCAGATGACATACCTGAATACTCATGTCTTCCTCATCTTCCAAGTCCACTAGGGGCTTGGACTTTACCCAGTGAGACAACTTTGCATGCTTGCAAGTCTTCATCACAGACTTCAGCAGTTGGGAAGAGAGTGCCAAAATCATGAGAGACTTCCTCTTCTGACTCCCTTCCACCTTAGGCTCCGGGTCAGCATCAATGGCCTTACCTTTCCCCTTGTCCCAGAATTTGGTGGTGGTGCTGGTGGAGGGACCAGTGACATTGCTGGTGTGAATGGGTGGGAAGGGAAGGTCCACTGGAATCAGACCTGTGGAGGGAGGAGCAGCAACTGGGAGATCAAAGGTATGGTCACCTAAGGCCTCCCAGGCAAGGAGCTTGGGGCACCAGATGTGCTTCAAGAGATGGGGATTGTCATACCCAATGCTATGCCAGTTGGGCCAGACCTGGGGAGTCATGCCACAGACATGCAATAGCTCCTTGGAGCACGAAAGCACGATGTCGGGCAGGGGTCCAGTCTGATAGTCCTTGATCACTTGAGCCTGCCTAGATGTTAGAGAGAAAACAAGCAGAAAAAAGAATGCTACATACCACAAGTGAACTGACCTGTATTGTCAGAGAAAAGTGGCTGTTACCCAGGGGAATCTGCCGGGTGCCACTGATGATGGCCATGATCTGGGCAGTGGATGCCTTGAGACCAGTGTGATGATCATATTCCCACTAGGCTTGCAATGGCCATCTTTTGATATAGGTGATGGAAAGCTACAAAACCATTGACTGCTTTTCCCGCACTCAACCTGCTCTGGATGCGTATTCCTGCACTCTACAGACCCACACATTCACTCCCATGCTGCATGCATACCTGCAGTCAATTTCCTGTGCCTTCAGACTACCTTACAGATGTCTCACATCAGTCCATTGTCCATCCTACCTCATTGGTACATATTTTGCCTTGCCTCATGTGTTGTAACAAGTGTTGCAGCCTTATTACATGTCTTTACATATTCCTACTGCCTGTCTGTCCTGTCCCTTCCGTTTCTGAGAAGGGCTTAGCTAGTATAAAGTGCCTAAAGTGACTACTTCATATTTACTTCCCTTCTATGGTATTTCCTTCTCTTAGGTTTTACTTAGGAGCAGTCACCATTAGTGCGCACTTTTAGCCCCTATTGATTACCTTATACCTGGACACCTTGTCTTGACTTTCCTTACCCATGCAATCAATACCCTTGCCCTCACTTGCTACCTGCGCCATTCCTTAAGACTTCCCTACCCCTTACCCTAGCATCTCACACTTCCACATCGACCGCTGTCTTACTACTTGAGGGTCTTATATAAGTTGAGGTGAAATACAATGACTATCACAATTGTACTTCAATAAGACTAAGGTGCCAGCTCCTCAAGTTCACGGTCAACAGATTTTCTACTTCTCAGTTGATAACATGTTGTTCGTGGGTGGCCAAAGGGTAATAAATTACTTCTTTGCTAGATCACTTCTTGATAGTAAAGGGAAGTGTATATTTTGTCAGGTTAACTTAAACCTAGTAGGTAATATGGACCTCTGCTGAATTGAATATGATAGACTGTTGTATAGGCGATCCCTGTAAGATAGTATACAACCAATCTAGACTAGAAATACTATAGTTTTCAAAGGCAATCTTGAGGCCTTCACTTTCTTCATAATCTCACACTATTGAGACAGAAAGAGGGAAAACTCCTGCACCTCAAATCTTATGAATCTCACAGTTTGAGACAAGAAAGAAGAGGGAAAAACTTCTTGATTATGTGAGAATGGAGTCCTTATATACATTTTAGAAACCATCCTTACTAAGCAATGACTCATCACTGGATTGGTAAGAATATGCTTACAAACCAAGCCTTTTGGTGTGCTGAATCAGCTGCTTACTAAAGTACATGAGTAAAATATTACAAAGCATGACAAATCATGACAAAACATGATAAGTCATGGAAAAATCCTTACAAATCAGAATATTACCAGTCACATGACATGCTTACAAACATATCTGAGTGGTTCACTGATGTAATCAAGTGGCTGAAACTATAAATACAACTAAATAAATAAAGGGAAATATATGACTAAGCTCATGAGTGAGAAATATATCCTCATACACTCTCCTAATCATCTTCTTCTATACTTCTTCTTATATATGTCATGGTATGAACTCCATACCATGCATGACACTGCTCATCGACTGTTCATCGACTGCACTTCCGCATTCCCATGCTCTACATACCTGCACTCTGTGCACTTTCAGGTCTTTAGTATGATTGGCTGTTCTCAGTAGTAATTCCCTTTAGGGTCGAATGTTCTTGCTTGCAAGTGTAGCAGCTGGGCAGAGCATCAACCTACAACAATATTTTTGGTTAGGCACTTTAACAAGTGTCTAGCCATTGTTGTTTGCACACCAGTCAAAGAGTTGTCAACTGGAGTGGACATGATGATTGAGTTGAGAGATTTAAAGATCTTGAAATCAAGTTGAAATCTGTTATCACAAGGATGAAGTTTCAAAAGAAACAACACATTTGATGGACAATTGATAAAATCATTGATTTTTTGTCTTTGTTTGGTCACAGTTCAACTTCCAGCAATTGCCAGTTTTGTGTTGAACTTCGAAGTTTTTTCAATTATCAGTCAACAAATCAATAAGTTCCCCACACAACATGAGTCCACAGTCAGCCGTTCAATTCAATGACCCTCCAGTGTCTTCTTACTTGAGGTGTCTTATATAAAAGTGGTCAAAAGGCAATGACACCACAATTACACTTTTGATAAGACTGAATGCTGCCAACAACCTCAAGTTTGCAGTCTATGACTTTTCTTCTTTCATGGTAGATAATGTGACATTTGTGGGAGGTTACCTGCTATACAGCCTGGTGGTTTTATTCTACCTGGTTGTAAATAGGGGTCCTACAATACAAGCCTAGCTTTATCCAGCAAGACAGATAATGTAGAGTATGTAGATAGAACTTTATCTAGTCTTGTATTTGACTAGACAAATAGAATAGATTTTGTAGGTAAGTCTCTCTAGTCCTATGTTTGACTAGATAGAGAATAGAGTTTGTGGGTGAGTCTCTCTATTCCTATACTTGACTAGACAGAAAATAAAGAATAGGTGTGTACTATGCACAAAACTAGGTGGCAAATAATGCTATATATTCCCCTGCCTTGATATACTAAAGGACTTATCAAAGGGAACTAGGTAGAAGCTGATTGGATTTCCCTGCCTAAATGCAAAGGGGTTAATCCAAGGAAGATGATATGATACAAGAGCAGATGATCCAACAAAGGAATCTGCAGGCACAGATAATATGGCTTGACTTGGTACTTCTAGTCCTCTGAAACTATATGTCAGATGCACACTAGACAGCACAGGTACAGTCAAGAAAAGAATAAATGATCTCAGAGCAAGTAAACCAAATGTACTTGGTCTGCACTTCCTGGCTAACACAAAGAGTGTCAATGTCAGAGAAAGTGGAAGAAGTGGAGGTTCTTTTAAATGATAAAAGAGATTCTTATTTTTATGGGTGGAGAAGAGCTCTCCTTAAATACATGAGATGGGAGAAACTGTATAGTACCAAGAAATAAGGTTGGATAGAGAAATGACATCAGAGTTGCATCATAAATGACCTCATTGTGGAGCAAAGTGGAGCAGAACATTCTAGCATCCAATGACATCATACCCCGCAGGTACATTTTGTGGAGTCTCTGGGAGGTCAAAGAATCAAGTAGGTAAAGAAATGAAACAAAAATATGAAGAAAATAAAGTAGAATAAATCAAAAGACAGAGCAAATCAAAACACTGGCTTTTTAGATAGGGTTTTGGTAGGCTTTTATCTTTTCTCCTTGGTTATTTCTAGTCAAAGTAAATAAGCCAAAAGATAGGCAATAACCTAAGTGTTTGTATGACTATCAACTTGGACTAGGTCAATATATGATTTCTTCATCATATTTGACTTTTCTTTAAGACACCATATTTTTGCATGATTGGAACATGCAAAGTGAAATATTGCACTTGAGTCTGTACTCAAAGTACATTTTGTGTAGTCTGAGGACTAAGCTAACAGACTATGGAAATGTGGGATGATATGTCATATACACGTTCTGCATGATTCCCAAATCATACAGGACACTGGTGACTGACTACAATTCAATGGATGTGAATGAGTCCACTGTGTCCTGGGCATTACTAGGTGTGTTGTATTTTTATCATGCCTTATCTATTTACTGGATATCCCTTAGATGATCTATACCTAGGGCTGGATGATGACATAGAATATGATTCTTCATCATCCGGATCACTGGATGTCTTGGCTGCAATACCTGGTGAGTTTATCCATTCATTAGGATCGAGGATCACCATGCATGCTCACTAAACTCTTGCAGATCAATCACCTCTGGCTTAAGCTGATCATCCAGGTTTTCCCATCAATCCAGACTTGTACCTCGGGCCTGAGGATGATATCATTGATGTTGATGAGTTCTGCTGATCCTAAGATTGATACTCTGGCTGCATCAGAAGTGTCTATGTCATGTGAGTTCATTCATTCCAGAGGATTATAGGTACTTATTGAGCTCACTAATGAAGACTTATGTTTGATGGTCCAGGAGTTCCAACCATTTGGGTCATACAAACACACCGGGTGTGAGTATCTGACACAGTAGATCATTTATCTTTGCACTAATTTTTCTGCAAGTGAAATCTGTTCAAGATTGACTTGGTGATTACAAACACTGTACTGGGGATCTTCCTGATCCTTCAATTCCAATGCTACTTGAGGCCAAGCGACCCTTCCAGATGGCTTGGGCAGAAACTTCCAACAAACTCAGAAGAGCTGATGTGGACCTCCAGAGGTTGCAAAGAGCTCAACAGATGGACATTGAAATGCTCAAGGTAGTAGATTCACTGATCAATTGGTTTGAAGATCAGATTCAAATGTAAAGTACCGAATTTCTGATAGTAGTCAAATCACATGTAAACTTCCGAATTTTCATTGACATACCCACATCATGTAAACAACTGAATTTGAGACACATTCCTCTTCCATTTCCAATTGAGTTCTGGAGGCTCAGGAGTTCCTGAGTGTTGAACACAGAAGTTTAATTCTTGCTTTGGCTCACTGAGTCCTGAGTGTCAAACACTGAAGTTCAATTCTCACTTTACTGAGAATGACTGAGTCCTGAGTTTGATCTTGAAATTGAACTTGGGACTTGGTGATCCTCCATAAAGCAAGAATTGAACTTCAGTGTTCAACACTCGGGACTTGGTGAGCCAAAGTGAGAATTAAACTTCTGTGTTTGACACCTGGGAACTCCTGAGCCATAGCGATTGAATAACATTGACATGTACATAAAGGCAGGCAGTGTAGTATAAGTCCATTACTTCTTTCCCCTTGCTCTTGTCACTCAAGGGGTATTGTGTGATGGCTGTTGAGTTGACTTACTCCAGGTTGTCCTTGCCAATGGCTCAATCACTGTTTTTTTCCCTGCATGTTCTTCAGTGCCAGAGATGTGTGCCCTCCTTACATTGCAACATCCTCCTCAACATTGCCAGTGACTCCATCAGTCAACCCAGCCAGGAGGTTGCCCATTTGTGATGTCAGCAGTGCACCAGTGTTCACTGGCTTGACTGGGCGAGGCTTTGGAATTGCACATGGGACTGCTGTCCCTTCATGTGCTGTTGAAGGACCTGGCTCTCTTCTGGGTCTCTTTTGTGGGGATCTACCATCAGCCGCATCATCATCAGCATCATCCTCCATGTGATGAGAGTTACTCTTGGGATTACTCCTGGGATTGCTCTTAGTGTTGGTTGATGAATTCTGAGGCCTTCAGATCATCTGCTTTCTGACTTTATGAGTCCAATGAGAAGGCGAATTTCCAGACATAAGCAATGCTACCATGTCTCCATCTTTGTTCTTCCATGCTTTGAACAGGAATGTTGGTCCTTCGCTTTTCTCCTGCCAAGCATGCCAGAAATTGAGTAAGGCTGTAGTGTCCCAATTTTGCAACTTGGAAGGCTCCTTCAAGTCCACATCCACAGGAACATACTTCCTTGCCACAAAGTCATCCTGACTTTGTATGATGGTGCTCCATGGCATGACTGCCTTGTTGCTCCTAGAACAGATCCCTGTGTCCATGCATTCAACAAATTCTTGGGTGTTGCGATGATAGACTCACAATGGTGCGATGTAAGAAATGCCCTCACTATGGCCTTCTTCTCCTCAAGTTTTGTGTTGGTGATGTCTGGAAGCAATGGCATCCCATCTCTGTCAGTTTCCAGTTCAAAAGCAGGCTTTCTGATTCTTTTTCAACCTTCCTTTATCTGTTGTCCTCCATTCTGTGCCCCGGCACCTATCATCATGATGATCAACAAATTCCTTCTAGTAGCCAGAGTTCAAACACTCACTGAACTGTTCCTGTGTGTACTCCTGCCAAACTGGCTCAATATCCTTCCAGTCCTTCATCTTCATGAAGCTGTCCCCATCTCCTAATACCTTGTTATCATTGTGCCTGCATGAAATGTATTGAGATCGAAGATCTGTGATGACTGACACAATTCACTTACATCCCGAACAGCACCTCTCCCTGTTCATTCTTCCAAGCCAACATCACAAACACTCTCATCCTGCATTGCCTCCACATCTCCTTCAAAAAGTGCTCCATATATGCAGGTCCCTTCTTATGAGCGACTTGTACCTGTATCTTGGGAGGAGGAAAGTTGTTGGACCATTCTTTGGCTGTTTCCTTCACCTTCTCCAACTTATTGTTGGACAATTCAGCCATGACTCTCTTCACAGCTGCCTGATAATGCTTGAACATACTGGGACCTCCTGGCTTTGCTCCAGACTTGTCCTTGATCCTCTTTAGCACCTCTTCCTGGTTCCACTGGTAGATCACCATCCTAGGTGTCCATTTCCTCCCATACTTTATCATGTCCTTCCTTTCCTTCTTTTTCCTGTTGTTGAACAACCAAGTCTTGTATATCTGAGCATTGATGGAAGAATAAGATATTAAAATTTTAGTTTTTCAACACAGCAAGGATAAATCACCTGCTTCCTCTTCTTCCATTGTGCTTGGTCAACCTTAGGAGCAAATAACCTGGCAGCCCTAGCTATGGCAGTGAAAACTGCCTGCTTCTCATTCCTTTTTGCCAAAGTCCACTCAGGAAGGTAGTTCTTCAACACCAAAATTTTGTTTTCCATGAGCTTCTGTGTCTGTGGTTGATGTGCCCTATGTCTTCCAGAAGTCAACTGAGTGGAATGACCTGATCTTGCCATGGTGAATGAGATTGCAGAATGGGCTGAGGATAAGCAAGGTGGAAGTAATAATGGTGACAAGTTGAATTTTGAGCAAAGCCTAACAGTAGGTTAATTGACCCATATTGGATGCAATGCCATTAATGGAAATGAATTTGTAATGACACATCAAGACTGCATAACATCATATTGGGACAACAATTCATTCAACCTTCCTGAGCTAATTCTTTGCTTGCAACATTAGAAAATAAGATGAAGATAGGTAGATGCACCCCACTGCAAAAATCCCACAGGGTAGAAGCAAGGGGCAGCAAAGGTAGGAAAACTTGGGTCAAGGTCCCACTTGCAAGCACAAAACAACATGCCTACAGGTCCATGCCTAACTCTCTCCCAGAATCACCAACATTTCAGCCTGTTGAGGCACAACCTCCTTGGGAAGACTTTCATGACAATACTTACAAGCACGACCAAGGCTCATTTGAGCCTTTGCAACTCCCAAAAACCATGGCAAGTTCATGTAAAATGTTGGATTGTCATTCAAATGATAGCTAAGCATAAAAAATGCAGAGTCAGAATGACTACCTTAGGCAATGGCTGCCAAGGCAGGAATCATATCTACATCACCTCCTGGATCGAGAAGCTCCACCAGAAGATAGGAGATGCATCATCTGCAACCAGGATGGGGTCTACAAATGTCAAGGTTGTCTTGGGGAGCCACTCTATTGCACTGGCTGTTGCAGGAGTCAACATTGTTGCAATCCTTTCCACTGGATCAGTCAATGGAATGGTCAATTCTTCAAGCAGAGTTGTCTCACTCATGTCAGACTCATCATACACCTTGGTCATTATAGCAAACAATGTCTGGCACTCACAGATAGGTGGGATTTGTTCAAAGGAGATGAACCTGAAGACCAGATTGAGCCTGAAGATCTACCATCTGTGTTGGGACCTGAGTTCCAGCCAAAGGAAAACACAATGGTCATCATTGACAAGTCAGGAGTTCATTGCCTTGAGGTTCAATGTTATGATTGTCCAAATGCCATGAGTCCAGACATTCAAATGTTTCCACATGGATTTTTCCCTGCATCATTTACAGCAGTTCATGAAACTAATGGCACTGGCATGTTATGGGAAAATCACTATTGAGATTTGGGACTTAATTTTTTTTACCATTCTGTGTTACATAATGCTGCATCATGTCCCAATAATTGATTTTATATCTGTACTGTGCTATACCGTGTTCCTCATAAATCATACAATGGCCAAGGCATTCAAGAGCACCAAATTTGTAGACGACACTGATACAGATGTCATGGAACTGTCCTTGAGCTGTTATGGCAAACTAGGATGGGCGCGACGATAGATACTCGATAAGAGTAACGTCTAAAGCCGGATCAAGACCTTACGTATGCAAGGCTTCTTAAGACAAGTTAGAGAGAGTGTCTCCGACTTGAATATCGATATCAGACACTTAGGATTGGGGGTCCTAAGCGAAGGATGTTTCTGGGTAAAACCTAGTAAGATTAAAGTGAAGTCCTACTATGTACATAGCCAGGCTTTTATAGGTACTTGTAGCTTTAGGGCCGGTACGTATGAGTCAGAGATAATACATACGTCATCGAGATGCGTCATCTAGCGACGGCTGCTGCGGTTGTGATGTAATACAGATATGATGAAAGGTTTAGCCTAATGATGGCGCGAAGAGGCGTGGTCATGACGTAATACACTGATAAGTGAGAAAAAGAAATAGGGGTAGATGTGACTGTAACATTACCCCTCATTTAGGGATGAAGTCACCGACTTCAGTTATCTTGATTGGCCCAGTAAACAGGGTCAGTGTCATAGTTGGAATGAAGCAGATTGTCCTGCTCTTCGGAAATGGTGGAAATGTTTTGTGCCATTGCTTCGGTGTGAGTGATAGCATCTTGCTCAATCTCCCATCGAGCTAGCGCATCATAGAACCTGATGTCAGTCCATACCAGTGGAATGACTGCTTCTCCTTTCAATTCTCTACAGAAGACCAATAAGTGGCTGGGCACATACTCCTTGCAAACTCTGCAGTAGTACGTGGGACAGTTCTTGTGTTGGTGTCTGGTGACGCGACAGTTGCGACACATGACGTTATCGATTGGCAATGTTTTTACGACAGTGGCAGAGGAAGATTGGTTTGGGGGAGAGGGCGATCTGGATCGTTTGAGGGTTACTTTGGTTGGGGAGACGGAGGTTGCTTGTTTAGTGGCGAGCCGGGAGGATCTTTGTTTGAGTGGGAGTCTGCATGTGGTGCGTGTGATGGGGTCAGGAGAAGGAGAAGCTGGTACGTCGAGTACAGCAATAGGAGGGATATTGTCATCCCGATGCTCCACGGTAGTCGCAGTAGGAGCTGGCGGTGGTACAGGAATAGCGATGTGAGGAGATGGTGGTTGCGTGACCGGGTTGAGAGCAATTCGCTCAGTAACAATATGGATAGCTTCTCTAATAGCATCTCTTGTCTCCTCAGGCAGAAGACGGATTGCAGTGTTGCGAATGCATATGTGAAGATGGCGGAAAATGGTCTTATGCCGCTCATCATCCAGGAGGGTGGCGGTACGGTCAATAAGGCTGGCATCTCTGATAATTCTGATAATAAGACCACTAGATATTGCCCCTCGTTCTCCTAGGAGGTGGTCTATCTCTATAGCGTATTGCTGAGAGGTGATGGCGGATTCGAATAGGGCGCTTGTCTCTACTTGCTCAATGACCGAAAAGTAATCTGTAAGGGTAGAGTCGTCGGTGAGCGTGAGGGTGGAATCGGAGGCTGGTGATGTTTCTTCTGGGGGTGATGCATGGAGAGCAAGGTTGGCGGCAGTGGCGTTCTGATAATCAAGGAGAGTCAACGGGTGGGCATTTCCTTCAGCGACGGTGTTCATGGCAGCGGTAAGTTCCTCAATGCATAAGATGCAAAGGCATAGTCGTTCGAGGTGGGACATTGTTGGGAAGTCTACAACCCATGGGTCTTCTTATAGGCGGCGAGGATATCGGAGGCATTACTAAGATTTTCTTCTGGAACCCACTCGTTGCTGGCGGAAGAATATCCCTTCCACGATAAGAGATAGCGTCTTCATTTACCCGTTCCCTTATGCGATAAGATCGCATCAATTTCATATTCTTCTTTGTTATCGATGATGTCAGGGGGTGGATCGTGGAAGTTCGGACCATGAACCTCTGTTTTGTGATAGGTTGATAGTTCCGAAGCATGGAATGTGGGGTGAACCCTCCATTGTGGAGGCAACTGGAGTGTGAATGTGATTGGGGAAAGAACAGCTGTGATCAGAAAAGGGCCATATCATTTGGGTGCAAGTTTCCGCGATGGTAGCTGCATAATCAGGTTCTTTCCGGACAACCAAACCTTATCTCCTATCTTCCATGGATGGTACTTCTGTCCATGAGTTCATTCTGCCATTCGTTGCATGGCAAGGACGTGGCAAGAGAGTGCTTCTTCTCTGGACTTTTGGAGAGAGTGGAGTCTTTCCTCTGCTGCAGGAAGGGTGTGGGGAAGAGCTCGTGGTTCATACCCCATCATCAGAAAGAATGGTGACGCATTGCGAGAGTCGTGTTTTCGGTGGTTATGCACAAATTCTGCCATTGGGAGGTGTTCCACCCAATCTTCTGGATGGTTTCAGCAATAAATCTGGAGGTACATTTCAAGTTCCTGGTTAAGTCATTCGGTCTGGCCATCGGTCTGAGGGTGATAGGCGGTGGATGCAGCTATGTCATATTTCAAAAGCTTAGCGAGGGCTTGTGAGAACTTGGATACAAATTGTGGCCCACAATCAGAAATGACTTTCTCGTGCAGGCCGAACCTTCGGTAGATGTATTTGAAGAATTTCTTAGCGACTCCCTCAGAAGTGATGGTTTTTGTACACGGGATAAGAATTACCCCCTTCATAAGGCCATGGTCGACCACGACCATGACAGAATCAAAACCGGTGCAGGGGGGGAGATCAGTGATAAGATCGACGGAGACCTGGGTGAAGGGAGCTGTCGCGACAGATGGAATAGGAACAAGGGGGGGGTCGTCGGGTGGGTGTCTGACTTCATCTGCTGGCAAAGAGCGCAGCCTTCCACATATTTACGGATGTAGGTTCCCATAGAGGGCCACCAAAAATCCCGTTTGACTAATTCTTCGGTCTTGAAGCGTCCTGGATGGCCGGCAGTGGGGTGATCATGGCATCTTTCCAATATAAGACGTCGTCCGGCTGGACGGACGTAGGCGCGGTTTTTATAATAGAGAATATCGTCTGTGATTGCCCAATCGGCAAGGGCAGATTTCATCGGGGGAAGAGAAAGACCATCCAACGCATCAGAGGCGGCGGTGAAGATGGGGTCGGGATCGGTGGGGTCAGGATTTGCGAGTGTTGTCATAAGTTCAACGTCAAGAAGTCAAACGAACATGGAATCAGGGAGGAGAGTCTCATTGGTATTGTCTTCCATTGAGTCTGATCCATGGTCAGGACAGTGAGAGAGCGCGTTGGGAGCGACGAGTTTAGTCCCCGTGACGTGATGAAGTTCGATATCATAACAGGATAGAATTAACTGCCATCGGGCCTGGCGGCAAGTTAACTTCTGAGTGGTTTGGAAGTATAGGAGGTTTTTATGGTCGGTGAAAACGATAACCGGGTGGGGATTGCCTTCCAGGTAATGGCACCATTCTGTTAGAGTGCGGATGACCGCAAGGAGTTCGCGATCAAAGATCTGGTAGTTACATTCTGCAGGGTTCAACGTTTGTGACAAATATCCACATGGGTGATAGACCCCATTATCATCAGTCTGAAGCAGTACTGCACCCATTGCGACGAGGGATGCGTCAGTCGCGACTGCGAATTGTCTGCTGGGATCAGGGTTTCGAAGGACCAGCTGCTTTAAAAAGCATTCTTTCAAGGTGGCGAAGGTGGACGCGCACTGGTCTGTCCATAGGAACTTGGTGTCTTTCTTGGTAAGATCAATCAAGGGTCTCGCGATGTCAGAATAATGGGAAATGAAATTTCGATAGAAATTGCAGAATCCTAGGAATCACTGAACTTCTTTCACGGTTGTAGGGGCGGGCCAGTCTCGAATACTGTTGGTTTTGGCATTATCCATTGCAATGCATCCAGGGCGAATTATCATTCCGAGGTACTCTACCTCCTGAGCGTCAAAAGTGCATTTCTCTGGTTTAAGGAATAGCCTTTCTTGCCGAATTTTCTCTAGGACACGCTGCATTCTTTCATGATGGGAAGTGAGTTCGTTGGAGAATATCAGAATGTCGTCCATGTATATAATGAGCCATCCTTCATTTATCTCTTGCTGGAACGTCCTGTTCATATATGCTTGAAAGGTGGTGGGGGAATTGCAGAGACCAAAGAACATAACATTTGGTTCAAGGAGACCGTACTCAGTGGTGAAGGCGGCCTTCCATCAATCCTCTGGGTGAATGCAAATGTTATTATATCCCGAGCGGACATCCATCTTAGTGAAATACTTGGCACCGTGTAACCGAGCGACCAGGGAGAGTGGTAGCAGGAGTGGGTAGGCGTTCTTGACCGTCCATTCATTGATATAACGATAGTCTTGGCAAGGACGAAGATCTCTGCTCTTTTTTCCTACAAAGAAAAAGCTGCTAGCCTGTGGTGATTTCGACTCTGAGATGAATCCTTTCTTCACGTTTTCATCAATGAACGCTTTGACCGCTACACGTTCTGTTTTGGATAACGGATACACCTTGGATGTTTTAGGAATGAAACCAGGTTTAGTTTCTATTCGATGGTCTATACTGGGCCATTCAGGCGGTAGCTGGTTTAGACCATCTTTCGCAAAGATATCGGCAAAGTCATGAAGATAGGATGGAACGAGTTCTTCAAATGTTTTCTTCTTCTGCTCGAGTCCAGCGGCTAGCGCAAGTTGTTGTGCTTTGTTACTGGTTTTGATATATTCGGTGGGCCATGACAGGGGAGCAATCATGGGTCGACATTCTGCAGCGCTAGTACCATCTTTAGTTAACGGGGTGTCCAAAGAGACGTTGGTGACCACCCGGAGCTCGGTAGCGTCAACCGAATATTCAACCAGGAATTCATCGTCTTCTAGATGGTAGGTAGAGACTTCGCATATGGGTGGTGCATAGTCTTCTGTCCATACATCTTCTTTTGTATCAAAGGATTCTTCATCATCGTCAGGAATTGGGTCAAGTTTCGGCGGGGTTTCTTCATCGGGGATTTCCTCGATGGTGGCTCGGGGCATTGGTTCTGGTGCTGCGAGGCAGGTTCTTGGCAGTGCTATGACTGGAGCGGGGTTTGCCTCTTGCTTCTTCGTCTTACAGAAAAGAGGAGGGAGGTTATTCTTCCTTTGCTCTTTATCGACTTCTTCTTCGATTTGGTCGCTTTTCTCCGTTCTAGAGAGTTCTAGCATTTCCGCTTTCCATCGGATCACAGGATCCATGGCACGTAGCCAGGGGATTCCTAGTAAGATCTGATCACATCGGCCAAGCCGCATGATGTTAAACTTTCCGATCATGGACCGGTTATCGATTTTGACAATAAGGACGCAGTACTGAGTGATAGCGCCTCCTTTCGCATAGCTTCCATCCACAGTGGTGACTCGGAATGGTTTTGAGAGTTTGTGAGTACGGATTCCATGGGTCTTGACAAACTCTTCAGAGATAAAGGTTCCAGCCACGCCGGAGTCTACAACAGCTGTTGTTTTGACAGTTTTCAGACGAGTTTTGGAAATGAGGGAAATAGGAACTCATAGTTCTTTTCTAATTCCAATACTTTGTACAAGTCTGATGGTTACATCGGAAGATACTGACATCGATCCAGTCTTCCACATTAAAAATCCTTGGCGAGACGACGGATCGTTGTGTCTTCATCATCTTCGCTGTCACTTATTTCTTCTCTGCGAACAGGGATCTTCTTCTTCTGCAGGCATGCTCTGGTCATATGCCCCTTCTGGTGGTACGTGAAGCATAGCCCTTTCTTCATATGGTCACTTCTTTCTGCTTTGGTGAGCCGATCCACTTCCATGGTGTTTGGATCATGTTGGTCGATAGACGGTCTAGGCACATAGCGTTGTCCTGATGGTTTGGTGGTGGTCCGATGGTTTGATCGGTATGTGGCACCCCTCTGATAGTTGCTGTCAAGTCGAATGACTGCAGCGATGTACTTGTCGAAGTCCATAGGGATGGTTTCCATCTGAAAGATGGAATTAACGATTCCCTTCTTTAATCCGTCATTGAAGAATGAGATTAAAATGGCATCTTGTTTTACGGTGGCTTGTGCGGTGAGGGTTTTGAAACTGACAATGTAGGATGTAAGGTCGCCCGTCTGTCTCAATGTTCGAAGCTTGTTCATACCAGTTCCGATGGCGTTGGCCAGTACGAAAGCTTCTTTAAATTTAGTTTCAAAGTTTGTGAAGGTTCCATAAGACTTTGCGATGGAGTTATCGACTTCAGTGTAGAAGGTAAGTGCCCAGCCCATAGCACTATCTTCTGTCATATAGGCAAGGGCAGTAATGACCTTCTTCTCATCTGTGTTGTAGATTGTAACGTTGAGTGCAAAGTACGCTTTGATAGCATACAACCATCGTAGAGCCTGGTGAGGACTCCCATCATAGGTAGAGGGAGCTCCGGCTTTCAATTCTGGGGTGTTGGTGACGGTGGACATCCTGATCTTCTGGTCTAGCGATGTTTCTTCTTCAGGGGACATAGAGTCTCTCTCTGATTCGTTCTGGGACCTCTTCGGATGGAGAGGGTTGGTGTGAGACTTTAATCTTTTGTTACGGCGAACTAGGATGGGCACGATGATAGATACTCAATAAGAGTAACGTCTAAAGCCGGATCAAGACCTTACATATGCAAGGCTTCTTAAGACAAGTTAGAGAGAGTGTCTCCGACTTGAATATCGATATCAGACACTTAGGATTGGGGGTCCTAAGCGAAGGATGTTTCTGGGTAAAACCTAGTAAGATTAAAGTGAAGTCCTACTACGTACATAGCCAGGCTTTTATAGGTACTTGTAGCTTTAGGGCCGGTACGTATGAGTCAGAGATAATACATACATCATCGAGATGCGTCATCTAGCAACGGCTGCTGCGGTTGTGATGTAATACAGATATGATGAAAGGTTTAGCCTAATGATGGCGCGAAGAGGCATGGTCATGACATAATACACTGATAAGTGAGAAAAAGAAATAGGGGTAGACGCGACTGTAACATGAGCCTCTCTGAATCAGATTCAGATGAGAGCTCGGGGTCTACAGCCATTGCAGAGCAAGCACTTTTGGCACAAGACAGTATCGACCATGAGCTAGATGCTGTGGGCCGGCCACTACCAGAGGCTTCTGTACCAACTATAGCTATACCCCCAACTCAGCAGCAGCGGAAAAAAGGACAAATGAGTGCATATATCAGGTTTCTTCTGGAAAATGATTGAGTTTGTCTGACTATATGCTCTAGAAAATGCAGCAAAGCAGCATCAGGCCATGGTAGCTGACGAGCCACCCCTACCTGAGTCTCTCATCATCATGTACAACATCTTGATCTTTGTTCTAGAAAGTGTAAGTAACCCTTCTGACATAATGAACCTTCTATGACATGGCCAGCAATGACTCCATCAACGGACATAGCTGCAACAGCTGTCAGCCACCTTCCTCGCATAAAAATGCCTCTCATGCTGGCATGTTTGCACTTCTTTGCCTGGCCATATCTCTGGAATGAGGTATGTTCATCTACTGAAGTCTTGTCAATGAAGCAAAGTTCATTGGGCATGTATTGGGCCATCTGTTGCATGTAGTCAGCACGGAGATCTTTATTTTGTTCTTTGGTGATTTTATGGAGCTTTTTGAGGGAAATGCCCACATGATGGAGCTCACAGTGGATGGTGGTGTAGTGGAGTGCAATGAAGCAGTTGCATAACATGAGTCAAGTGATCTCATTGAGAAACCAATCTGGCCAGTGGTGGACCAGTTCCATGAGGTACTGAACATCCTCAAGATTCAGCTTCCTTGGATGACCTGTGAATTCACTCTGTGGTTTGACTACATTGCTGGTGTGCTGATAGAGCTTTTGGATGCGGAAGAATGTGCATCTCAAGAAGCTGATGCAATCAAGGATTTCATGAAGACTAAGGATATCTTGCTCATACAGGCAAATGGCAGCAAGTTTGACATTGGATGAGATCTTTTGGTTGACCATACTAGGTGTATTGTTGTCTGACATGGTGCAATTGTTTGAATTTTTCTCTAAGTCTCAAAATGGTGAAAATTTTCAAAGTCCCAAATCCTCAATTATGATTTTCCCACAACATGCCAGTACCATTATATACACACACAGCTGTAATAGGCCAAAGACTGTGTTCACCTTCAGAGTGCTTGATAATCTTCTATTGGACAACCTTGAATGCAGCACCTCAGCAATGAACTATTACAGCAAGCTTCGGCAAATGACCTCGAGCATGTTTCCACACCTTGTTCCAGTAATGCCATATCTCCATCTCCTAAAGGACACTATATTGACAAAGCACATTGCAAGGACCAATACAGAGAGCTCATGAGAGTCACTTGACAGTGGAGGCAGTTAAAGGCCATGAAATGACATGTATTTGGCCATAGTTCTGACAACCCAAATGCAGGAGATCTCACATTGTTTTGCCCCGCATGTTCTCAGCCTGGGATTAATGTATTCTTGTCAGGGAATGAATCACTTGATGAGTGAGTCTTGTTTGATACTGAAATCACCTCAGCGATAATAAGAATTCCAAGCTGGAAATACACCTGGTCATTTGTTATGGACAGAAATTTCAAAGCCAAACACCTGTATCCCATCAAGCCATTTGATGAAGTTTGGCTTTCCAATGGGTTGGGATTCATGGTGGGAAAGGACAGGTATAAAACACATCTTGCAGAGGCTGCTGACACATTGGAAAAATTGAGCTGCAACAATCACCAGGCAGTAAATCAAGCAAATGCAGCTCAGCACAAGCTAGAGTCCACAGGTATTGGGAGAGTTGCCTGTGCTCAATATGGTTGCTGTGTCCCTCACTCGATGGTAGATTTTCAGAAAGGTGAAAGGCAAGCCAAACATGCCATTCAACATTCACAAGTTAATGATGCATCATTTGTAGACAAATGAACATGGACTACACCCTTTGTGAGGCTGCCCAGCACAATATGGAAGGCATCACCAGGGCTGTCACCCTGCATGACATCAACTGTCAATACAACAAGCACTTTCATGTTCAGGTGAATTGAAGCCAATTTCTCAAAATTGTTCTGGAGTTGACCATCATTCCTGGAATCAGCATCTGCATGGACATCAGGACAGCTGCTATGTCCAATATGTGTCAAATTTTATTGAAGGCATTGTTCAGATCAATGGAGAGATCATGGAGACCCTATAGGCATGTCTTAACCTGATTTCCCCTGCTGCTCAGGGAATGTCTTCCCCACATCAAAAGGAATGTCTTAATTATCAGATGAACAATTACAATTTCTACAAGATGATCTGCATGAAAAAAACCCTTTGCCATAAATACAAGCAGGTAAAAAATGGCATTGCCAAAAGTGGAAAGGCTTTCAACAGACTCAATGAAGCAGCACCCACCAATTTAAATACAGAATGGTTAGCAAGCAAGAGGATCACTCAGTCCAGCAGAACAAACAACCCTGCTGCAATGGATATATATGAGATTAATATCAAGAAGGGTAAGTTGATGCTGTCTCCATCAAAGTCTGAATTAATTTTTGCACTCAGCACTCAGCAAAAAGAAGATTGAACTTAGTTTGCTAAAGGAGGGTAATGGCCATAATGTAGCACCTTCTTGTAGATCTGTGGCAATATGATCAATGGGGTTGACAATTGAAGAGGCTCAAATTGCATTGCTCATTGAGGTCAGAAGAATAGGAAGAAGAACTACAGAGACACAGAGATTAGACATTGCCCAGCAATGTGATTGTCTCCAAGGCCAGATAGATAGATTCACTTGGTCTGCTCTTATGCATCTTGGAGAGGGATTTGATGCAGATGATAATCCTGATGACTTGAATGTAGACATTCTCAATGATCTCAATGATGACCTGGCAGATTTCATCAAGACATCTGATACATGGGCAAACTCCCTTGAGCTCACTGTCATCCCATTGCTATCAAACCTCAGGGTAGATTGATGCAGATGCTGTATGGCAGAGGATCTGATTCCACAGGAGATGTCGCTTTATGAAGGGTAGGCCAATGATACCCTTCACAACCTCTGAATTCACTTGTGCAACAAGGCAATCCTGTTCTGAACAATGGTTAGGCAAGCCAAATCTCAAGCCCTAAAAACTCAAGCTTAGTCCCAGGTGATGTCAGTGCAGCAGGCAGTGTCCCTCCATACCAGTATATATACCAAGACCAGGAAGCAAATGATGAAACTTGAACCAGGGCAAGACCAGCTTCAAAAATACAAACCCCTGCTTCAAGAGCAGCTCAAAATCAGCACTGCCATCAGCAATCCAAATGCCCAAGGTCAGTGAAATGAGTCTTTCACATGGTTCTGGTCTATCAAAGTTGCTTTTGGGGGGTCCAGATCACCTGTAGAATGAGGAATGTGAGTTCAGGCATGCTTTACAAATGCCATGGTGAGCTGACAGGACCCCTCTGAAGTCTACCAAGTTCATTAGCTTTGGGCAAAGGCACTACATGATTAATGGAAGGAAGAAATGATATTGGTCCAATTGGAGATAGATTGGACATGTAACTTTTTCTTGTGGAAAGCAACCCAATGGGGTGACTGGATGAGGGAATCATTGGTGAAATGCCTTCCAGGTCATGCTTGCTACTCAGGAAGGCAATCACAAATGTATTCATTACTGGCACAGGATGCCCTAGGCAGTGTTTCAAGACCTGCAGAGCATGTTAATAGATGCTCAAGATGAATGAATATGTTCTGCTGATGATATGAAACAGCTATTTTGACCCAATAATTGAGTCTCAGCAATTGGCTGGGTCAGCCCATTTCAGAGTTTGAATTTCTTATCCATCCATCAGTGGCTCATATCTTCACATCTGAAACAACTGTCATTGTTATTGCCAGCATCATACTCCTGCATTAGCCATGCCTGTACTACATACTCCTCCTGCATCCACTTCTGATACTCAGGATTCTGGCAATGAATACTGACCCCTCACACTGAGTCTTGCAGATATTGCAGCTACATTGTCAATGGCTACATCACACATCTGAGCATGTGTTGCACAATATCAGATGGAGGCTGCCAACAACAACTTTCCTTCTTTGGCTCAGATTATCTACTTTAAAGCCAGGCTGCAATGGGAGATCTGATGACTGTGGTGGTCAATGCTGAGATCTCCAACAGATTTTTGTGACACCAATCCTGCAGTACTCAGCTACAAGGAACATAATTTTGATTATTCCAAGCCCAGTCACTCATATTATTCTGTTGTTTCCACAGCTCACCTGGAACACAGTTCCCAACCACATCTTTTCATCTCACCTATCTCAGGTTCATGATGTCACAGATCTGGGAGATCCCTCCTGGATTGTATCCCACTATGAGACTCCATGGTGGATGAAACACAATACAATCCCAGATAAACCATGGCAATGGGACCAGGTAATGGGTTGCTGTGTCTTTCACTACCAGCATTGGCTAGTAAGAATTATATACAATTTCCTTGAGTGATGACTAATCCAGTCTAGGGTGGCATTAAGGATGATGGTCTGATTCTTCCCAATGTAGGGATTTCATTTACTGTGGGCTTGTATAGGCAGATATTACTTAGTGTTATGTTCGCACTTTTGGTGCTTATGTAATCATCATAGTTTTCACCACCTACCAGTACCAGTCTGAGACTGAGAGTTACTAGCATGATTTCCTATGATCTCTGAGCACTGAGCTTAGTCCAGAAACCCTTTAGGGTTGAAAAACAGCTAGGCATAGTACATTTGACCCAACCTTAGAAGGCTACTTTCCAGTTCTCTTCTTGTTGTGTTTCCCACACTGAGCAGGTGGATGAAACCTCAGATCTATCACTGCTGGGACTGAGGTGGATTAGAGAACACCTCCTGACATTGATTAAGGAGCAATGAGAGGGCATCTGTGATAAGATGGTTGAGATTGAAATGTACACTGCCATCCTAAACCGATTGCAGAGAGGCAGAGGGGAGTATCCCTGGTCAATGTTAGTGTGTCCAGAGTATATTTCCCTAGATGAATGTTGTACAGATCTTCAACTTTGGAGAGGAATAGAAATATATGATTAAATTATTGATCACCACCAACTATTGAATACTGAGTTCAGAATGTTAAGGTCTGAGTTCCATACTTGATGTAAAGAGTACCAAAAATTACATACTTACTTCTGAATATCTAACCTAATATTACCTGCTGAGTCCTGAATATCAAGTTCCAAATATCAAGTTCTGGAAATCAAGTATCGAGTATTGAGTCCTGAATATCAAATATCAAGTATCAAGTTCCAAATATTGAGTATCAAGTATCAAGTATTGAGTTCCAAATACTGAGGTCCAGAAATTGAGTATTGAATGGCAATTGGTTTGAGTTGTTTGTTGGTGCTTGATGCTTGATTATTGGCACTTGGTATTTGACAGTAGGCACTACCACAGGTAACTACATTCTATGCCTGTTTGATCTTTGACAGGGTAGTGAATGTGCACAATCGACCCTAGCCCATCCACATGAGGGCACCCTGGCATAAATATGAACAGAATCCCTCATATACCATGCCCAAGTAATCCAATCCCCTTCCACTTCATGAACCCCATGTCTAACAATCCTTCCAGAAAATGCAATCATACAGCTGGGATCATACCTAAACTCCAGCTGAAGGCTTGGCATACTCATGCAAGCATTAGAATATTTCCCCACAGTAGTGAGAATATCAAAGCATTCAGGAATGGATAAATGGTCTCAATGATTGGATTTTGCCAATTGGAGATGACAGAAAGGGTAGTAAACATGGATGCCCAATACTGGAGGGTCTCTGATATCTTTGGCAGTTTCTTGCTTTCTGCCATTTCTCCAGGCTTGAAAAGGCTTAGATCCCTGCCCAGTACTGCTCAGGATGCATGACCCTGAGTGCTGCTGATGTGATGGCTGCTGGCCTTGCAATAACTTTGAGGATTTTCTCAGAGCATGGACCCTTCAATGATGCAGATACCTCCAGATCCAACAAATTCCATGAGATTGGTGAGTTTAACTACCAAAATCACCATTTCTTCAGATCCTACCTTGTGCCCCTGTTGAAACCACACTGGTGACAGATTTATGCATCCAGGAGCTATGCCAACATTTTCTACACTTTGTTTGAACCACTCTTGATTAGTTCACCAACTGCTATCAACCTTTACACTTTTTTCAAGGTTTGGAGTGAGTAAATTGGAGGCCACCTAAATTTCCTTCTGTAGGTACCATTTGATATTCAATATCCATTGAGTAACAAAATATATTACATACCTGGGTGGTGTCAGTCAGGGCATCTGGGAGGTACCATGTGATGATGGCACCAGTTACATTGAGAATTGTGATAGGTATGCTGACCAACTTTGTACCCTCATGGCCAAAAGGACACCTCTCAAGCAACTTCTCCTCTCTCTCTTCATTATGCCCAGTGTCCTTCAGGGAGATCAAATTGCTATATCTGGCAATATTGATCTGCATCTGAACTGTGATGAAGGAATTTGAATGATCAAATGGACTGTCCTAATCTGCAGGAAGACCCACTGGGGTTTTTATATGCCTTTATGAGGTGATCTGTCATATCCACATATCTGGATCTCAGATCTGATCCACATCTTATCTCCATCCAACATCCCCTCATCCAATCTGTCCACTTGTCCAGGTCCAGTCCACAACTCATCCAAATTCACAACCAGCACTCATCTCCTTCTGGTAACCCCCTGACTCTGGTACTTTGGTTATCTGTATATTCACCCTGCTCACTGATCTGTTACCTATGTTTCATTTCTGTTTCATTATTAGTGATCTGTTCCTACTTACCAATAGACTATCCATATGCTTCATACATAGCCTCAGACCCTGCTGATTGATCATTCTGTTAGATACCTACAGTATATAACCTCCTGTAAATCTCTGTAGCACCTCAGTTCAAATATCATCTTAGTTCTGCTCATTCCTGTCCTCCAGACCTAAGTACCTCAACTCTCATCACCCTCCAAGACTTAGGATTGATTTCTATAGTCTATCTGTATCTGCCTCTGTCTATAACAGTCCATTACTGATAGTTTCTAGTCTAGACTTGTCTGGATTAGTCTTACAATACTTATCCTACATCCAGAAGTCATCCAGATCTGCTATGCTACTCATCCAACCCTCTGGACATGTTAGTCTTGTCCTCCTGAAATAAGGGGCAATACTTAGGTAAGGGGCACAGTGCACAAGCTGGGGCCAAAGCCCTTGAGTACAACCTTAACATGATCCACCAATCAATCACAAGCCATCACCAGATCAGTGTCTAGGTTAGGAGAAGGTATAATTGGGTCTCCTCTGGTCTTCTCTGCATTGCATTTCTGTTTGGTACAAGAAGGTTATTTCAATATCGGAAGTGGAAGAAACATTCATGATGGAGTTGATCTTGGGAAATCACATGCTGAATGCTGGATGTCCAGACTCTGGCATTAAAGGGGGTGGAGATAGAGAGGATCAGATAAGGGAGCCTTGGATGATGTTAGCTTTCAAAGATGGATTATCATTCATTGCTCAATTAAATACCAGATATGATTGGAAGTGTGCTGGATATCAGATATTTGATTGTTGAGACCTGGGACTCAGAACTCAGTATGTGATGCTCACTTCACTCAAATTTCAGTAGTTGGAACTTGGCATTTGGCACTTGGTAGTCAGTACTGGGTGCTCAATTTTCTGGCACTTATGACCTTGATCTTTAGATGACTTTGAACTATTACCTCCTCTGATTTGTATGATATACAACTACCTCAGCTCCATCATGTCTACAATTATCATTCACCTGGGCCCACCCATCTATATCATATAACAACCTCAGCCCACCCATCAACATGATATACATCTGGGCCCACCCATGTATATGATAACAAGTACCCTTGGCATACCTGTCTATCTGATACACATCTACCTTGGTACACCCATCTGCATAATATCCCACTATGTCAGCCCATCCATCTATAGAATATTCATGTCCATCAGCCTACTCATCTACTCTACATATTCCCCACATGGGCCCACCCATCATTGTCGAGGATATTTATAACATCAGCCCATGGTCCGCTGACCCATCCCATATAGGATATTATGTACATCAGTTCACTTGTATAATACAGAGATAGGTCACTGTAGTATGTGGTCCAAGAACATGTAGCTGTCCTGATAGGTGAGTGGGGGATCAGGAAAATAATCAGTGACTTTACTATGCACATTTTTGCCCTGGTCCATAATTCCACCACATATTCCCAGTGCAATATCTCCTTCTTCTCTGTGAAAGTCATATAGATCCACCCCATCTCCAAGTCCTGGTTCATGGTAAGAATAGGAAGTTTGTTCTGGCCCAACAAGTCCATGGGATGATCCTTACTGGCACTTGAAGAAATTTTGATGATCTAGTTCTGAGTTGATATCAGCAATTTCCAATACCAACTCTTATACATTCCATTATCATGAATATCAATCTGTGATCATTGTCAGCAAGTGCATCAGGTACAGTGAATGAATGTTTACCTGATCCACATTGTTACAAAGGACTGGCACCCAGGATTTTTGAACTATATGAAGTTCTCCATGCTGTGAATTCTATGGTGAGGTCAATTGAAGTTTGTTAATTTTCAAGCACCTTACTTTGAACAGTCCAAACAGGAACCAACCAACTCAGAAGCCAACCTTATCATGAATCTTGCAAGAGCAAAGCACAACATTTATAAGGCACAGAAAACACTGGTGGATTGTGTTATGAGGGAAAATGGAATGTTAGTGAGCTTGCTCAGATTTTGAGCTGAAGAGGCAGAGAAGTGGCTGGATAATACAGATATCAGACTGGGGTGTATGAGAGTTGTATTCAAGAACCATGGATGGGCTAATACTAGTTGAACCCACAGAACCTCAGGATGAGTTGTTGTTATGATAACATCCGCTTGTTTAGCCCCTATTTCATTTTCCTCCCTCATGCCCTCACTGGACTCCTTCCTCTTCAGGTGATCACTCCTTTTCTCTTTCTCGATTGTTCTATCATTTTCTCTTGATCGTTCCACTGACCATTCTGTCAGTTGTACCTTATCTTTGGTTCATCCAATGACTCACCAACCCCATGCTCTTACCACCCAACTGGTACCTCTTACTTACTATGGTATTCTGACTTGTCATGACTCATGTCCCCTTTACTCTTACCACTCAACCAGTACTTTCTACTTACTTTGGTATCTTGACTCATTGTGACTTGTTCACCCTTTACCCTTACCACTAATACGGCAGACCTGCCCTTATCCCTTCCAACAGTATATATACCTTATGGGTAGCACTTGTATTCTCTAACTTGAATCTACTTGATTCATACTGTCTACTCCTTGAGCCCTAAGCAAGCTCTCCTCTTTATCAAGTACCTTCATTGGAGCTCATCACTGCCAATGTCCTTAGCCTTGAGAAGAGAATGATTGACAACTTCACTGTCATACAGTGGCTCAAAAAAGTGTCTCAATGTTTGTGACTTTTCATGTAATTGCTTCATTATGACCCAGGGTGTGAGAATATGACTAAGCCATAGGGAGGTGTGGGAAAGCTCTGCTTCTAATCATTATGTTTGATCCCTATAGTGTGGGAAGATTATGTCATCAAGTGAAGATATGGTCAATTTAATTTGGTGACTCATTGAGACACTTTTTTGACTTTTGTTTTGACCAACACAATCTCTATAATTCTACTACTTGGTGTTTCCTCCTGTTGCTCTAATTAGTTCTACCACTCTTCTATGCATAATATCTATCAATTTGAGGCATTCCTCATCAACAATCTTGCCCCACTCTGCTGCAACTCTCTCCCACAGTTGAAATAACCCCTATTGAGGATCTTGATAGACTGCAAGTGATATCTTGAGTAATTACCAGGGCTATTCAATAGGGTTGAGGTCTAAGGACTGGACTTGCCATGATAGAACACTGATACCATAGTTTTCAAACCATTTTATGGTCAACTTGAAGTATGCTTAGGGTCATTGTCTTGTTAGAAGGTAATGTCTTCTTCATTAATTCTTGATTCTTGCATGCTTCTGAGCAGCTACTTTTCCAAAATTGAAATATGCTGCTCTGTATTCATCCTCCCCCCACCTCACAGAGAATTCCTACTCCATTCCACCTCATGCAACACCATACCATCAAGTTTCCTACTTTACATATTTTAGTGTTTTCTTTCTTCTAGTAGTTCTTCTGCCTTTCATCACATATATTCCTAGCTATCTGACCCCATTCTATTGATTTTTGTCTCATCTGACCAGGTAGCCCTATTCCAGTCCTCAACAGTCCAATATTGAGGCTTTAAAGCAAAGGCTAGTCTCCTCCCTCTATAGGCTGAAGACAGGAAAGGCTTTTTCTGCCTGTTTACAGCTTTAAGGTTGGCTGCCTTATGAGTATTCCTGACTATTTGAGTGGAGAGAGTGGTGTAGATGATGTAATTAATGAATTTGGTGGCTTGAGTAGCATTGGCAGCCTTCCTAGTTGGAATATTATGAACAAGAGATTTTTTGTTATATGGTATAAGCTTGAAAGGACAATTTAGTTTGATATTTTCTTATCTGGAATGACTTTTTTGTGATCCTAATGATAGTAACCCTGTTCAGACCAGTTTTAGTAACAATCTGCCTGGTATACTAATTAGAAGAGCTGAGGATAATAATAGGGGCTATTTCAACTGTGGGAGAGAGTTACAGCAGAGTGGGGCAAGATTATTGATGAGGAATACCTCAAATTGATAGACAGTATGCATAGAAGAGTGGTAGAACTAATTAGAGCAACAGGAGGAAACACCAAGTAGTAGAATTATAGAGATTGTGTTGGTCAAAACAAAAGTCAAAAAAGTGTCTCAATGAGTCACCAAATTAAATTGACCATATCTTCACTTGATGACATAATCTTCCCACACTATAGGGATCAAACATAATGATTAGAAGCAGAGCTTTCCCACACCTCCCTATGGCTTAGTCATATTCTCACACCCTGGGTCATAATGAAGCAATTACATGAAAAGTCACAAACATTGAGACACTTTTTTGAGCCACTGTAATTGTCGATAATTGATTGTAGCCCTTGCAGCTAGATCAATTGCTGTGAACTCGTACCATTGAATGCTTGCTGGTTGCAGCAGGCTTGGTGCAAGCCCAATCCAAGTTCTACATTGCTGACTCGCTTCATTTGCTTGTCACAGACTTAGCATTGTCATAACAGTTGTTAAGTTAAGAAAGAGATTATAAACATATTGGACTTGATGATCTTACAAATGAAAGGGCTCAGACAAGGAATGGGAAAGGGACTCAGATAAAAAAAACTTGATTAGCTATGTATCATACCTAGGGATGGAAAAGGGGTTAGGTAGGGAGGTATAAATGCATTGTGAACCATGGCACATTGGGTTGCTGTCATTTGTCAGCGAGGTCACGTGCATTGGTGTTTTACATGCCTGTGGTAAAATGAGGCAATAAAACCAACTTTAGACCTTAGCACATCTTGGTCTTAAAACTCACTCACTGAGCCTCGAACGAGTTCATGGTGACCTATTATCATTCGGTCCTTTCTCGGTTCCTTCAAATGACTTCGAACCCTGAGCGAAAAAAGCGGACACCCTCACGACATTGACAATGAAAAGACCCCAGACTCTCGGTTCAACATCTTCGCTTTAGCTCAATGTCATAGTAGCTGTCACCGAGAAGCATGCGGGAATGTTGAAACCCGTTATCATAACGTAGACTCGTGATCAGCCCGTCTATGAGGAAAACCGTCGATAGACTGGTCACAAGTCTAATCACAACGGGTCTCAACTTCTCCGCATGCTTCCCGAAACCGCCGCTGTTCCAAGTCTTTTGGTCAAGCGCATTCCTTGGAGCGGCAGCGCTTCTCTATTTTGGTTTCCTCGGTCTCATTCTCGTGTCCCACCCTCTCCCATACAGGACTCAGGTTTCAAGTAGTGTAGCCTCCCCTTTACAGTACCTTTTGTTCTTTACATATCTTAAAATTTTAATCATAAACTTACTAAAATTCTCGTGTCTTTTGCTCAGTGAGATCAAGATGTAATATACAAATTGTAACTTTCAACAACAGAAACATGCATGTAGACACTTATATGTAGTAATGTAGTTATATGTCAGGTGGAACTGCGAAGAGAAAAAAACCAGGATCCGGTGCTAGATCTTGACGCGGAAGCGCGGCTAGGTCTTGAATCTTGATGCACTGTTACGGAACCGGCGGCGGCACAGCTAGGCTGCAGGAAGGAGCGGATTGGTACAAGGGTTTTAGGCAGGATGCAGATGGATCACCGGCGGCGTTCACGTGCACTAGGGTTGGAAGACGAAAAGACCGCGAGGCTCGAGCTCGACGAGTAGGACAACGAAGCTGACATGTAACGTTATAAGCAGGACAATGAAGACGATAATACATAGAAAAGACTCATACCTTTCTCCGATACAGTTTACGGGGTCCAACCTTTACTAAATAACGTCAGTCGAATGGTAACATGGTTTCTGGAAGATAGAGAGCTGAAGTATTTCGGAACGACAACAGGCCACACATCACTCATCTTTTCATTGTGAATGACGTGAGGGTGTCCGGACTTTGTGTGCTCAGGGTTGAACTCGTTCGAAGGAACCGAGAAAGATCCGAATGATAACAGGTTACTCGGCCCTTTCCGAACCGACCGTCCTGGCGTAAATGATCACCGAGCCATTTCCAAACCACTTGTCCCGGAACGACCTCAATTTTCAGACCGAACCTCGAAACCGCAATTTTAAAAACCATCCTTTTCGAACGCGCAGCTACTAGCCTACTTGTCATGGCCAGTTGCTTGGTGTGCAACTCATGATATTACATACATAATTTACCTTTTGCCCACAGTCAGTGAGTATCGGTACATCATTAGCCTATTCGCCATGCCCTTGAATTAACCCGAGATTGATATCCACAAGAGCACCACTATGCTAGTCCTGGAACAATGTACACATGGCGCAGCCTCACTAGTAATTGCATTCTTATAATGGCCAGTTCGAAATTGATCAGAATTATATCAACAGATATCCCAGTACCTCTGGAGTTGTCTTATCTCCCGGTCAACTTCCTATGCCGCTAATCCTACTCTGCCTAGCTGGAAAGTTTCTTCCTCGCTCTCTTTAAAGCCTTCAGTTCGCTACTGCGACGACCGCATGGCATTAATCTCGATGGACCTGACAGGGGGAACTGGCTATCAGGTTCTTGAACCATGTACTCGTCATTATGCGGCTTCTTCGTCTGACCTCCAACATAGGCAACATTATCAGACTTTTTGATGGCGTTGACTATTGTGTGAACCTTTCAGAGAAATATGGTGGGGCGGTGAGACTCCATGGGCTATATGGCGTAAGTCTATTCACGACGTACATCAGCGTACTCCGAGTTGCCCTTGCGAATGTTCATTTATTTAGGAAACTGTCTATGTGTCCGATCCACGTGCATTGCATCACATTGTAGTCAAAGACCAGCAAATATTTCAAGAGCACGAAGACTTCATCATGTCAGTTTTCTCCTACTTTTTTGGTACTGTAGTAACTCGGTGCATCAAGGTCAAACAAACTTGTATTTGGTGAAGGCCTGATATCCACCATTGGTGCGGCACATCTCGTCAAGAATCAACTACTCTTCTTCTAATACTGTGTACTTATCCCCAGGAGAGCAGCATCGCCGACAACGCAAACTTATCAGTCCCGTGTTCTCGACGTCAAACATGCGACGACTCCTCTCCACAGTATGCCAAATCACTGATAGGCTGGCATCCACCCTCGCAGCTAAACTTCCTGCTGATGGCTGTACGTATCACACTCTTACCCTTAGAAAAACTCGGTTGATACCTGTCACGCAGCACACAGCGAGGTTGACGTCCTTACATGGCTCTCCCGCTGTGCCCTCGACAACGTTTGTCATTGTATCCTTGGGTATACCTCCAATGGCCTCTCAGCTGCAGAAGATGACATGTACACTGAAGCACTGCGGTCGGTCGGGTGCGTCCGCTCAATTTAGTCTCCCGCTCTTTTGAGTCGTAACAATACACACTGCAGGCCTTTAATAGGAAATCTCTGCTTGCTACGGCCGTTTGTGTCAATCGTCACGCGTTGCTGCTCGCTATACTGGGCAAGGAAAGTTCTTGATTTGGTCACGGCGCCCTGGATCCCGACAAAGTTTATGAGAGACATACGGGAGATGCGCCGCGTTGTCGAGACCATGGATTCTGTCAGTCGAAAAGTACTTGCAGAGAAAAAAGCGGCAATGGAGGCGGAGGATATGTTATATGGAGACAGTGATTCGATACCATCGATGATGGATATCATGCGTGAGTTCCATGGACCATAATCAATAGTATCGTGGCTCAAGCACGCACAGTTAAGGCCAATTCCGTGTCATCCAATGCAACAAAGCTTACGGATGCTGAACTGCTGGGACAAATGAAGTAGGTTTCTAATAATGTGCGCGTTCCAAACATCGTCTGATCACATTATAGCGTCATGATATTTGCTGGCCTCGATACGACTACTTCTGCACTTGCCCGCTGTGTGTACTTGCTCGCCCAGCATCCTCGCGTTCAAGCAAGACTTAGGAACGAAATTAGCGACGCCATGAAGTTCTCGAGACATCAGGAAGACAACGACATCCCATCCGCCGAACTGCCCTATGACGTCCTCATGAGCCTCCCCTTCCTCGACAGCATCGTAAAGGAGACCCTCCGTCTCTACCCATCGCTCCCACTCATGATCCGAACGTACGTACATTTCTCTTATTAGTCCTCCCAGATATATCACTTTGCGCATGGCACACGGTACAGGGCGACCAAAGCAACCACCCTTCCTTTACATTTCCCCACGCGCTCACGGTCCGGTGAGCACACATCCGTCGTCACAATCCCGCAGGGGACCGATGTAATCATCTCCATCCTTGCTGCGAACCGCCATCAAGGTATATGGGGTGCTGATGCAAACGTGTGGCGGCCTGAACGATGGTTGTCATCACCCCTGGCATCCACGTCGACATCTGCGCCTGTTCTGGGCATTAAGGATGGTGTGCGGTTTCCTGGCGTGTACTCTAACATGTGAGTGCTAATAATGCTTCCTGTTCCCACTGAGTTTATTAAAGTGGCATGCGCACACAGGATGACGTTTCTCGGTGGCAGCCGCTCCTGCATGTCAGTCCCTTCCTTCTCATGACCTCCTTCTGACTAACCACACAATTCCTGATTACTAGCGGGTTCAAATTCGCTGACATGGCAATCAGTACGTCCATACCTTTGTGTGGTGATAATTCGCAGTCAGAACCAACCCTCTCGCCAGAACAAGTCCTCGCGACGCTTGTGCTGCGTCTGCACTTCTCGCTTCCGACGGAGCGGAATGCACAAGGGCATGTGAAGGAGATACAATGGAAGCTCAGGGGGTTTCATATCCCTGTTGTGAAGGCCCCTGCTGGTGATGGCGTGACACCGCAATTGCCTCTGAATGTGCGGCTGGTGAGGGACGATGATTTTGTGTGGTAGGTTACAATATGTTAGAGTCGGGAGAGGCATTGTGGATGGCCAGCGGGACGCAAATTGTTATTGAACCTCATGGTAGATCTGACGGTAGGGATGATCAACAAGCAGAGATTAGATACAACAAACTCATCTGGCGCGGATTGTGTATAAATGTTACAAGTGACTGCCGCTGCGCGGCTTGCCTTGTAAAAGGGTTCGAATTCTGTGCGGGTTTGCGTTCACTATAGAAGATTTCTTTGTGGATCGATATGTAGTATGTTGTCGCCCATCTTGTGCTGCAAAAATAATATCCGAATCTGCGTGCATGATACGTGGCAGTCTTTAGATGCCAAAGAGCTGTATATATACTTCGAACTCGCACACAGGTGCTATCGTCAGCACCATAGCACTCTCCGCTGGTAACACTTCTCAGATACACAATGTAAGCTAGCGTGCATAACAGACGGCTATTGTACCTATCAAGTCATGCGTGCTTACATTGTGTATGCTTGCTGAAGCGCTCACTATTAGTGCCCTAGTACTTGTTTCACAAAGTATTCGGACATGGTCGAAACATTAGCTCGTAAATTTAAGTACTTCATTAGCTATACCTATGAACTATGTGCATCATTGCCTGTGTAACTTCGAAATTCGTTCGCCTCAGAGTGCTATATGATACTTCATTGAAAGTATTTCTCCGTGTCCGAACCGCCGCGTGCGCGAGAGTCGCAGAAATCATCGACTACACCAGATATCTAAAACCAACAGGGTTTGGAAGGTTGTTTATATCCTTCGCATTCCGCTCGTTCCTCTCCATTCGTTCATTCACCCGCTTCAAATGCAAATACATCACACCAAACATTGTTGTTGACCCCCCAAGTGCTGCGAAACAGATGGCGTAGGAATAACGATACGTCGGTCCCCAGGCAATTGGCCAGACGTATCTATGAAACGTCAAATTGTAGACAATCAATGAGAGTGAGAGATTGATGCCACTGACGCTCCAATGATATTCCCGGCCTGTGACAGTCCATTAATCAAAGCGATCGCAACAGCGCGCTTGGCAGGTTCTCTGGCGAAAATATTGTTGATCCATCCCCAGATCACCATATATGCAGCAGAGATTTGAGCCATGAGGAAACTGTACGACTCTGAGTACGGGATGTAAGACTTTATGTGCAACAATTCTACTTACACCGAAGTATAGCGCGCAGCCGTGTTCATTGTGCAGATGGATATGATGAAACCAACGCCGGCGAGTGCACTCGAGGCAAAAAGGAATACGTAACGTTTTTGAGCCTTATCAGAGTACCTGGTCGTTCATGAGACGTGATTCGAGATAGAGACCGTTCACTGACCTTGAGATAACAAATGCAACTATCGTGGAGAATACCCATGGAGGAGCGCAGAGTAGTAAAGTGTTCATTGTATCATACCCAAGAGTTGCGACGATCGTCGGGAAGTAAATGACGAATGACAGTGCCACAAACTGGACAATGAGTGCGACCGACAACCACCACACCTTCCAGTCGCACACAGCATCCCGCAGTCCTTGCATGGTCGTCCGTTTCCCAAGTTCGTCAGTGCCATCTTCTGCAAGGCGAGAAATAGCGAGTGCTCTTTCCTCCGGAGTGAGCCATTTGGTGTTGTGCGGGAAATCAGGAAGAATGAAAAGTGCACAAATTGCGACTAGAATGGTGGCGCCACCCTCGATGTAAAATAGCCATCTACAGATATTTCAGCTTTAATGAGTAATAGAGACGGACGTTTCTTGCCTCCACGCAGCTTGTCCAAGTTTTCCCTGCATGCCTGTAAGTACACCTGATGCAAACACGGCTCCGAACCCAGAGGCGAGAACAGATCCACAAGTAACAAGGGTCGTTCTTACAGCGAGCTCATCTCGCTTATACCATCCAGATATCAGATACAGAACGCCAGGGTAAAAGGGAGCTTCGACAAAGCCGAGAAAGAAACGGGCTAGAAGAATACCCGTATAACTTGAATCAAACTATTAGACATTACAATGATGCAAACCGAGAATGCGCACTTCTTTGTGATCCCTGGGCACGGTCAGCATTCATATCCATCAACGGCCGGTGTCGACAAACCTGTTAATGTTGATACTAGGCCCCAGATCACCATACTACCAGGAATCAGGATGGATGGTTTCTCTAGCCAGTGCAGAACCATATTCCTGAAAGAAAGAGAGACTTTACATTGACCTAACCCTCAACGATTGATGCAACTTACGCTGGCACTTGCATAAGGATGTATCCCACATATACGATGGACAAGATCGTAGCATATTGATTCCCCTGCAGGTGCAAGTCTTGCTCAAAAGTTGCCAACCGTGCACTACTGTGGACAACATGAGGTGCTATATAAAGCGAGTATGACGACATACGACTTACCTAGCATTCGCTCTGTCGACCTACCCATGGTATGCAGTAAGTACGAGGTTACACACCGATACGATAGCTCAGACCCACAAAGTTCAGTGCATATAAAACAATGATTATAGACATACGTAAATCGAGCTTCCTCACCAATCTCCTCTCGAGATCATCGCGGGCATGGTTTGGTACGCCAGAGGACAAATCGTCGTTCATGTACTCAGTGGCTTTTGCATCGCTGAGAGTAGTCATTGTTCAGAAAACAAAACCACAACGGGAAGAGTTGATAACCCTCTTCTTGGTGACACTAGGTAAGAAGAATGGTAGGACTCGGAATCTCGCGGCCACGGGTCGTCAGACAACTTGGTTAAATATCATCGACAGAGAAAATTAATGCTGCTTCACTTCAACTTTACCTGGCGATGCGTGGCAGTGGAGCTCAGTGGAGCAGGAACCTTGCGACAAGATTGATCGCAGAACCTGGCACAACCCTATTGGGGGATAAATGACTGCATGATGAAATTTCATACCTCTGGAATGATGTCAATAAGATAATTAGGTGATCCTAGGAACGGGTAACAATGTCGACCCAGGCCTGTGACTAGCCCTCTTGAGTCCAATATCATTGATGACTGATGTGCCGCGACTCGCACCATTCAGGAATGGGGCTTGAATTAAAATAACTTCTCCGATCAAGAAGCAAACTCTACCCCTAGTCAGGCTTGAAGGTCTCATGGGGCGCGGAGTCACAATTCTAGCATACCAGACGGCACCATATTAGCACGCAGCATTCAATTCGACACCATGGCGTGTCTGACCTTATTCCGTATAATCAAAGTCAAATAGTACAAGGATACGTCATGTGCAGGTGTGTTTGCGGTCTTCCTGGTTCGGCGCGGTGAGTCTGGGCTGTCATGTAAAAGCTCGCTGGGAACCGTATATAGAGTCCATGTAGATCAGCCACTCAGTGAACAGCTTCTGAGAAATTCGTCAACACGTGGCATATGCTAGTGATAGCAACAAATACATAGCGCTTCTCTTCGGGGACCTCGGAGTGTGGCCTCTGGCCCAACGGAAGGGCCAATACAACTTGAAGGCATTGTGCTATGAAAGTAACAGGCTACCGAGTTACTTGTGTCTTGGACACACATTTTGCGAGCTCCTTGCAATGAGCTCCTCAAACCTCTCGAAGTACGTGGCAGCGCGAACGTGTTTCTGACCAATGTTATTTCTACCGAGAGATTACGTACGCCAGGATAACATTAAGCAAGGTAATCGGGTACGTGTCAATGAAGTCTGCCGCCGCTCAGCTTCCTTTCGGAACTAAAATAAGATTCTATATTATTTCGTGAGTGGAATGTGTGATTGATATCAGTTGCGCTACTTACGAAAATCGCCCGGCAATTTGTCTAGCGTTTTGTCGTTGAATTCATCGACATGGACTCGGATATCATTGAGGGGAAAGGAATAACACAATCAAGACAAGTTTCAGCGTCTTTGTAGTGGGAAGAAGAAGTCAATCTTATCGTCGAAGTTTGTGGTCGCTGTTATGAGTGCGAAATCGCAGGAGCAGTCTTCTCCAACGCGATCCACCACACGAAAGCTGTGAATTGTGGGTCATCGATGTCGCAGATTGGCTAAAGACGCGGATGTTTTGCCATAGCGTGGGCCGCCCTGGAGTTGTTGTTTCTCCTTAGGCCTGCTTGCCGGAGATTTCATTGGCAAGGGTCCTGGCCGATATAGAGCAACACAACAGTATTTGCAAAAATACATGACCGTGTGGTGGACGTTACCGAGCCGCCTCGGTCACGGTTTTGCGTCCGAGACCGAGATCAATCTTCAAATTTAAAAGGTCTATTAATGTACAGCCACATGCACAGCCAGTCATTACCACTACTAGTATTGAACTGCGGCCTGCGCACTGACAACCACGTAAGGATACGCTGAGGCTTCACTAAAAGTCATCTAACCTCTCTCAACTTCCCATGTCTCTGGTCCAAGTTTGCGTACTCAGTTCGTTCTCTCTCGCTCTCTGCAAGGTCCTTGTGCTCCTGTTAAGACGACCCCATGGCATCGACCTTGATGGACCGAACAGGGGGAATTGGCTGACAGGTACGTTCTAAAATCAGTCCTTATTGACATCCAACTACCCCGTCTGACATGTACATAGGCAATGTCGCGTCTCTCTTTGAAGGCGGTGTTGACTATTGCGTGCACATTGCAGAGAAATATGGTGGAGCAGCGAGGCTCCATGGGCCGCTAGGCGTGAGTCGTCCATTCATGACTAGTGCACATCACCTTCCACGCACTTGCGTCATTCAGGAAATCGTATATGTGTCTGACCCACGCGCATTGTATCACATGGTCGTCAAAGACCAGCACATCTTTGAAGAGCCTGGCCTCTTCATCATGTCAGTATTCTCTCGCTTTCTCATACCGAATTGACTCGGTACCATCAAGGTCAAATAAACTTGTTTTCGGTGAAGGCCTGATATCCACCGTCGGTGAGGTATATCTCTCCAAAACCTAATATTCTTTTTAACACCTTTTCACCAGGAGAGCAACATCGCCGGCAACGCAAACTTCTCAACCCCGTCTTCTCAACATCAAACATGCGACGACTCCTCTCCATACTACACCCTATTTCAGACAGACTCGCATCTACCCTCGTGTCCAAACTTCCCGCTGATGGCTGTACGTACCACGATCTCACACTCTGCAATTTCCGTTGACCTTTCAACGTGCAGCTCACAAAGAGATCGACGTCCTTCCATGGCTATCCCGCTGTGCTCTTGACGGCGTCTGCCAAGGTATCCTCGGGTACCCCTCCGACACCCTTTCAGCGGCAGAGAATGACCCGTACCCAGAAGCATTGCGGAGGATCGGGTACGTCTGGTCAGTTTGTCGCGTCTGAACTCAAAGTACAATAATGCATTGTAGCCCCTTGATCGGAAAACTCATGAAGGTACGGCCGATCGCGATGATCATCATGCAATACTGCTCCTCGTATTGGGCGAGGAAAGTGCTTGATTTGGTCACGGTGCCCTGGTTCCCAACGCAGTTTATGGCAGACGTGCGGGAGATGCGACACACCGTGGAAACCTATGGATAGTGCCAGTCGAAAGGTGTTTTTGGAGAAAAAGGCGGCCATGCAAGCCAAAGAAATGCCGGACCCCGTTGACACCGCGTACAGAGAAAGTGATTCGATGACGTCGATGATGGATATCATGCGTGAGTTCCATGGGCAATCGAGAACATCCTCGCTCAAGTATAATGCACAGTAAAGGCCAATATCGTGTCGTCCAACACGGAACGGCTTACAGATGATGAGTTGTTGGGACAAATGAAGTGGGTCTTAACGTTTTCCGTGCGCTAAAAAAATCGATTGATGTCGTTGCAGCGTCATGGTATTTGCCGGCCTCGACACGACCACCTCTGCGCTTGCCCGTTCCATCTACTTGCTTGCTCAACACTCCGGCGCTCAAGCGAGACTAAGGAGCGAAATCCGCGATGTCACAAAGATACTTGAAGAAGACGGTCACGTGTCATCCGCAGAACTGCCCTACGATGTCCTTATGAGCCTACCGTTCCTCGATGGTGTCGTCAAAGAGACTCTCCGTCTCTATCCCTCTCTTCCACTCATGGGCCGAGTGTACGTTCCCCCTCTTCTCCTATACAGAGAACTCACCATGCATGGCGCATCACAGAACGTCCAAAGCAACTACCCTCCCTTTGCAATTCCCTGCACGTTCTCGGTCTGGTGGATACACGTCCAACGTCGCGATCCCAGAGGGCGCTTTTGCAATCATCTCCATCCTCGCTGCGAATCGCCACCAAGAGATGTGGGGTGCTGACGCGAATGAGTGGCGTCCTGAGCGGTGGCTTTCATCCACTCTTGCTGCTCCCTCGCAAACACAAGAGGTGAGTTGTTCAATGGATAGGGAAGATGCTGCGTCCGCGTCGAGATCTGCGCCTGTTCTGGGCGTCAAGGATAGTGTGCGGTTTCCTGGTGTGTACTCCAATATGTGAGTACTCACAGCGTTTCCCTACCAAAGTTCATATGCTTAAATGCACATAGGATGACGTTCCTCGGTGGTAGCCGCTCCTGCATGTCAGTTTTTTAATTCCTCACATGTCATATCCCCGCCCATTTGGTTCTGATTTTTGCAGCGGGTTCAAATTCGCTGAAATGGAATTAAGTATGTCCATACCTTCGTGTGTAGATGTTTAAAATAATGCTCCTGACCAGAACAAGCTATCGCAACGCTCGTGATGCGTTTGCACTTCTCGCTCCCGACGGAGCGGAACGCACACGGCCACTGTGAAGGAGATTCAATGGAAGCTACAAGGATTTCATATTCCTGTCGTGAAGCCACCCGCTGGGGATGGTGTAACGCCACAAGTACCGCTAAATGTGCGACTGGTGAAGAAGGATGATTTTATTTGGTAGGCTGTTGTGTGGTATTCTGCAGTGATGCTTGCGTGCCTACTAACAGAACGGGATGGCATGGTTTGATGCAGCAGAGCTATACGATCAACAGCCGAGTGTACGACAAGATGTATGATATAAAACGCTACAGGAAAAGCTGACCGCGTAAATTTTGTAATTTATAGCGAAGCGGTACAAAGTTACATTGCCTTGCAAGGATTTCCACCCGATTGGAAACCCGTGAATGGAAAAGGTGACATGTTTGCACGTGAGCGATGCCAATACGAGGAAAAGACAGTAAAAAAGATAGAAAATCATAAGTGCGTCGTGAGCTTAGGCTTACACCGATCATCGGCGGGATGAGCAGTAGTTTCGCCTATGATTACTTAGTGCAAGAGTCGCGTGGATCGTTGACTACACTAGATATCTGAAACCAACAGGATCCTGAAGGTCATTGATATCCTGTGCATTTCGCTCATTTATTTCAATCTGCTCATTCACCCGCTTCAAATGCAAATGCATGACACCAAGCATGGCCGTCGTCACCCCAAGTGCCGCGAAGCAGATAGCATAGGAATAACGATATGTCGGGCCCCAGTTGAGAGGCCAGATGTACCTATGAGAGATGGTAAATAATCAGCGGGAGCAGGAGATCAGTGGCACTAACGATCCGCCGATGCTCCCCACCGCAGACACTCCACTAATCATAGCAATAGCAACAGCTCGCTTTGCAGGTTCTCTGGCAAATGTGGTTTTTATCCATGCCCAGAGCACCATTTGTCCGGCGCCGCTTATAGCCATCAAAAACCTGCACGTTTCTGAGTACACAAGGCATCACTGTATTGGGCAAGGATAGTGCTTACATGGAAGCATAGCGCGCAACCGTGCTCATAGTACACATGGATACAGTGAATCCAAGGGCAGCGAATGCATTCGATGCAAAAATGTATATGAAACGCTTGTGCGTATGATCAGAGAGCCTGGTCGTCCATAAGACGCGATTCGAGATAGAAACAAAATAGTTTACCGACCTTGAAAAAACAAAAGCACCAATTATGCCGAGCACCGATGGAGGAGTGGTGAGCAGCAAAGTCACCGTCGTATCATATCCCATAGTTGCGACGAGCGTTGGGAAGTACATGGCGTATGACAGCGCAATATGGTCGACAATAAGCGCGACTGTAAACCACCATACCTTCCAGTCGGACAAAGCATGCCGCAGTCCTTGCATGGTCGTCTGTTTCCCAGGCCCGTCCATTCTTCCATAGCCATCATCTGCAAGGCGAGAGATAGCGAGTGATCTTTCCTCCGGAGTGAGCCATCGGGTGTTGTGAGGGAAACTAGGGAGTATAAACATCGCACAAATCGCGACTATGACGGTGACGCTGCCTTCGATATAAAACAACCACCTGCAGACTATGTCAGCTTCAGCGAATAACAGAGACGAACGTTTCTCGCCTCCATGAGGCTTGACCAAGTACTCCTCGCATGCCTGCAAGTACACCAGATGCGAACAGGGTTCCGAGCCCACTGCTGAACACACTTCCACAAATAACGAGAGTCGCTCTCATAGCGAGCTCGTCTCGCTTGTACCATCCTGATATAAGAAATATGATGCCAGGGAAGAAGGGTGCTTCGGCAAAACCGAGAAGTAAACGGGCGAGAAGAACCTCGGTGTAACTTGGGTCGGACTATCAGACCCCACAATGACAAAAAATGAGAATGCGTACTTCTGTGCGGCCCCTGGGTACGGTTAGCATTCATGGTCATGAGTGGCCGGTATCGACAAACCTGTTAATACTGATATTACACCCCACATCATCATACTGCAAGGAATCAGGATAGCAGGTCTCTCTAGCCAGTGCAGAAACATATTCCTGAAAGAAAGAGGGTCACAATAATTTTTCCCTCAACGAAGGACGCAACTCACGCTGGCACTTGCATGACAATGGTTCCCACATTGACGATAGACAAGATTGTCGCGTATTGACTCCCCTGCAGGTGTAGGTCTTGCTCAAAACCTGCCAACCGTGCCGTACTGTAGACAACATGAAATATCATATAAAGCGAGTATGAAGACGCTTACCTAATATTCGCTCTGTCGATCTAACCAGCGGTAAGCACCAAGTAACAAAGAGCTCAGACTCACATTGCTCATGGCATACAAAAGCACGATCGCGGACATATGTAGATCGATCTTCCTCACCAATCTCCTCTCGAGATCATCACGGGAATGATTTGATAAATCAGAGGAGACATCAGCTGCTTCCGATTTCGCGTCGCTGAGAGCAGTCATCGTCGAACGACAAAAGCACAGCAGGAAGAGTTGACAAGCTTCTTCTTTGTGGCGTGCAGGTGAAAAACAAAGTTGATATTGGTGCGGAATCCACTGCAACGGGGAACCGATATGGAGCGTCTGGTACGGTCATCGATTAAATATTGAATGGCACCCAATAGGGTACCTTGAACAAATTAATACTAGGCTTCGCATCTAGTGTAATCAATGATCATGTGGATGCAGAAGGCGCAGTCAGCCGACAGTGTTACGATAGAATATTCTTACATGGGGATCAATGAAAGTGATGGTAGAACCTGGCACAACGGTATTGGGTAATGTAGATCAGTAAATTATACCTGGCATCTTCGAGGTCTTAATCTAACACCCTTCCAGGTGTATTCCAAGTTAAGTACAAGTTCCAGGAAGTATTATTTCGCGAGTTCGACTTATCATACAGGGAGGCGTGCTTCTGTTGGCTTCTTGACAGCTCGCCATGATCCAATCTAGTCCAGTGTTGATGTCGCTCTTTGGCTTTATTAAGGGCACGTCAATGAACATATCTTTTGAAATACTTAGTCGGAACGGCGTACCGAGGACACATTCGCTTCTATCATGGTGCTCATCGCCAAATTCCTCCATTCGGCAAAGGGCTTTGTGAGAGGTGCCCGATACTCATGCCAGCACACAATTTGCATGCCATACAGACGCGGGGTATTTTCTGTGGCATAAAAAGTTATCCAGGCCTTTTTTTTGCCTTGGGGGAATTTGAACGCACAGGATGCGCTAGGATGTGTGGGAAGTCTTTAAAAGCGAGTGGTACATGACCGGCGCTGGTTGAATAGATGACCACAAACCAAGTGGTCGATAGAGCGGAGGTCGTGAGCGGTGCATATTGAAAGTCGACCGCGGACATAATGGCGCGTTTGGGTCGGTGTGTGCGTCGAGGTTATTTACGGATGACATGACAATTTGAACGAGGTTTTGGGAGTTTGTCTCTATTTGCGTGGAGCATTGAGCCGCATTTCTAAACTGAGTGGGTGAGTCCCTAAGTCCTATAAAGGTACCCTGTTGATGCCAACGACAGGACAAGATCGACGCAGGCACGCACCATACTCCACAGTTCACGATCTCTGGATACACGCAATGCCCATGATGCAGCATCTCCCCTTGCCACTCAAGACCTGCTTCAAAGCAGATAGAATGTAGAAAATAGGGTAGAATCTCGCGTTCAGTACCAGTATCGGATATTTTTGGAATCATGATGATACTTATCCAGATTGGGCTGAAGGTCCTATTTCAGTTCGTGGAAAGAATATAAATAGACCTACAAATAACAATTTCAGGATCGATGCTCAAAACTCGGGAGAAGAGGGGAATAAGACTCACAACAAAATCACATTTCCATCCATCCAGCTTCTGCTCGACCTGATTGCGCTCTTATGCGCTGACAATTCCAGGGGGGTTTATGATGTCGTATTCCAAGCATCCGCATCAATATCCATGTCCGGAAAGGTGTTGAGGATGGTTTGATTGATAACTGCGCACCGGTCTTAGACTCTGATAGCGTATGGCATGTTTTTGCTCTCGTGAGCAGCCCGGGTAGGCGATTCTTTTCAGTGGTATCGTCTAGACTTGTGGGAAGCGCACAAATTTGTGGGGACTTCTCCTCACTTCGGTTCGGTGGGAAAAGGTGCAGTTTCGCCTGTAGGTACTTGCACAAGACGTTCTCTGACTGGAGTTCCGTTCGCACAGGAAGCTCATTGAACATGATGGGCTGTAAGTCGCTCAGATGCCCTCGTAGCAACATGTGAGAAGCACAATTCATGGTTTCACAAACCAAATTGTCGTTTCCATTCGAATTCTGGTGGACATGATACAAAGAAGTGTTAGAAAAGGATGTTATGTAAACACGATGACTCCGCGAGAACAGGAGCCGAGAACTCAGTTACATAATTGGGATGAAGCAAATCTATAAGAGCCAGAAGCTATATATATATGTCGTGACGTTTATCTTGTTATTCAATGGCAGAACCATGTTCTGCCAGATTTTTGCCAGTTCTACCGGCGGAACTACTTCAAAATAGTTCTACCGTGCCGCTCTAAGACATACGAGGATCCCTGGCACTCGGGGAAGGCCAGAACACAACGGGGCAAGGAGGGGAATGAAAAAAGGTGCGTGCGCCGCTGGCTATAACGAGCATGGTGAACCACGCATTAGAATGCGTGGTGAAGAGGTGTACTCCTTCATGACCAACATTCGAGTCTACGTTGAGTGCCTGGATTGAGTTCATATATAAAGTGCGAATGTCATCGTCATATGTCGCCTCACTCATTCTCTAACAGCATGAGCATAGTCCTAGATGATCCCACATGGTGGCTGGCCATCAATTCATACCAAAATTTTGGCTATTTTGTAGGTTCGTAGAGATCACGCTACCGATGTCTCAATCTAACTTTGGCTGTGTTTCACAGTTGCCGCCTTTGTTGGAGTGATGTATGATTGGGGTGAGTATGGCGCTATTCAAGAACTCCTGATATCCTACACGTATTTACAACGCTTACATCCGGACAAGAGGTATGTTGATGGTGAATGAAGCAATCATCTCGCTAAGAATCATTTTATAGGTTGAACTGATCTGGGTGAGCAGAGTTTCACGTCAGAAGAATAACATTGATTTGCGGCAGAGGCAACGTTGGTCCCTTGTGACCGTGCTGTATCTGTATGCGACGCATCAATCCAGAAAGATCTTGATATTTCCCATCGTCATCTTCCTGGCTGTCAATATCTTCGATGTAGTGGTCGGTGTCATGTTAGCGATTAATACATCAGGGGGTAAGTCACGCTCAAATGCGGACGAAAAATCATCCATGGGACTCATAGATTAATACCAGAGGCGTTTATTCTCTCCGGCACCTATCAGTGCTCGATTGGCTATGTGGAAGATGCCATACTTCTGATTTCTATTACTTGGATGTTCGCCACTGCGTGAGAGATCCTCGTACTGTGTCTCGCAGTGCGGATTGCTATAAAACACTTCTGTAACTGCGGCACCATTCAACAAGAGGGATCATAGGGGACTGTTTCACAGTGCTGATGAAAACTCACATACTTTACTTATGGGGTGAGCTCATATTGTGAATATGTTCCCTTTTTTTCGCTGAGGGATTGGATCATGTCACGATGCTAGCTTTGTTGTTGTCTCTTGCTTCCAATCCATTACTTATTTCTCTCCGACGAACTCAGCGGTACATATAACAACCTTTCACCGACCTCGGTTCATCACTTATCATTTCTATAGGACCGATATTCCCTGGGGACCAAGATTTGTCTTGGGTTTCTTCAGATTTTTCGGTCGTGCAGATGTATGTGCTAGGACCACGTCTGATCCTTGGCGTTCGAGAGTACTACGCTAAGCTCATGGCCGACTCGGACGTAGCAACTAGCATGGCCTCGATCGCCTTCCAGGAGCGTGTGCATATATCGACTGGCAGTGGTGTGTAGCATGGGAGGAGTCGATGGTTGTCTAGTGTTTTGCAGGGAACAAGAGGTTTTTTTGTTCCAGAATTCGTCGTGGTACTTGTTTAGTCGCTTGGTGTTGCGAAGTGGATTTTAAGGAAGTATGGTAAATTTATACACCTTTAAGTGTCTGCAAGGGAGCATACCCGTCTTATAGAAAATGTGCTGCGAGTCCGGATATCGGGCGAGATGTGCGAGTATGTGTTCTGTCTCCCAAGCGCGCATCTCAACAAATTCTGCCCACAAGCAGTTCCCACTGGAACTGAGGTCTCATTACACTGTCCAGTTTTTCCAGTACATACACCAGTCGGATCAAGAAACCAATTATTACGGTAAAATTACGGAAAGCTGGAGGACTCAGGTTAAATTTCGGGCAGAAGGATTTTTAGAGACACATGCACGCCGTTAGCCATACAATGAATGTCTGCCAATGCTCCTTCGCAAGGGCTTTGAATACGAGAAAACACTCAAAAGCAACGCACCTATACTCCGGCGTCTCTATGCCTTCGCTGATTCGACGGTTGTGCCCTAAAGAGGTGACACTTCACAATAAGTTACGGCATCGGTATCGTCGCTGACGCAGGAAGCTCCCGTTTTAAGAAAGCATGGGTCTGGCCAAATTTATACCCCTGTCTAAGTAGTCGCTGGAAGACTCCGCCCGCGGTGTAATATCATCTACGAATCATTATTCTATGCAGTAAAGCTACAGGAGTGAAAAATGTAGGTATGCGAGTAAAATGTCCATCCATCCATCTTTAACGAGCGGTGGAAGTAATATCATGAGTGGGACGTAAAAGCAAGGTTCAAAACAAAACAAAGCAAGAAAACGACGCGCCGATCATGAGAGCTGACACAACCCACAGCCTCCACTCAACCCCGTACTCCCCAATTCACAGCTTGTAAGCAGCGTACTATTGCAAAGCGAGTTTGGAATTGTCCCAGTGAGAGCCGTATTATTCTGGAGGTTGAGGATCTGTAACGACGATTGAAAGGTTGTCGGGAAGGGCGGTTGGAGGTTATTGTTTGACAGCAAGAGTTGTGTGAGTGATGAGATAGATGAGATGGTGTTTGGGATGGGGCCTGTGAGGGAGGTGGATGATAAGTCGAGGAGTTTGAGGGACGTTTGGAGGGCGGGGCTGGATGAGAGGGTTGGGAGGGGGTTTGTGAGGGATTGAGAATTGATCACCCTGGATGATGGTCAGGTGTGATAATTAGGAAGGCAGGAAGGGGACTCACAGGTTCTGGAGTGGGAGCTGGGTGAGGGAGGATGGGAGGGAGGAGCCCATTGTGGGGTTGCGGATGAGGGTGAGTGTTGTGATTGATGTAAGGGAGGAGAAGAGGTTATCTGGGAGTTGTGTGATGGCTGTAGCTTCAATGTGGAGATTGGAGAGGATGGTGAGGTTGGTAAACGATGAAGGGAGCGCTCCAGCTACAAATATGTGAGATCGTACTAATGATAGGATGCAGTGACATACCTGGTATGCTATCACCACCAATAACTTGCAAAGATTCGAGGCCGGTGAGTGCACCGAGTTCGTTGGGTAATGTTGCTGGTACCCCAGGGAATGTCAATTGCCTGTATGTATGTAGGTGAGTGGCAGTAGGCGATTTTCATGGAATGGACTGACAGATTTGCGACTCTTCCGGAACCATCGCATGTGACACCGTTCCAAGCACAAAATTTGACGTCGTTCACCCACCCGAGGGATGCTTGACCTTGTGAGTTGGCGGTGTCGAATATGGCGCGTAGACCACAGAACTGGATAGCGTTGAGGATCTGTTGTGCATTCTGTGGATTCGAAGATAGATAGCTGGAAGGGACGGTCTGGAGGGTTGGCAAGCAAGTTGAGCATGGGTATGAGGAAGGGCTGGAAGGTGCGTTGAGGGTGTATTGGGACAAGCACTGTTGAGCATTGGCGGAGAGAGACGTGCTGAAAGGTGTGACTGTATTTATGGATAGGATGCGAACGTTGAGGAAGATGACGTTCCCGATTAAAAAGAGTAGTACGATGATGAGGAGACAACACAAAGTACGGTTGCGTGCGTTGTTACATTTACGCTTGTTAACGTGAAGAGGTGGCCATTCAGCGAGCTCTTCTGGCATACGCAAGTCGAATAATAATTTGGTGAATCGATCCCGAGGCGCTGATTTTTCAACGTCAAAGTCTTCACGGAACTTTGAAGTCATCGTCGCTAGCGTGAAGAACACTAGAATTCATCGTAGCACTCAAATATCCCTAGCACAATAAAGTCGTCAATGACAATAACACTATTGTTCTTTATTTGTACATGACTTGCTAAATTAGGATGATCGGCCTTCTGTTACACGTATATCAACGGGCTATATCTAAGGGGCATCCAATGTCGAGTGACACGCATCAACTGGTGAATCTGAGAGACGGTGTTGAATGGATATTGAAAATGTCCTTTGACGCGCCCATTAGCAATGGTCAATTCCCGCCTTGGCCGCTATGCACATAACACCATGCAGACTTCGGCAATGAATAGTAAATACTCAAGCTCTAAATGACGCAGCACAAATCTGGATGTTGAAATCGCTCCTCACGTCTCTTCAACTTGGTCAATATTGAGTATTTAAACGAATACAAAGGCGCCTCTGTTGCTCATGAAACGGGAACATTTGTCCAGACTCCAGGAACAACCACGTTGACCGAGTCAGCAACAAACTACTTAATGTGCCATCAGCTACAGCACCAATATGAAAGCAGAAGCACAACTCACTGTCTAGACGTGCTCATGGACAGGGTACCAGCCCATCGGTAAGCAGTCTACTCCTGGCAGGTTTTGTGACCCTATTTACATCGCAAGGTGCAAGGGTTGAGTCATGTATGCAAAGCAAACCACTCATACTCACTTTCGCGTCACCGTCCCAACGACAACTCAAGCCAGTGCAGCATTGACTGTCCTTCTTGCATTTTTTGCCTCCGTGGTGGCATGCAGTGACAGACATACACGCTACCAAAGCAGTGACGAGGAGGAGGAAGGGGAAACGCATGATTTATACGAAGTGATACGAGGAGACTCTGAACTACTTGACATAGACTGTGCTTGCTTTTATATGCTGAAAATATTACTTTGGGGCTATTGATTTAGCGGATTGGTTACGCCTGGATGGCAGAATTTTACGACGGATGGTTTAGGATGAATCTAGTAGAACCCCAGAATCAGCGGATAATCAATCTAGGATTCAAATATATCATTGAACTCAAAAAAGCATAACACGAGTGATGGCATTGCATGGGCAAGACTCTTTCGTGGCCTCTGCGAAGTCTTGGTTATGGATAGAGATGACACCTTTCCAAATAGCAACTCAAAGGTGCTACAAAACCGAATGAGTAGCGACGAAATGAAGGTGGAGGAATATGACTAAATTTCTCCCGTGTATTCTGAAGCACATGACAGCACGGAGCTACAGCTAGATGAGATCGGCTGTGAAATATTGAACACTGTGGATACTCACCCTATTATGGCGCTGCCCCCTTGTGCTTGCTGTTCCAAAGGGTTTACGAACTACCCATGGACGAGCATATATATTCCATCATCCATGCGAACACGTACTGGTAATGATTATGCCGGTCACCCAACGCATAAAGCTAACAGTACCGTTGCGGCGCGCGCCTGAGATGAAGTCAATTTGAATTTTGGCCGCGTCCCGAACAAACCTCAAGATCCAGGTGATAGAGTTTGAGTGATGTTGCTTATTGGGAACGAAAGAAAAACAAACACAACGGGTATGACGAGCATGGGGCACGATGGTATGGTTTGTGGTAGTACCAAAACAAGATGCGCAGCACTGCCTGTCTGCCCAAACAGTCGCTTTTCAAAGCACACACTAGTACCGTGGCGAGTTATCTATCCATCTTTAAGAGACCAGAAATCAATTCACAATAGACCTCAATAGACAATAGTAGGTGGAAGCTCCCAGTCATAAAGAAGGGAGGTAGAAACGGAAAGCGCTGCTAGCAACTCACAATTCACATGTTGAAATACGCCCCAAAGACTCGGAACTGCACGGGTTCATACGACTCGGGTGTGATATCGCGTTTGTACCTGATGAATCCATGACCGCGACCGCGGCTAACATTCCTCGCCAGGGCCCCTGCATGATAGTGTGCATGTATATCTCGCTCCCGACGGAGCAGAATCCACAAGGGCGTGCATGAAGATGAAGATGACGAGGACAATGCAAAAGTTGATGTCGAGGGAAAATCGTTCTGCCACGTCATTCAGCCAGCTTCTGTGGGATAATGAATTAATGCAGAAAAAAGTGATGGCCTTGATGGTGCACCTTCGCAAATACAAACACACATCGAAAGGTGGACCTCCCATTCAATGAGCAAGAAAAATCATCCCAGTTCTGTTACCTTTTGGGCTTATTGTCCAACTATAATGGTCGCTTGAAGACCCCGCGCATACTCCATCACCGTTATGACAATTTCTATGCAGTAAAGCTACGATTAATGACACGACAAAAAAGTACGTCACGGTATGTGAGTGCTGTGTGCAACGTCGCTCTTGCATACTCCCGCATCATAAATTCCGTTTCTATCCACTGCCCGATCACAGGAACAAGGGCTTTTGAATATGGTGGTTATCAGTGCCACTTCGATGAAAACACGCACTACGGTAATTCCATCGTGTAACTGATGGATCTAACCAGGACGCTGTTAGGACAGGACTCCAAAGTTGGATGCATCAAGTTAGTCTTCATCGAGTATTCAAATTAATTCATAGGCGCCTCTATTGCTCGAGGCGGGGAAACTTATCCAGACTCCAGGAACAACCACATTGACCGAGTCAGCAATGGACTACTTGTTGAATCATCAGCCACAGCACCAATGCAAAAGCAGAAACATGACTCACTGTCCGGATCGGTACTCATGGACAGGCTGCCAGCCCGTCGGTAAGCAGTCTACTTGCAGACTTTTGTTACCCTATTTACATTGCAAGGTGCAAGTGGTGAGCAGCGGGGTTGGATCACGTATGCAAAACAAATTACTCATACTCACTTTCGCGTCACCGTCCGGACGACAGCTCAAGCCAGAGCAGCATTGATCGTCTTTCTTGCATTGCTTGCCTCCGTGGTGGCATGCAGTGATAGAAGCTAGGGCACTGTGGGGCTATTCCATACGGGCGAGAACACCACGGGAGACCGAAGGTCGCACCTGGCATCCCGGTATGCCTGCGAGGAAGGCACTCAAGCAGATAGCTCTTTACTGCGTAAAGGAGTGACCAGCTTGCTAGTGCATCTTCCATAAGCCTGACAAGGACTACAGACTGATAAATCCTATATAATGAAATCATAACGACGCTCGGCCGCGCCAGTCCCGACACCTACTTACGACAATCAATGCATTGGTTTGATCAGAGTTTATTAGGTTGTACCTTTGCATACACTGGTAGTCTCTGCACTGTGCACGGCAACGAACTACATATTGTGCCATGAGCCACAGCACCAATGCGAAAGCAGAAACACGACTCGCTGTTCAGAACTGCACATATGCTCATGGACAGTTGCCAGCCCATCGGTAAGCAGTCTAATAATCGCACAATTTGGTACCGATAGGCTATTGACATTGCAAGGTGTAAGGGGTGAGCAAAGGGTTTTGAATCCTAGGTGCAACGAAAATTACTCGTACTTACTGCTGTCAAATCACGGCGAAGGCCACTGCAGCAATCACTGTCCTTCTCGCAGGCCGTGATCCGGGGCTGGCATGCAGTGACAGACATACTACGACGCGACGAGGAGAAAAGAGAAATGTATGATTTATGCGAAGTGATACAAGCTTTGTGAAGGCGACTCTGAGGTAGACAGAGCTTGCTTTTATATCCTGAAAGTATTAATTTGGGCAAAACATTGCGGTGTCTATTGATTTGGCAGATTGGTTACGCCTAGATGACGATGCCAGTGGATGAAGTTAGGATGAATCTAGTGGAGCTCCAGAATTAGCAAATGATCAATCTAGAAATAAAACATATCATAATTGAATTTGAAAAACAACACGGGTAACCAGAAAGTCGTGGAGTCCGAGTTCGCCGGACAGTTCAGGGATTGCATGCGCCCGCATTGGCCTGAGTAATCAGCGAGACAGTCCAGGAAAACCCGCTTGATGTTCACTCTGGCAGTGATGCTGCTGCCAGGTGCCGACTCAGCAACATCAGTGATGAGCGCCACTGAGCGAGTAGCCATGAGCTCCGGGTACACGTGATCCCCAAAGTAAGATTGTTTATTATTATTTGTACACTGTCATTATGAATTAAGATATGATTAACTTGTCTTGGCATCGACATGTCCATCGCCGAGGCAGAGGTAAGAGGGATCTGCTACTAGCTAGCTTTCATTTGATGAACCAACTTTCAAAGAGCATTTATACTAGAGCATCAAAGTCTGAACTGGAAAACGACTGGAACAATGCATTCAAGCTTTATCTGCAGGCAGCAGACGCATTTCTACACATTAGCCGTACTGCCGATCCAAAATACCGGAACAACGCTGCCTTGGCAGTAGATCGTGCTGAAAAGATAAAACAGCACAAAAATCTTAATCCCTTATCAATAGACCACTTTTCAAATCGCAAGTAATCTCACATTTAACCGTCGCTAATCTAATCTTCACTTAGAACTTGCAATTCTCAAGAAGTCTTCCATCATAAACGATAGTCACATCCCTCTGGCAACATCATCCCCATCCAATTCTTACTCAAGTCCATTCAATGATCCAGATGGTCAACCATCCCTCGGTTCCGTATCTCCATCATCTACCTGGAAGCGTCCAAATCACTTTACATCATCCCTCCCACTCCTCCCATCCGACATCATCCAGAACATCGTAAACGACTGCTCAGTATGCGCTTCAATCGCAGTATGCATCCAACACAACCTCCGCTTCAAATCAAACGTATGTCTCACCATTCCCCTTCTCGCTCGCTAACTTTCCGCAGTTACTCCTCTCTTCCTTGTCTTCTTCCAACGACGGAAGGTACGAATTAAAAGTCCTCGTCAATGGTGATTTCCGGCGCGTGAGTCCCTCTCCACTCACCCATACATCCTTTAAAGTCTGCTATAGATAGGTTCGTATTAACACCGCATCACAGCATGCGCTAAGTTCAAACAGTCATCGACGACCATCTCCCCTTTGACTCTAACAACAAACTCGTTGGAATATCAACTGGCGCAAAGAATCAGCTCTGGCCTTCATTCATCGAAAAAGCAGTCCGTGCTTTTTTCTTCGTCTCCATCATAACATGCTCACATACAACAGTACATGAAACTTATGGGCGGATACGATTTTCTCGGCTCGTAAGTCACTTTTAGCTCCGTATAGTAATGACTTCGACTCCCCAAAGAAACTCTGCAATAGACCTTCAGTAAGTCTCCCCACCAACGTACCACACGCACCTTCACATTCCCCGCAGCGTCCTCACAGGCTGGATTCCAGAACACATCGATCTCCAAAGGTACTCTCATCCACCCCCAACCCAATCATAACTCACCACCAAAAGCGCATCTTTTGAACGCGAGCGCACATGGTCTCGCATCATCACTGGATTCCCTAGAGGTACACCCCTCCCATCCACTTCATCACAATACTTACACTTGTCATAGGGGACTGTATGATGACGGTCGGAACGAACGATAAAACGGCGCTTAATTATAATATGCACAGCGTCAAGCTTCTTCCTTCTCATGATTATGCTGTTACAGGTGGGCACCCCCCCTCCCATGAATAAGGTCCGAGGTTGACTTGTGCAGATATCAAAGAAACGAACAATGAGCGCTGGGTCACGCTTCTTGATTCGAGGATATGTGGTTCAGAGTGCAAGTGCGATGGTAGTGGGACCTGTCCTAGTAAGTCCCCCCTCCCTTTCTGCCGTAGATGTAACGGATGGGATAGGGGTACTCAATATACGCTGGGACGATATATGCGCGACGTTCGAGGGGTTGTATATCAATTGGAATCCAAGTTTGTTTGGGAGTAGTATTACGTTTCATGGGTACGTCTTCACATCATACGCACGTGCCATATCCTAACGAATTTACAGATCATGGCAGCTTGAAAACGCGGAAGATCTACCACGAGGTACGTCTGCTCTCAATTCACATGGTACAGCGTTAAAGCACTTTCCATATAGCTGCTACTCACCACCTCCGACTAAACTATCAAAAAACAAATGACCCCTCGTATCAAGAAGTCCCATCAGGACCCAACACAAACACAACTGAAACCGATAACAACAACACAAACACAAACGGAAAGGAAACAGAGATATGGATCCTCTTAACACGTCACCTCCGCGACACCCACCGCACAAACGAATACATCGCGCTTAATGTTCAAGAGAATGACATGATTTTAGGGGATCCAGAACATGTTGCGCTCAAGGTACCTTCCTTTCGTTTCCTATCTGCGGCGGCCCCCCCTCTCTCCTCCCACCCGCAGTACTGACAAATCCAACACACAGAGCAACTACACAAACAGTACACACCTCCTCTCGCGCATCAAAACCTCCCAACTTCAAACCCACACCTCAGGCTCGCTCTCCTTATTAGCCTGCTACGATGGTCAATTCGACCAAGTCGGGTTCACGGTCACTGCGTTTGCTTATTCGTCGGATGTGGTAGTGTCTTGGGATACGAGGGTTCCGCCTGCGAGGTATATGCATAAGGTACCCCTCGAATTTGTTCTTTTCTTCCTTCAACGCTGATGGATGCCAGGTCGATGGCGTGTTGACTCATAAAACGGCTGGCGGGAATTGCACGCATCCGACGTATATGGTGAATCCGCAGTATCACCTGCGAGTGCATAATACCACGAGCGCCAGTATCGACAAACGGCCGAGCACAAACACAGGCGACAAGCGCAATAAAACACAAGTCATACTTACCGCACAGAGCACTAGGGACATCTCGCTCAACGTCACAGCAGTGTGGTCACAAGGCGAGCGTATATCAGAACTAAGTCAGAAGGAGGTAGTGGCTCATTCTGGGCCTTATGCGTATGGGCATGCGCGTGTCGCTGCTCATCTGGCTCGTACGTTGACTTTCTGTTTTAATAAAAAGTGGGGAAGGCGGCTCATTTTTTCTTTGTCTGAAGCTGGGGATTATACAATCATATTATCAGCTTACGAACCAGACCAGATGGGAAAATTCACGCTCAAGGTGGAGAGTCCCTCTTGGTTTGAGATAAAGACAATACCGCAGGAGGGTGCAGGGATGTATGTCAAGACCGTCCATGGGGGATGGTACGTTCGGTCTTCATCAGTCTATTTTAATTTTCTCCTTGAAACAAATCTTGGGATTCGTTAGGGACTCGACGACAGCCGTAGGTGGACCCAGCCAAAATCGATATCACCGCAATCCAATGTACGAAGTAACCATCCCTTGTGATTCTGAATTTGGGTACGTCCCTCACTCCTCTCAAATATCAAAAGTACCAATGCCCCACTCACATCCCCGCAGCGCCCGTCTCCAACTCCTCACACGCGCCCCAGGCGTATCCACCAACCTCTCCCTCTTCCCCTCAAACCTCCAACGATGCATCGCTTCCTCAGGGCCTTACTCCGATGCGCTTTCAGGCGTTGGTATTCCCAAGAGGAGTATAACACCTGGGAAGTATTATCTCGTACCCTCGACGTATCATGCCGGTGTGCATGCTCGGTTTCGGATTGTTATTTATAGTAGTGTTTCTGGGATTGAGGTTGTTTTGCGTTCGTGAGGCGCGAGAGGAGGAATGAGGAGATGTGGTGTGTGGGGGTTGGCTTGTCACGGTGGGCGGTGTAGTGCAGGCGGGTTTTGATGTCGTGTTTGACTTTTATTTATTTACAAGCACTCCGTTCACCTTCTCAGTGACATTTTCCATGACATACACGCAGACTATGCATCGCTTGCGGTGGCACCCTTGAATAATGACATGTTTAGCAATAAGTTGAGGTATGATGCCATATTGAATGCACGAGCTCTGAAGATCCTTTCCGATGATGACAGGGCTGTTCCGCTCTGCGAAAACATGAATGCATGAAGGGTCAGTGAAGCAGAGACATGATAAGCAGACAAAATATTAGTGGTTTCTTCTCCTGCGGTTGCGTTTCTTCCGTCAAACGGAGACCTAGTGGTGTCTGAGGCACAGGCAAACCCCTTCATCTTCCAAAACCATTTTTCTCGGCTCCAAAGGAGTAGCGTGTTAATGCCAACAATCCCGTGAAGGCAGAAGTCACGGTGTTGACGTAGCTCGAAGTGGAATGAGCGATGCAAGCATATCGTAGGTCCAGAGTCTAGATACGGAGTGAGCAAGATCTGACACGGACACGGAAGTCGAAGCGCAGTGAGAAAAGGATTGACGGGTTGTTCTACCACTAATATTGTCTCGTCGTCTCACTGAGCGGTCGCATTATTGCAAAGAGACAAGCATACCGCAGACACAAACTCAGGGAGTGGTGTACTACGGAAGTTGCCGCAACCTCCCTTTTCTGGACGCGTGGAGTTTGCCACAGCCATCGTCAAGCCATCGTGCCCCGGGGCCCCTCCAGTAGACCTCACCGAATATCCAAATAAGCCGAATGATGTAGCCCCAAACAAGCCGGAAGGTGTACTCCAAAGGAGTCAGATGGTGAACCCGCAAAGACTGTTCAACCTCTTCACTGGGGAGTGCTAGTGACTATTGGCTCAGCTGCGGTATGTTCAACAACCTTCAATGGTCATCTTATTTACACCCATGAACATATTTACTATCCAATAGATTATCGGTACAGGTACTTTAATCATGATTCTTTGCATAGAAATGTTCCTTGGGGTCCCTTGGGGTATATGTGTCTTCTTTGCTTTCTCCAAAATTCACCTGTAATTAAGCGAGGTTTCTTCGAATGGCGTAGCTTGCAGTGATCGGTCACCGCCAACATCTCCTTCTTCCCCTCCTCAAGCGTAAATCTCTAACGATGCATCGCTTCCCCGGGGTCTTACTCCGACGCGCTTTGGAGCGTTGATATTCCCAAGAGGGGTAAAACCCCTGGGAAGCATTATCTTGTTCCTCTGACATACCATGCTGGTATGCGTACTCAGTTTCGGATTGTTGTTTATGGCATTGTTTCGGGGATCGAGATTGTTTCGCGTTCACGAGATGAGGTTGGCACGCCAGAGGGGGGAAGTAATTTTGGGGGCGAGATGAGGAATTCGGGAGGTGAGAGGAGGAATTCGTTGACGCGTTTGAGAGTGGTGCGCGAAGGGTTGGCTTGTGGACAACTCGTTATTATCCAGTGCAAGCGGGTTTTGATGTTGTCTTTGGCTTTATTTATTTAAATACACGTCCATCGTCAATCGACAATTTTTTTTGAAGATAGTTGGTACGACGTACAAAGGACACCCTCCCGTTCGTACTCGTGCTCATCGCAGAATTTCCCTGAATTATCAAAGAACTTTGTGAGAGCTGCTAGGGCGACGCCGATACTTGTGTCGGTGCCCGTTTCGCATGCTATGCAGATGCGGCGTGTATTCTGGAGGTGGTGCAAGATGAAGGGCATGGTTTGTGGGAGGACGGAGTGTAGGAAATGATGCTGGCCTTTTTTGCCTCGAGGCGTTTGGATATATAGGACGTGTGGATGGTCTTTGAGAGCGGGTGGTGCCTGATCTGCATTGGTTAGATAGACCGCCGCAAACTCGTCGTTGAGAGAAGAGGGGATATCATCAGTGGTGCATATTGAGAGTCTACCGTGGATGTGGTGAATGGATGTAGGGTGGAATGACGAGTTCGAGTTGGTGTGGGTAGATTGTGTGTTTGAGGAGGACGTGAGAGCTTGGACGAGGGTTGGTAGTTCGTTTCGGTTTGCGTTGAGGAGGGTCTGTTTATGTTTCCAGAATTGAGTGGGGGTGAGGCCCTGTCGCGCAAGTCGAGTCGGTGTTAATGGCTGAACTCAATGGAGGATACGCACCATACTCCACAACTCATGATCATCCCCAGATCCCTGGATATACGAAAAACCTGTGACGCGTCTCTCCATGCCGTCTAAAACCTGCTTCGAGGCAGATATGCAGATGATAGGGTAGAATCGCCGCTCAGCATCTGTTTTAGGGAATTTGGGGAATATGGTGGTGCTGGGTGTTATCCAGATCGGGCGGAGGGGGTGTTGCAATTTCGGGAGTACGTAGAACGATGCCTACAAATCCATGATTGCAGATGCCTGAGACTCAGGCTAAAAATGAATAAAACTGACGGCAAGATCATCCGCCCACCCATCCAACTTCTGCTCGATCTGATCATGCTCTTGCGCGCTGACCACACCAGGTGGGGTATACAACTTCGTATTCCAAGCATCCGCATCCACGTTTATGTTCGGAGCAGTTTTAAGAACGGCTCTATTCATGACAGCGCACCAGATTGGAACGGTTTTAGAGAGCGCATCTGGCATGCGTTTGCCTGCTCTCGTAGAATCCACCAAGAGCAGCCTGGGGCTTACACGTTATACAATTTGATATCGTTGATGTAAGTGGCGCACGAACCCTGCGTGCGCACAAATCAAAGGCAATACGTGTAAATTAGGCCTTCGAAGATTGAAGCTCCAGTTTCCGGTGTGTCCGTCGGTAGACTTGAAATATGCGCGTTCGTTTGACGCCTGGGTAGAATGAGCTCGAGATTTGTGAGCTGCAACATGAATCGAGAGTAGACTTACGGTGTCAGGGTCAGTGTACCATGCCCCACATCGCATGTTGGCTGATGGACGCGTGAGGTGATCGCGGTGATCGGTGATCACGTTGTCACTCACGGATGAGAGGGAGTCTGGGGTAAGACTGATAGACTTGGTCTACGAAATCGGCATCCTCTGCTATAGAGTGGATTCGGTTGTATAGATCTTGCGATTCCTTTCGCAGCTCGCTGAAGGCTAACGATGCGCCGTCCTTGTTGCCCATGACTCTAGGATTTGGAAATAAATATTTTATTTGGGTGATAAGACGCTGGTCAACGTCCAGGAAGGAGCCGGGTGTAGAAACTCACCCCATTTGGTCAAGGTTGTTGATCACTAGACTCGTGACCAGTCTGACGTACGTCCTTTGAGAGTGGGAAATCTTGACGTAGTCACACTCGACTTGTCCGTGGTTATATAAGCCAGGCTGGTATCGAGCCTACATAACTCCCCTTCCCTTTCTTGACGTGCATCTGTAAAACACCCCAGTTCTCGCTTAGTAGTGTAAGAAGTTTGATCTGTTACTAATGCTTACGGTTCAGTGATGAAGCCCTCCGATTGGTGGAGATCGTGTAGTAATGATGTAAAACCTTTAGATATTCAGATAGTGTATAAATTGATAGATTGTCCGGACAAGATAAAGATCAAAAGATGATCAGGCTGATCATCGCATTATCATGATTCAAGATTAGCTAGTAGTACACTGTCATCGTCATTTCTATACTACATAGTGTACTAGTTCACAGCCCTAACCTCTCCTTTCTGCATACACTCATCCTCGTCTTAAGTGCCTTGAAATGTGCTGTGAGCTTGGGGTAAGGGTCAATTTTGTTGTGAATGTGTGTGAGGATGTTGTGATAAATGTCCTTTGACTTTGCTGTAGAAAAATCAACATGTTTGAACATGCCAGTCTCATACTCCTTGATTGCTGACCAAATTATTGTGCCACCAAGAGCAATAATGCTGTTGAGAGCTTCAGGATCTTTGAAGTCGATGTCTTCATAAAAGCCCTTGGTCCATAAGACCTCCATCACGACTGAAACAAGCACCTCGTGCTCGAGCACAACAATGGATTGTAAATTACCATCAAGTATCTAGTAGTTAATTGTTAGTATACAATAGCACACGGCATGAATAAAAAATGACCTACCAGTTGTTCTGTTTTGAACAAACATTAGAGGTTTGAGAGGAGCATAGGCACCACTTGTAGCTTGTGCGTGATTTCCAATGATGGGTCATGAATATCAAGCTCAAGATTGTATTTGTGTTGCATGACAACATGTGCGACATGTTTGAATGAAGAGCAGATGGTGTTAGTGATTTTTGTGAGTGAACTGATGAACGTCTCCTCTCCGGGGAGATAGTAATTGCCTGGTGGGGAAAGATCTGCATGGCTTGCAATATTGCATTGTGCGCCATTTGAATGTTCTCATCATTGGAGGGCATCCCATTTAACGTTAGCACCATGCATTGCATTCTTGACCTTGTGCTGGTTTTGATCTCCTCCATGTGATTCGCAGGTATGGGAATGGGGTGTTGTTGCTGATGGGGGACAGGGACAGGGACAGTGTCTGAAGGAGATTGTGTGGGGGAGGCTGGCACTGTTGAACCAGTGGCAGCAGTATTCAGAGGAGGCAAAGGTTGTGAAGGCAGGTCTTTTGCCATGGGGTGTTTTGGAGTGACATCCTTGCTGCTTCCAGCCTGGTTGTCTAGGGTAAGGTTGGTGACAAGGTGAGATGCATTTGAACTTACATGGACCACCCCCATGTTTTGCCACTGGCCACAGTAATGCTCATCTTTATGACAAGGGCCAAAGACTGTGACTTTGTGCAATCCTGGGAGGGTGTATGGTGCAGGATGGATAGGTCATGCCTGTGGGTCCTACAGGTGCCTGCTGAGGTGCTCTGCGCCACGCATGGTGGGAGGAAGTGGTGTGTTGATGTTGATGAAGGGTATACCCTGCCCAGTGTGCTGCTGCTGCTGCGGGTGTGGGTGGTGCAGGTGTGGGTGGTGTGGTGCAGGTACTGCTGGTGCAGGTGTGGGTGCTGCTGTGGATGTGGGTACTGCTGATGCTGCTGATGCAGGTGTGGGTGCTGCTGCGGTGGTGGTGGCAGGTGCTGCTGCTGCTGTGGATGCAGGTACTGCTGGTGCAGGTGTGGGTACTGCTGATGCTGCTGGTGCAGGTGCAGGTGCTGCTGCGGTGGTGGTGGCAGGTACTGCTACTGTTGTGGATGTGGGTGCTGGTACTGTGCGACAGGATCAGGGTGTTGTTGGAATGGGGTGTAGGGTATTTGGCCTGTGGGCTCTTCATGTTGGAAGGGATCAGGATGCTGATGAAATGGGGATTGGGGTGTTTGATTCTCGTGGTGCTGGAATGGAGGCTGCGCAGGAGGTTCAAGAGGTTGTCAGAAAGATGGATGGTGGATCTGCTTACACTGTGGGAACAGAAGTCCAGGAAATTGCTGGTGTTGGTGCTGGTAGTGCTGGGGCTGCTGGTGGGGTTGCTTGCATTCCAATTCTGAGTTACTGACTTCATCCAAGTACAAAAGTTCTTCATCTTGCATGATTGGTACTAGATTGTCGTTCCAGTGTTATGTTTGCTCTATTGCATGTCCCACCTGAGTGTCGTCTGGATTCAAGCATGGGTTTTTATTGCTGTCTTTGGTGGGTTTCCGCACTTCCTGTTATCCGTGATGGATCAGTACTTGTTTGAAGCCACAAGAAACTTATACCCTGGTATTTTGTGGTTTTTTTTGTTGCAGTTTCTTGGACTTTGGTGGCACTGGTGAACTGTAGATGCAAGTACACTAATATGGTGATAAAGTTCGAGAATTAGCCCCATGCGCACCATCTAAAAACCACTTACCAATAGCATGCAGGCGCAAATGTATTGTGATCAGTCATGATGCATGATGGTCAGAAATGATAACTGATTGAAGACAAATTCATGATAACACCAATTCAGTACATGCAAGACATACAAAACGTGTAAAGCATATCAGACTGCAAAAATCATATGTAATCCAACATTTTCCGAAAAATAAGTAAAATAACAGGCAACAAGTCATGCTTACTATGTTCAAGCTCCCAAAAGTATACCACCATTGTTATCATCATGACCCATTGTAGGACTGCTGTATTCGCTTGGTACATAGTCACTCTCATCTGAGACCTCTTCGTCAACCCCTCATTCCTCAACATATTCCTTCAATTGACAAGCTTGTTCTTGGAGGGCCGCTAATGTCAGAGTATTCTGAGTAGCTGTATACTCATGGAAGGTGATATCTTGGTGAAGATCCTTCAACCCACGAGTAGTGCATGCCTGCTGCCAGATCTTGAGATCTGTCTGGGAGTATTGATGCTTCCTCTTCAAGTGCACAAGGGAATGGTCAAGGAATTGTCTCCAGCAGTTGTTTTCTTTGACTGCTCAAGTTGCTGTAGCAACCTCATGTCTAGCTAGCTCACAAGTGGCATACTGTGCCATTGCACCTTCATGTAGCATATCATCTGGTAAGTCTGTGAGACTGTGACTGAAAATGACATTGGTCTGTTAATCTAATTTATGAGCTTTTAATCAACAATATGCATGAAGTAACTTGCCATTAAAGCAGCTTCAGGATACAGCTCCCTGGCAGTCTGGCCCCAGAGAGATTTCATGGCAAATTGAGCTGAAGCAGCTGATGTCGCTCTTGCTTTCAAATATGGCTCAAACCTGATTTTGACAGGGGAGATAAAGGGAGATCTAGTCCTTGTCTCCTGAGAAGGGGTTTGTAACACTCTTGCAGAGGATGATGTTGACCTGTCTTTGATGGGGGATGTTAAAGTGGATCTAATCTTTGTCTTTGGGGAAGCTAGGGAAATTGACTCTCCAGGGGAAGGTGGAATGGCATGTGTGGTGGGAGGGCTAGAGAACTCCTCTGTTGGCATATTGTTGTCGGTTTTGGTTTTGTCTTTGTAAATTGAGGTTGATAGTTCCATGCAGGTTTGAGAGCTAGCAGGACTGCAGGAATGAATTGAAACGGTTCTGGTGGATCCACCCATGGATATCTGACTACTGGTTTGGCTATGATAGACTTTGCTAGAGAGATGACAACTATTGGTCTGCTGGTGTCAGAGTCTGAAAGACTTAGAAACTTTTCAAGTTTGAAAGCACCAGACGTGGCACTCTATGGTATTGACACTGCTACCATGAACACACATGATCCTCCTGATGAGCCTGGTCGGTTTAGTGGACTCGAGTAAGTGCTGGTTACTACAGATTTAATCTGACTGACAAGTATACAGTCTTAGCAAATCGGTCAGATGCCCCATCTGTTCCAATGTTTTTGACACCACAGAGGATATATGCACTCATCTATCTGATGATCCAGGTGTGAATAGCCAATTTAACTCTCGAGTTCTGACTATAAGGACCTCTATCCAGGATGCTCTCAGTGACTGATTCCCCCTCCACTTGCATTCCATATCCCCCAAAGATCGGAGGACCAGCCACAACAAGGATGATTCCATCCTAAGTCAAGTTATATCTACAATCTCAGCCAGCCAAATACTTTTGAATGAATGAAGCAAGACGATTTCGAGGATATGTGGGAACACAATGTATATTATCCATTTTCAGATAGAGCAGAGTGGGAACTCACAAAATTCCTTTGTGAGAACTTGAATCAAGGGCAGATCACTCGATTTCTGAAACTTCCCTGGGTTTGTTGGGATCAATTTACATTGACCAGGCTAATCATGCTCTCCCAGGTGGTTTCAGAGGTGAGACAGCCACTGTCTTTTAAGAATGCCAAGCAGCTCTTTACTTTCATGGAGGCATTACCAGTGACCCCTAAATGGAAGTGCACACCCATCAAGACTGATGGATATACAACTATGCACCCTGTGAATCTCATCTGGTGAGACACCCTGGAAGTTACACACCATATTTTCGGCAATCCAATTTTTGCCAACCATATGGAATATGATCCTTATGAAATATGAGACAACAGTGAGCACAAGTATGGGGAGTGGATGTCGTGTGAGCATGCATTCAAAATTCAGGCAGGTTCCTTCTAAGCTTCCAACATAAATGTGTCTCACTAAGCAAATTTATTTCTAGAGTCAACTGCCCACTGGCGCATCTATAGTACCCATCATTCTGGCATCTGACAAGACCCCAGTAACATGACACACAGGCTCACTCGAGATGCACCCCACGTTCCTGACAATCAGGAACATCCACTCTGAAATTCGCATGAAGGCAACCTCACATGCATGGGCCTGCATCATGTACATTCCAACCCCAGAATATATCATGAACCATGATTTCTCAGGAGTATTGGAAGTGCACCTCTGGCATAGGTGCATGGATATGGTCTTACAAAACCTGAAGGTCACGGCTCAAGTGGGTGAATTCATGACAGACCCAATGGGTTGCTGGTGTTATGCATTCACACCACTTGCCACCCACATTTCTGACCTTCCTGAGCAACTTATGATTGCATGCGTCTCGAAAAATGTCTCACCCATAACCCTAGCTGCACCAGCACAGTTTGACGATGGCATTGTGCACCCTCCCCAAGATGGCCAATCTACAATCAATGAGCTGATCACGCTTGGCAAAATTGTAGATCCCTGGAAAGTTCAGGAATTTCTGGAGTGGGCAAAGCAACAATCACTCAGTGGTGTCCATCTCCTGTATTGGTGTGACTGGTGGTTTTCTGACCCTGCCATTTTCCTCGTCCCCAAACTACTACACACATGCCACAAGTTTTTCTTCAATCATATATTGAAATGGTGCAAGGAGGTGGTAGGTGCTAATGAGCTGGATGCTCGATTCCACAGCCAGCATAAATGTGTTGGCATGCATCATTTCACTGATGGCATCTCTCATGTTAATCAAATGACTGGACGTGAGCATTGCAATATCCAGCAAAGACTGGTCCCCACCATCGTGGGCGTGACTACCCCTGGATTTGTTTGTGCACTCCATGCACTTGTAGACTTCATATATAAATCACAGGCTCCTACCTTCACTGATTCCTCCATTGGCAGCATGGTTGCCTCCCTCAATGAGTTCCACGCCCATAAACACTTCATCTTAGAGGCAGAGGCTCGCACAGGAGCCTCCAGCCCAATGGGTCATTTCCAAATCCCGAAACTCGAGCTCTTTAATTCCTTTGCATGCTCTATCTGTAAATCTGGTGCTGTCATCCAACATTCAGCAGATGCCAGCGAATGGCTGTTGATCATGCACTGCAAGACACCTTTCACTTGGACAAGTCACCAAAGGAGCACGTTTACTCAACAGGTTGTCACTCTCGTTAATCATGAGGATACAATGCAATAATTTGACTTGTACACCCTCCTTCGTGAACAGGGGATCTCTCTCGTTAATGTTATGGACGAAGAGTTCAATGAAGTCATTGATACCGATCCAACATTCAGTTGGATAGCGTGTGTTACACCACAGGAGATGCACCGTTTTCAGGCCATTCGACCCGTCTGCAATCATTTTCTCAAAGGGATTCTTTCCAATGAGGCCAGTGTGGCTTTTCATGTTACAATTGCTCACGATCTCACTGATAAGAATGCCACTACTCTGGCTAATCATTATCATCTCCCTCATTTCCCACAACTGCTTGCACAATTTCTTGAAGTTGTCTCCAGTCCTAACTCACACTTTCATGGTCGCCTGCTTAAAGCCTGGTTTAAATTTAGGCTACAGCTTCACTCTTGACTCTGTCCAAGTAATATCATGCCAAGCCAGCAGGTTCAGGCCTATCCACCATCTGATTCCCATCCTTACAGAAATTGCGATATTGTCCTCCTTCAACCTCCAGGCCATGATCCACAGTATTGTACATTCTCAAATTTTGCTCAATTCTGGCTACTGATATGCCTTCAGCACCATACATTGCTCAAGTCCAAATGGTTTTCGCACTCTCTCCATGAGGGTTGCAGCTGCCAGCTGAGCTGATGGGCCCCCTTTGGTATGTTGAGCTCTTTGAAATAGCCACACCCCCTGAAGCTGAGCTACATATTGCCATGTACCGAGTTCACCGTTCATTCCATACTGCGCCTGATGGTTCTTGCACATGGGTTGGGAAGATTGTATGCCTTATTGATGTCACTCATGCTGTAGAACTCATACCAGTCTATGGGGTAACATTGGATTGCACTGTTACCTCCGCAACGTCTCTTGAACGCTACAATGATTTCTATCTCAATGCATTCTCCAACAAAGAGTGGTACCATATGCTACATGCAGATTATGTCTAGCTTTACCTAGTTTTGTGCCATAATGTTTTCAATCTATGATTTTCAATGTTATCAGTGATATGATCAAACCTCATGACTGATCTGGGCCTTGATAAGTCGATGATCTGCTATCTCTATCTTACCAGACAGCGAACTGGTTCTTTGGATCGTAATATGCTCGGCTAGTCCATCCTTTCCAAAAAAACTCAAGTCTGTAACCAATCCCTGGACTATCCCAAACTCAGTGGTCAATGAGCAGCTAAAGTTGTAGATGGCCTGACCCTGTTCTCCTCTTACATAATTAGGCACCAAGTGTGACTTGTCACAGCGTGGTTGTCGATATTTGATGATCAAGTGGTTACTGATGGCAGTCTGACGTGCGATGTCTTTATAAGGGTAATTGTTGACACAAGGAATTAATGAGGAGGATGAATCTTGGGCCACAACTGGGTGGTTACTGGCTGTGTCAGGTGGACACCAGAGGAATTGCACCCCCAGCTTAGATCTGGTTTGATTGCGCCTGATCGGGTTATTTTTAACCCCTATTTCCATTGTCCCAGCCGGTCCCAGCGATGCCTTATTTTGGCAGGTATCTCCCACTACTCCCAACAACTCGCTAATATCACGAGCTCCAGTTGATCGGTTGCTGACGTCATCGCGGCTGGATCCGTGGCGATGAGTGGGAGAATTCCGGTAGTGGCAACATGTAGTCTACCGGAGTGGGGGGGCAGGGATTCGAACCCATGACCTGACTCAGGTAAAAACCCAGCCAGTGGACCACTACACCACCGCGCCCCATCGAGCCTAGTTGATCACTGGTTGCGTCGCTACCGACTCCCTTACATTGGATGAAGCCCAACGCTAACGTTATGTCGCTGCTTGCAACAACTTTTTCACCACACTTCTTAAAGTTCACAATTAATCTGATCTCTTGTGACACACCTGCCCATACGGACGTGATAAGCCACTAGGTTTCTTAGCGGCTTCGCTACTCCATCATATTCTACTTCGGATCCGAGGTGGGTACTACTTGAGCCAGACAGTAGATCAATCTTGTGCTAATTCCACCACCTCCATCAGACGCTAGAGCTCTGCCAGCAGCAGATATGTGACGGGAGTAGAGAGGGATAGGACTGGCAGGTGAGAAACTTTTTCACAAAGTGTAATCATCTGTGAGATCCGTGTTAATCCCGTTGTTGTATATCACATAAACACGTGCGCATTACTTTGAAATTCCAGGAATATTAATGGATTATTGATTGATGTAGCCGCGCGCAGATAATGTGCGGATTGACTGACCTTTTTTGTCGTCTTTGTGGTTGAACAGGGTCCCGCAACACTCGCCGCCTTAACATCACAGATTCACCACGAGACAACACCCTCCAATGCCCGCTTGACAGCCGCAGCTATCGCCTGAGTTTCACGGTCAGCTGGGCGTTATCCTTGTATTTTCAGATCGTCAAACGTTCGACCTCAAAAAAAAAGCTCTCCTACTTATGGATCATCCGAATCTGTGTGACTTCTCGGGCAACACAGTGAGGACCAAAATGGAGTGAAAGTCCCTCTATAATCTCCACGATAGGCTAAGGCTGACGTGCGTGCACATCTAGTGTTTTCATTTCCACTGTCTCCCACACAGCTTACCTGGGTTCACAGAAGAATTGATGGCACGCCGACGCCGTAAGGTCATTCAGCGCTCAATTTCTCTCGCATCTTCTTGATCTTCTGCCCAGCGTCTATGGTTGGGAAGTATGTATGACGGGATATCTCCATTTTTTAGGCCAAAGGCGGGACTAGGCAGGTCTTCTTATTAGTAAGTTCCTTCGGCTCAATCGAAATATTGATACACGTGTATGACAGTTGATATTTTGAATGTATCCCTCAAATGAAGTTTCATCCTATCAACTATTCGATCAACCTGAAGACCCGCTTAAAACCGTGAGCCGGGCAGGAAATCTCCTCTTTACATCCGCAAATTTAAGTTTCACGATCTATGAGTTGCCAAAGTCCTTGACCCATCACCGTCGCAAACTCAAAGCGTTGTTTGGGACACGCTCTGGTAGATCAGCGACTGAAGGTTTCCTGTTTTTTCCGTGCATCAACAGACATTGCTAAATATTTTGCAAGGAATATTCTGAATCGTCACCGTCATTAGCTCGCCTGAGTCAGCCCGGTGAACTGGACGGTCCCGGATCATCGGACGGAGCCGTCATTGTGAAACTGACCGTTCTATGGATTACGATAACTAATAAGCCGTACGACAGCCGGTGGCCGGCGCCATCCTATACCATCAGATCACGACCAAAGCGCCCGAAAGCCTTATTGTCTTCAAACCGTGAGCCCAAAACTTTACCTCTGATAATTTCGGTGTATTTACGGGTATGATGCCCTTCCTGCAGATGTAATACGGTGCGCGCCCACCCGCTCCACTAGCATGTTCTACCAATGCGATCAAATTACCACATCCACTTGCAGGAAAAAACTCGTCGTGAATATGCGCACAACATTGGATGTTATCGTGCGTTCCGCTGATGCATGACACAGAAAATGATATAGGCTCAGTAGGGCACCTTCCCACCAATCTGGCCATACAGCACACGGCGTATACAAGCGCTTTTCGGGGCCCTATCACCAATAACCATTTGCACACGCAAACGAACCCCCGTTGGCCATTACGGAAAGATGATTCCACTCATTTGCCACTCATGGTTAATTTCTTGCAACGCGATACCATAAATATCCAACTTGGTATAGCGAATTGAGACCGCCGCACTGGTAGTGTTGTTCTGTTCGTTCTACTACAAGTTCTCCCGCGATACTTGGATTCAAGAGGAATCAGGAGGTTCTCGTATTCACATCAGCCCTTGTTTTCTCTGCATATCGCAAGTTCTCTGACTTAACCTGCGTGGGGACAACATCACATAGTCATCCTTGCTAAAGCTTGCTAGTATGGCGCTTAGTTGAGGTTTCTTGCTTGGCCTTGCCAGTTGCAACCGTCGTTGACACCCTCGTAAAAATGTGAGCCAGAATTTTGATAAGCTGCACCTATCGGAAAGCACAGTACGTTGTTCCGCGACCCTTTCACCTCTTTAATTAATATCGCCAAGCCAACATCTAGGATCGGATATGAGATGAATTCAATTCAGTTGATAGGGCCTTCGAACTTCTACTTCGATATTGGCGGGTGGATCACCCTTAACCAAGAGATATGGCCAGATTAGCTTTTTGTTACATTGCTCGTTCGAATACTCTCTAGCCTCCACCAGATACCATTCAGACTATAAAGTAAGCAATCACAAGCACTGGTAGTCACCAATAAAATTTTCTCGTTAACCATTGTCCATTTTCCCTCCTACCACGAGATCACATGTCTGCCATCTTGCCCGTCAGTCTCAGCCGACCTTACTACTGGTTCTTTGTCTGACAACTAACGATGGTATGGTATTTCATAGGACCTATACAATGATCCCACCGTAGCCGCCAACTTTTCTAACCACACCATCTGTTTGTGGGACAGTGGCTTGGGAATACCATGTGGCGCATTTATTAGTGTATCGGACCTTTCAAAACATTTGTGGATGCACGGGGTGAATGGGCCGGCAAAATCGGACATGTCTTGCGCATGGGGTGACTGCGGAAGGGCCATGAAACGGGAGAGCGTTGTTCGACATGTTGAGGAGGTGCACTTGCAGGTGAAATACCTCTGCGACCAGTGTGGTGCCCCCTTCTCGCGCAAATCTACGCGCAATGCTCATGTCTCTAAATCGCACCCACACGCATCCTAGTAGGAAATTCTTACGTTTGGGTGCATACATTTTGCTGGACTTCTAGGAATTGTCTGCGATGAACATTTTCTTGTACGACGTTAGTGTACCACTCTCGTTCTGTATATGTACATTATCACACTCGGTCTCTAACCTTGGACAAAGTGTTTGACAACAGTATATCTTCTTTCATGTATTACACATATGGTATTGTAGATTCGTATTTAACCTATATGATGGCATTTAACCCTGATTTGTATGTTTGAAATTTAGCCCGGTATTCATCTCCATCCACATTGTCGGGGAATACGGCCGAGTTGATCATGGGTCCTCCACTCTCGACCGAGCCTCGCGATGTAGATGACCTTGCTGGTCCAGAGAGTATCTCGCCTGACGACATTACGGCTGAATTTGCAGCTCTCGAAGAGTTGAAAAGGACTGAAGAAGTTCAGGGAATCAACGAAAATGAATTGCTCGAGGGCAATGCTTTTGATTTCGACGAGTTGGATCGGGTCGAACAAGGAATGATACCACAGGCTATTTTAGATGAGATTGAGATGGTTGATTACAATGGCGAGGGTGATCAATGGGACGATGTAACCTTGATGTCATCTTTACATAGGAATGCTGTATGCATTTTTACCGAGTAACATATACGTAGTACATACGTACAGACTAGCTAGGCACCTAGAGTCGTGCCATTCCGGTAAAACAACCAGTTTTGCCGGTTATATATTATAACTGGCAGAACTAAATCCAAGTAATTCTGGGCGCCCTTCACACTAATGTTTCATGGCCCCGGTTTTCCAAACAATGTTAACATCATTAGAATTCAACCCTGCCACTCTTGCGCAGATTTTTACCTACGTTATATCTCATTGACGAAATACCTGGCCTAGATACAGGTATGAATAATCTACAGTACCAGAATAGTATGAGTGAGATAACTGTGAAATAAACAAACATACCCTCGGTCTCGGATGAAAGACTGATGGGAAACGACAATGAGTCGTTTCTGGAATGATCGGGATGCTATATACGGTAAGTAAAGAACGGCGGTAGGTGCAGTGGGCTAAGTTCGACGTCAACGAGCGTCGAGTTACGGTCTATGACCTCAACACTCATTTCTGGTAGTTGCATAAGCCCAGTGGACAACTCCATCAGCTTGATGTAATGCCCTAAACCACAGAGCAGCTGCTCATGAAGATGGTTGCTAATCGATGCAGCGAATAAGTCCTTCTTGAGTCTTCCAGGTACATAGTTAGGCTCGTGACCAACCTGGCGTATACTACCACAGACACCATGATCGCACAGGATGCCGGTATTGATTGGACTGCAAACACCAGCGGATAATCAGCGCAGAGAATTGAGGCGCGGTAAGTTTCTGTTTTAACTCTGGGCAATCCCCTCTTGGACTCCACTCCGATATAAGGGTCCGAAGGTGCGAACCTTAAATATGAGCGATAATCGATTGCCATAGCTGGCGCTAACCGTCGAGTCGTTGCTCGAAGTTGGGTGGGTCGAATCGTGTCTGCACCCTAAGCTGCAACCCCGGAATGAATTTAGCTAGTGCCAGCTTGAAATGTTATAATCAAGATAACCAGTGCTCACAGTGCGAAGTCCAGGATGTAGTCTTCTATAGGGCATAAACCCAACGAACAATTTAAGAAACAAATGACTATGAATCTGTCCGGAATCCATATGCTGGTAGATCAGAGTTTGAAATTTAGAAGTAGCGAAGTCGTCTAGTGAGAGTCAGACAAAGCTCATCCACTGTCTTATTGACTTTGTGATGTCCTCACCTACTCTCGAAAGCCACGTACTTGCGCCTGTGTAAAGTATAGCATTTCTATCACGTAGCTCTATTACAGTTCGAGGTATCGTTTGAGACGCTGGTGCGTCAATCGTCCGGGGTAGGCTGAAGAACAGTTCTCGGTTCTGGGGAAGGAATCACTCCAAGAGGATCAGCCAAGTAATTGCGGAAGAACTCCCTCCAGTTGGCCTTCGAGGGCACGAAATGACCTATATATGGCGTCAGAAACGAGTCGCATCGTATGTCGGAATCGGCTGACCGCCATCATGCTCCTCCAATCTCTTGTTCTGTGAGAGATCAAGCAGACCCTTCGAGCGCTCCTTAATGACAATGACATCGTTTCTCCCGAGAACGTGCAGGGTGGGTGTAGAATACGATGTCCCAAAAGTTTCTGCGCTAATAGACCCAGGTGCCTTGAAGCCTGAGACGGCTACACAGAATTTGCTAAGTCAAGGCTAAGCACTTGTATCTCTCTGGTGGGAGGTTACGTACAAAGGCGGGTGAGGAGCCTCTCCATCGATGAGAAAGGGAGGGTATGAATGGGGTCTGCTCTAGCTGAGAAGGATGAAGCCTTAAGAGTCAACTGGTCCGATTACATCGCGAATATACACACGAGAGCGGCAAGCAGAGCAGCCATAGCTGCTCCTTGACTTTGGTTTCACCCATAAGCCAAATAGCGTTGAAGAGAGCTGGCGAAGGATTACCTGAAGCCAAACACACCCTACGACCAATTCATTTCAGCTCGATGTGTGATGTGCATCAGGTATACTCACATCATATCGATCACGTTGAAGAATATCTCTCAAGAGGAGTATAGAGTCTTCTAATCCGTGGGCGACTGTTCTCTCAGGGTTAGATTTCCACCAAGCTCGGGGAGTGGCTGAAGGATCGGAGGACGTCGTGTTCGCCTCTGAAGCTCCGAGAGCTGCCAATGAAGAGGCGGCGTCGAGGTCAACAGGAAGTAAGACGATGGGTCCGTCCACGAATACTGTGTCCGTCTGTTAAGCTGTACATCGCCATGGTTGCATAGATTCCAAGCATACCCATTTCAATGCCTTTTCCCATCGATTTCCTCAAGGCCCCAAGCTGTGATGAATCAGCCTGTGAGATGATGACGGGGTACCAGAACACGAAGAAACTTACGCGTTTACTGAATATGCTGGCATTCTGCGAGTGTCTGAGGAAGTAATCAGTCATCCACGCATGCTGCTGCCGGTGGTGATTCGTGAACTCAGTTAAGCTGGTACTTGCCCATGCAGCATTAGCACCTTCGTTGGAGCAGCCATCACTGTCAGCTCGCCTGTAGTCTCCCCTATTCAGACCTAGACTGGAGGATGGTTCCGTCTACGTTATACAGGCTTGCCTGCACCTCAAATGTTCGGGCTAGTGGTGTGTAAGTCACCGATCACGTTCGGACTTCGCCCAATGACCCGAATATGAGTCGGGCCGATTAGAGCCGTTCCCAGCGTCTACTCACCACAAACTAAGTCGGAACTCACACACCCTTCGTTTACTAGCCAAAACACAACGTACACCCTTAAGACACTTCTGTATCTGCAGATAAATCTTCCCAGATGTACTGGCTCTTCTTAAATCACTCCGAGTACCGATCTTGCGATGGTGAAACTTTCATCGTCTCGATGATCCCTCTCACTTTTTCATACACAGCGAACACAATCGCCTGTCCAGGAGCCACTCTCAGAACCCTCGGCGTAATCCCTTGTAGAACGACCGTACACCTTCCTGTTTCCACATATCCTTTGCGATCGCTGCAATCCGCTGAAACGCCGTAGTTCCTGGTTCATACGTGGCCTTTTGCAATCCTATCGGTGTCATGGATTACTTGGATGTAGGCAATCCCTGCAGGATGCACTTACGAGTTTTAATCGTGTCTATCGGGGCATTTGAGAAGGGTCCCATAGCACCTGATATAAGTCCAATAACCATGTGTTGGTATGAGGGTAAGTCCTTCAAATCCGGCTGGTATGTGTGTGCCAATTTCTTAAGTTCCTGATACGCAGTGAAGTTTGCGCCTACGATCACGTTATTCATAAGCCTCGTATCAATATCAGAACTTGTCGAACTAACCTTGATTGGTAGCTTGTCGTAAAGCAGTGAGCGAGACACCTCTATAAAGGGCCGAGAAACCTTCTTCACGTATGATCGTGTAGACCGCATGACCCGCATTGCGATATCTTGGAGCTTCCAGCGGATCAGCAAGCGAGTGTTGTTGCGCCTGCAGACGAATCTTCACCACTTCCATGGGACAGACGACTGCGATCGCCTCGGTCGTCCCAGCGGCGAGCCCAGCTAAGCCGAGAAGTCAGCTTTCATCATGCAATAACCTTGAATAGATTACCGATGAAGATATTCCCCACCCTGGTGTTTCCTGTCGATTTATCCGCCAACCATTCCTTGTACGTCTCAAAGCTGGCAAATCGAATGGCCATCTTTGGGACTATTCCGGAGAGGACAGCGCCGAGGCCCTTGTATAATGCCAATGGCGTCTCGCGTCTAACAATCATGAGACCTGTCGCCAAAAATCCTCGTGGCTTTGTCTGGCGGGGAGTTAGTTGACGAACGCCGCACAAGTATTGCTTGTGACATACCCCAGGGGCTATCCCAGATTTGGAGAGTTGCATCCGCACCTTTATGGTGTCGAGCGGTTGGCAGCAGATCTGAGACCCTTGATCGTTATATGGAGCGCACGACATTGAATATGCACACTGACCGCCTCCATTGCGCCAGCGATCCCTCCAGCCGTGATATGTGTAGCGAAGCCTACCGGCTTCTTGTCCCCATTCCTTGACATAATTCTAGGGGATCCGGGCGTCTGGAGAGTTGGGTAGGGTATTAGATACCAGCGGTTGAAAAGCTGAGTAAAATAAAATGAGTTTCACCCTCACATACGGCCGATGAAATGTAAGACTGGCGGATTTAACATGTGAATATTTGATTTGTGCCTACCATTTCCGGACCTTCCCGCGTTAGCACCGACCAAGTACTTCCAGTCCTTGTTGGATCATCGAGAGTCACAAGACTTTATACTTGCCCCGCTCTTTATCCGCTCGACGCTTTGCATCCGGACAATGGTACACGCGCACATGCACTAGTCAAAATCTCGGGCGGCACATCGACGTCAATAGTAGTTCAGGCCGACAAACAATCAACCAACGAGCTGTCGAGTGAAATGGTAGTTCCTTTAAAGCAAATGGGAGTCTATTGTGGATCCGGGTGTGAAGCAGATGTATAATGCGTGCCAAGGTATCCGATGGAGAACCACAAGAACTAGAGATGCGATGAAATGAAATGCGACTACTAAGGTATTTAGGTAATCGATGAGGTATAAGATCCAAAGCCCAGGGATATATGCGCTATGATGAACGTTAACTGTCATTCGCGGACGCGTTGCCTTCGGTCGCTTGTGCTTTCTCCGTAACAGCAGGTATCGACCGACGATCTTTAAGCAAAGGCATCAAATTTGACGAAGCCGACACAGGCGACGTATTTTGCGGACTAGTTCGCAGTGCTTCCTCGCCTGATGGTTTAGGTTCTTCGTCAACCAGGGACTCGTTTGATGCATGAAGGGACTCGATATCGTCATCGTGAACTGGGCAGAATGGACCCTTAAACAGCTTATGTTGGGCGTATGCAAATGCAGGTCTGTTTACGTCCCGCGTCAATATGTCAGGTTTACGATACAATATATAGGAAACTGGTGACATACGTCAATGCAATGGAGAGTGCAATTATAACCAATGTGCTCGTGGGCGGAAAGTACCCGTTACTCGTTGTATCCTGCAATCTGATTAAATTGTGATTACTTTTGAACGATTCAAGGTGAGTACACACCACGACGTGATAACGGTTTCTGTCAATCAAATATCTAAGGCCCCGACTCATGCCAGATTGCTGATTAATAGCCAGGTCTATCCCCAGGGCGCAAAAGAAAGTACCGACAGACGCTGATCCCAGAAGCTATTTGATTCAGTCAGGATGCAGGGAGACCATAAAGGACGAAGTCAACGCTCACTAGTCCAGCTCGCTGTTTCCAAATGACAAGTACTGCACTTGCGAGACCACAGAATGCAACGAGTAGCCAATTGACAAAGAACGCAGCAGGGTCGGGTACCAATAGGAGGCTACGTAGTAATGCTATCCGTATCCCGATGGCGAGGCCACCCTGTATGCCTAACTGGAGGAGCCCTACCATGCGACCCACTTCTAAAAGCCCGAAGAGAAAGCCCAAACAAAATAGTACAAGAACTAAAGCTGTCAAGGTAATATCCGAAATACCGACATTATCCAATGTATTAACAAAAACAGACCACGCTGTATAGACGGGTTAGGCAAATTTCCATACATGAATTGTTAGTCGCTACCCACATGTGACAGACACAGATAGGCCTATGGCCGCACCGGTGCTAAGGCGCCAGCCGCGAAAGCCGGCCAGCATGAGTGGAACGCCAACTGTGAACGAGAACGCAATCCACAAAATAGCAGGCAGCGAGAATCCACTACCGCTGCCGTCGGTTGCGAGTCCTTGAGGAATTTCATCCCCAGTGAGTGGGCTGTAAACCACGACAGTCCCGTTTGTGTTGGTGACAATGACATTAGGATCTTGGAGACGTTGAAGTTGCTGAGTAGCTGTAGAGTACGTGGTCTGTGCCATAGCTCCTTGTAGCAGGCTGCTTGCGAGAGCAACGAAGACTAGAGATGGTACGAGTAGTCGTTTGCTGTGGCGACATTTGCAGCGCATTGAAACCACCATGGGTCTCCTGCTTACGCCAACAGCGAGAATTTAAAGACTAATTATAATATAAGACTTGAAATGCCTTGGTGGAAGGGCCTGAGCTAGAAAGCAGGCCAAACGAGCGACGATGAAAAATGAGTGGGGATCAGCGTCTTGAAGCGCTTTCTTGATACGAAGACGGAATGAAGAAAAAGACAGTTGCGGTTGTGCCTTCCGGAGTTGTAAGTCACCGCTCATATTGATCCGGTGCCCGAAATCAAGGTTATGTTACAAGTCTCGGCCAGTACTTACGCTACTAGGCGATTACATAATTACATAGGTAGCATCAAGTTGGGGGATGCCTTGCTTGTTGCAACACGCAAGCACACAGAATCGCGGATACACCAAGGGCGCTGTCGTCTTCTGCATGGCACCGAATATAAGGACGACGTGAGCTTGAACGGAGCGTTTAAAATAAAATTGCTCGGTCACGTGCATTACATACATACAAACAGTAGAGGCAAAACTCAAAAGACTGGTCACCAACACCATCTTACTCAGATAGGGTGTCGACAGTCGGTTGTCGCACTCTATTGAATTCAATCCCATCTGTGTTATCATATCTAACGTATATCTCCATGAGTTTCGGATGCCCTGGAGTTCTGCTAGGTGCCACCCCCCTGCCGTGGGCCGGGGACGACCAGTTTTGCCAGACCGTTGGCAAAATTCCCAAGTTCTGCCAAATTCCAACAACACTACCACAACTGTATGCCACACACATGATCATTGCCAGATGCGAAACCTAGCATCGATATGCAGTTCAAGACGGCCCGGGTACCCTATTGGGTGCCAGTCAATATTTAATCGATGACCGTGCAAGACAATCCACGTCAACTCTACACCATTATCAGTCTTTGTTTCTCACCTGCACATCACAAAGAAGAGGCTTGTTAACTCTTCCCGCTGTGTTTTTGTTTTTGAACGATGTCTGCTCTCAGCGATGTGAGATCGGAAACGGCTCATGCCTCCTCTGGTTTATCCAGTCATGCCCATGATATTCTCGAGAGGAGATTGGTGAGGAAGATCGATCTACGTATGTCCGTGATCTTACTTTTGTATGCCCTGAACTATGTGAGTCTGAGCTCTTTCAAAATTATTACTTGGTGCTTACTGCTAGTCAGATTGACAGAGCAAATGCTAGGTATTTTACGCATCTTCATAGACGTTTATATGATATTTCATGTCATCCACAGTAGCGCACGGTTGGGAGGTTTTGAGAAAGACCTGCACCTGCAGGGGAGTCAATACGCGACGATCTTGTCTATCAGCTATGTGGGATTCATTATCATGCAAGTGCCAGCGTGAGTTATATCCGTCATTGAGGAAAAGTTTGTTGTGACTTTCTTTCAGAAATATGTTTCTGCACTGGCTAGAGAGACCTGCCATCCTGATTCCTTGTAGTATGGTGATATGGGGTATAGTATCAACATTAACAGGTCTGTCGACACCGGCCACTCTCATGATTATGAATGCTAACCGTACCCAGGGATCACACAGAAGTACACATTCTCATTTTTCGTTGTCGTGGGGTCTGATAGCTCGACCAAAGTTATACCCAGGTTCTTCTCGCCCGTCTACTCCTTGGTTTTTCCGAAGCACCCTTTTTCCCTGGCGCCATATTTCTTATATCAGGATGGTACAAGCGAGACGAGCTCGCCATGAGAACGACTCTCGTTACTTGTGGAGCCGTGCTCAGCGCTGGGTTCGGATCCCTGTTTGCGTCTGGTATACTTACAGGCATGCAGGGAAAACTTGGTCAATCCGCATGGAGGCGAGAAACGTTTGTCTCTGTCGTTCGCTGAAGTTAACATATCTGCAGGTGGTTGTTTTACATCGAAGGCAGCATCACCGTCGTAGTCGCGATTTGTGCAATATTTATACTCCCTAATTTCCCTCACAACACCAAATGGCTCACTCCGGAGGAAAGGTCACTGGCTATTGCCCGCCTTGCAGACGATGGCTATGGAAGAATGGACCATTACAAACGAACGACCATGCAAGGACTATGGGATGCTTTGTCCGACTGGAAGGTATGGTGGTTTGCAGTCGCACTCGTTATCAATTTTTTGGGGTTGTCATTCGTCATTTACTTCCCGACGATCGTCGCGACTTTGCGATATGATACGACGGTAACTTTGCTGCTCGCCACTCCTCCATGGATGCTTGCCGCGATTGGTGCCTTTTCTCTTTCAAGGTCAATAAACTATTTTTTTTCTATCCCGAATCGTGTCTCATAGATGTTCAGGTACTCTGACCATAGGAAAAAGCGTTTCAAATACATTTTTGCATCGAATGTATTGGCTGCACTTGGATTCACTATATCCATCTGTACGATGAACATGGTTGCGCGCTATGTTTCGCTGTAAGCGGTATTATTGCCCAATAGAGTGATGCCTTGCGTACTCAGACACGTACAGGTTTCTTATGGCTCAAATTGCCTCGGGACAAATCGTTCTCTGGGCATGGGTAAACAACACTTTTTCCAGAGATCCTGCGAAGCGAGCTGTTGCTATTGCTATGATTAGCGGAGTGTCTGCGGTGGGGGGAGTCGCCGGATCGTTAGTGCCACCGATCTCCTGCTCTCGCTGATTCTTTATAATCTCTCATAGGTTCCTCTGGCCTCTCAGCTGGGGCCCGACATATCGTTATTCCTACGCTATCAGCTTCGCAGCACTTGGGGTGTCGACGGCCATGCTTGGTGTCATGCATTTGCATTTGAAGCGGGTGAATGAGCAAATTGAGAGAAACGAGCAGAATGCAAAGGATATCGACGACCTTCAGGACTCTGTTGGTTTTAGATATCTGGTGTAGTTAATGATCTATGCAAACCTCACACTAGGTACTTACAGGCGAAACTACAGCTCATCCCCCTGTCATCGGGTGGAAATCCCCGCAAGACACAATATAATGTTGTACCGCTTCGCTGTAAATTACATCAGTTACGTATACAACTTTTCCTGTGGTGACTCTTTCCTTCGTTTTCTATCATGCATCTTGTCGTGCACTCGGCTGTTGATCGACTTCTGCTGCATAAAACCACGACATGCTACTCTGCTGGTAGGTGCGCAGGCATCACCATAGAATAACACACAACAGCCTACCAGACAAAATCATCCTTCACCAGCCACACATTCAACGGCACCTGTGGCGTTACGCCATCTGGTGGCCTCACAAGAATATGAAATGCTTGTAGTAGCTGTCATTGAATCTCCACGTGGCTTGTGCATTCCGTTCCGTCAGAAGCGAGAAGTGCAAAAATAGAATGAGTGTTGCGAGAACCTGTTCTGTCAGGGGTATTAGTTTTCGTTTCCAAGCCGCCGAGGAATAAGGCAGCATAGAATTCAGTCTGTGTGGAGTGGCTCTAGACTGACCACCCTTTTCACACCTTGCTGCAGTCCACCGTCCCCTGAGGTAGGGTGCTGTCAACATGCCATGGGTGGGAAGGGATTGCCAGCGGTTTCGAGCCTGCGAAAACTTCATCAGGGGGCTGCCGCTACCCCTATTGCTTATACTTCTAGTTCTACTTAGAAAGTCTCTCCTTCTTAGCCTTTTTCAATGAGTAAATAAATCATGCGAAACGGTGTTCCATGCGATACGGCGGTCCGTGAACCATCTATGACCCATCGATGGAGAAGTTTTACAGATATGGGCTAATCCTTATCGTAGATAGACGAATGAGTTTTGTGAGTCCAGGCCTTAAGCCCGAGATGACGACAAAGAAAACACCCAGACTACGGGCCTTTCGACTCGTCTTCGGGATTTCATAATCGAGTCCGTATAGGATAGCGTGCGCATGGATGAACACACACGAAGGTATGGACATACTTGATTCCTTTTCTGCGAATTTGAATCCGCTGTAAAAATCGGGATCAGATTGGTGCGTGAGGTATGTCATGCGAGGGATTGAGACACCGACATGCAGGGACGGCTACCGCCGAGGAACGTCATATATCCTAGTGCATCTAAGCATATGAACTTTAGTGGGGAAATCGCTGTGAGTACTTGCATGTTGGAACACACTAGGAAGCCGCACACTATTTTTGACGCACAGAACAGCAGATCTCGACGTGGATGCAGCGTCTTCCCCATCCAATGAACAATTCGCATCTTGTACTTGCGAGGGAGCAGCAATATTAATGAGGTATGAAAGCCACAGCTCAAAACGCCATTCGTTCGCGTCAGCACCCCACATCTCTCGGTGGTGATTCACAGCGAGGATGGAGATGGTTGTATAGGCGCCCTCCGGGATCGCGACGGCGGACGTTCTGCGTAGTGCGCCATGCATGAAGTGAGTTCTCTGTATAGGAGGGAGAGGACCGTACCATTACTGGAGGAGAGGAATAGGGATGGAGCGTCTCTTTGATGACGCCGTCGAGGAACAGTAGGTTCATAAGGACGTCGTAGGGCAGTACTGGCACTATCCATCGTTTCCACGGTGCATTGCATCTCTCGCACGTCTACCATAAACTACGTTGTGAGCCAGGACACCGTGACCAAATCAAGCACTTTCCTCGACCAATACGGGGAGCAGTATGGCATGATGATCGCCGCGATCGGCCATACCTTCATGAGTTCTTTTGATCAAGCGGTTGTAATGCATGATACGTATGAGTTATGAGTTCAGACGCCAAAACGACCAGACATGAATACGAGTTTGTTTGACTTTGATAGTACCAAGTTAATTCTGTTTGACGTGGAATGCCTCAAAGGAGAACACACTAGGGTTAGGAACCTTGACGAGAAACACTGCACCTGCATTGAGAAATCGAAACTGGCCGCAATTAAACACCGCCAAGAGGGATTGCAACCGACTTCAGATTGTTGCAGTTGAGTCAGATATTTCGCACCGTTGTAATGAGAAGACAGACAGATACACATTATCTCTCTATCATCTCATTACTGCATTGATCTGGTGTGGATGACCATGCTTTTGCACACCTCTGTTTCTGCAGAGAAATTGAAGGTGAACTATACTTCTCTCGGCCATAAGAACATGAGATTAGTTCATCCATTGGCAATTGTCTGCCTGCGAGGAACGACGCCACGTCCGTCATGTTAGGCGCCGGAAGCCTCATCGAAAGAGAGACCGAGACATACGCTTTGGATCAACGTCTTGTCATCAGTCGCCCAAAGCTGTTTTGCCAATTTGTTGGTGGAGCCTTGGATTGCACACGTGCATGTCAGTATCAGTGTGCATTTCTTTTAAAAAAGCTGGTTGGAGGTAGGATGAGTAGCAGAGGAGGTAACATGAACGTACGGAGGGCCGTGTCAACTGGCCCAGCGTTAACAGTGATGTCATGCGATCCGAGTTCCTGCGCGATCGAATAACAGCTTTCGATGTACAGGCCGTTCGATGTAAACCCATTCTTCCCTGCTACCGATGACTCGCCATATTATTGCCCAAATGCAAGAAGGCAAATGGGCGTGCATACCGATGATCCTCCCGCCACAACCTCGTTTTGTCATCGCCTGCGCTACAGCACGCAAACAGAAACGTCCTGTGCATATCGGTATTGAAGACCATATCAAATCAGTGAGAGTAACTATTCGGGTGAGATCGGAGACGGCGCTGGCACACTACACAGTCAATCATGGCTTTCACGAGGATTCGTCCAGCATTTGCCACCATCTACTCCATCTATCAGACTATTATGATAACGCTTCAACACCATACATCACCTTCCCTTCGCTCTCACCCTGTCGAGGTTTGTGCGTTGTGATTTGGAGTCTGGGTGTCGAGCCCGGCTTTGAATCGTGGCGCAATAACCCCATACCCCGGGCTGCTCTACATGGGGCCGATAATTTGATCTGTGCTGGAGTACCAGAATCTGCCACGGTGTGTGTACGTCCTGGTCTGAGCACATCATGGGGTGAGGATGACAACGGCTCTACCTACTGATATTATCACCTCACTTGGTCAGCCTTATAAGGATGTATCCGGGAAAGTCCGATGAATATGCCAGCGCGCAGCATTTCAAAGAACTACATATAAACCAAACCAAATCCCTGGGAGGAGAAAGATGATCATTCAATGTCAAGTTGTGCATGGAGCCCCCTCTACGTCACGATACTATTACTAGGTCTTCATGCATGCTGGACGGTAGCATCGAGTTTCGATGGATCGTTCTTGCACATCGCCTTGCAGATTGATTTCTAGGATATACTTGCAGTTGTAGTCATTCATTGCAGGAGCTGATTGACTAATCGATCATGCCTTGAAAGTGCCCTTTATCATTAGATGCCAATGACTTTGAGTCTCAACGACCCTTCCCATCCTCTAACATAATCATTCGAAGTTGTAGAAGGTAGCGAAGCATATATTGAAGCAAAACGTCCGCGCTTCTTTAGCTGGCACATCTTCGGCTGAGCTGTTATACGAGTCGAGCTCAGCCGTGATCTTTGCTTCGACAATTAAAACAGAAGGAAAATGACCTTGTCGATCAATCCACGAGGCAATTAACTGATGGGCATGAATAGCTTGTTGCAAACCGTACTAGCAGTTACAGGAACGTTACGCGAAGCGAGCCCAAGATGAACGTTGAACTACGGCATCCATGGCGTGCAGTTGCATGAAACTGCATGTTTATCCTTGAACCAAAGATGCAGCAGAAGGTCAGCAGTCTTGTCACGACCCTTTGCGGAAAACAGCCTGGGCAGCCTCTGCTAACGCAAGTTCCTTCGCCTCTTCCTCAGCCTGTGAGCAGTGTCAAAAAAGGATAAGATGATGTGTAAAACGTGAAAACTTGCGGTTGTCTGCTCGCGCTGCTTTGCTTCAGCTTCTTTCAATGCCATGTACTATGATAGTCGACGTGAGTTGCCCTCATGCTAATTAGCCAATGCTAAGGTTTTCTCACCTCTGCACAAATTGGGTCAAAAACTTGAAGCAAAATTGGTGGTATATATCATCTCACCTCTGCCTTTGGCTAGTGTTTCGCGGTGCACGGCATAGCCCATGAACAGTCCATACACACTTAGTGCAGCCAGTCCACTGACGAAAGTGCGATGCAGGACGTCTGTTATCATCATCTTGTCCAACCTGTGGACTGCAACTACAGAGTTCGAAAGCGTGGAAGCAGGTGGTGGTTTGGTGTTATGTAAATGTGCGACTCCCGATCAAGCCGAATTCAATGAATCAAGCTTAGTTCCAGTCACTACATAATCAGGCGCTCATCGACAGCACTCGTACTTTTCGATAAGTACCGACATATATAATTTGATAAATAGCACCAGGAAGAAGCAACAGTACAAACAGCCTAAGCCTACAGACGAGGTTGCCATCATAGCCGCCAATCTCTGAAGAAGTCGTAATCCATCCGAACAAAGTTAATCATGTAGTCCGACACTGCCCCTCCTTCGTCCTCTTCCTCTGCAACTTGGTCCATCTCGGAAACATCCAACATTTCCTTACCAGTAGGCTGACCTTCCTCCGCATTATTTGATAACCTTCCTTCGTTTAGGGGAGCATCAATTTCTCCCTCAGCACCAAAGTCAGCTTGATCCGCGCCTTCCATGACATCTTCTTCTCTCGCGGCTACAGCGGCAGCATGGACATCTTCCTTGTCCTCAAATTCAACGAGCGCCTTCGATAGAGCTCCTTGGTCATCAAACAGAGATCGCCAGTCAAATTCGCCTTTTTGGATGACGAGATCGTCCAAAGAGCGCTTCTGGTTAGCTTTCAACAACATGGCTTCTTCAACTGTATGTGCAGAGATAAATCGATAGATGTGGACGTCTCTTATCTGACCGATACGATGAGCACTGAGAAAATGTTTGATCACTTATAAACGATGTGGATATTGAGGAAGCATCTTACCGATCTTCGCATTGCTTGTCCATTTGGGGGTTGAAGTCACTATCATAGAAGATGACGGTGTCTGCTCCAGTAAGACTGTCGAAGAGGTTAGCAATCAACAGACGAGGAAATTTACAAATACTTACTTGATACCTACTCCACCCGACCGAGAGGAAGAAATGAAGCAAAAAATCCTGGAGTCCGCATTGAACCGCTCAGTGATATATTGCCTGTCTTCGATTTTGGTGGCTCCATCAAGACGAAGATAGAGATAGCCATGAAAGTTGAGGAAAATTTCCAGGATATCCAAAATCCTTGTCATTTGTGTGAAGATGAGAACACGGTGTCCTTCCAACTTCCTCTGTCGGAGAAGGCGACTAAGTTCCTGCAGTTTGCCACAATCATATTGGAGAAGTGATGGATCTGGGAACGCTATCTGCAACTTGACGCTCGCGTGATGCAGGCCGTTATCGAAGTCAGATGACTGACGAGATATAACGTGCTCGCATCCTGCCAGAGCGAAACGAGGTAGGTCCAAAGCAACTGCAGCTGGAGTGACAAAAGCGAACCTTTCGACCACAGGTCGTAGCTCTTTAGCCCGGTCTGCGTAAGTCTTGACCGCCGAATGAAGAGGTAGAGCGGTGTCCATGAAGCGATGTCTGATATCCAATGCGGAAAGGGGAAGGATTGATTTATGACACTGCTTAGCAATAGTCAACAGCTCTTGGCTGTAGATCGGTAACCGGGTACAGCGCAGGCTATTGAGATAACCGATTTGTGCCCAGCGAGCTACTTGTGCAACCTGCTGTTGGTATGCATAGTAAGCACGGTATCCTTGAATAGTACGAGTGTCCTTTGGTGGTGGCTCCTCAGGCATTTCCGAGATGAGTGGGAGCCGATGCGTCGCATCAAGGCGCCGCGTTTCCAGAACAGAAAGTAGGGGTACGTTTTGCTGATCGATGAATCGCAGGCCAAGAAGGTCAAGATTGATACTGTCTTCATCACTCGCCCGAAGGAGCTCTCGCCGAACTAGTAGCTCCTTGATCTCGAAGCCTGCGGCGACGGAACGCGTCATAGCGAAAGATGTCACGATTGGACGGACTTCAAAAAGATCTGGATGATTACAGACTTTGCGGAGCTGCATGAGAATATTTGCAATCTTCTGGTACACGCCAGATTGCAAGGCGTCTCTGGTATGCGCACGATCCATGAACTCGTCGTAGAGAAACCGCTGCCGCTTGGATAAGGGGCACAGAACGAGGTGCTCGTACTTGCTGGGGAGCTCTTTCTCAACGTCACGTTTGAGACGGCGGAGTAGATAGGGACGGAGAACTGTGTGGAGTTTGGTCACGCGTTGCATATTTTCGTCATCCAACAAGGTGCCCATTTCAATCGCTTTCTCCAAGGGATCTACGTATCAAAAGTAAGTAATGATCGATTATACCTAAAAACGTGAGTATGCATACTTGAAAACCATTCACCAAACTCTTTCAGGTTGGCGAAGTTGGTACCAGACATTAGGAATTGTAAAAGTGCCCACAACTCAGTTAGATTGTTTTGTAGCGGGGTGCCAGTCAGGAGAAGACGCCGAAAGGAGCGGAACATTAGGAGAATATTCCATCGTTGGGACTTGAAATTTTTGATCATGTGTGCTTCATCCAGTATCATGTAATACCAAGCTTTGCGCTTGAATATGTGAGCATCGCGACTGGCGAGCGTGTATGAGGTTATGCAGACATTAAAGTGGTGCTTGTTGTACCACCCTTGGCGGAGCTCCTTGCGGCGTTTCGTCGATCCGTGGTAACTCAGAGTTTTGAACCCAGGCAGAAACTTCTTGAATTCCATTTCCCAGTTTAGGAGGACACTTGTCGGGACAATCTAGATGGTTGGTTGGTATATGCAAAGAGCATGACGTGAATCACGTACAATAAGATGCGGACCCCATATTCCACGGTCACAAGCTAGATGAGCAAGAAGCGATATTGTCTGTATAGTTTTCCTATTGAGTAGAGTGAGCTGACGCGTTAAACAAGGAACCCAAAAGCATACCCCAATCCCATTTCATCAGCAAGTATGCCGTTTAAATTGTTGACATGGAGGCTTGCAAGCCATTCCAAACCGGACTGCTGGTATGGACGGAGGACACCCCGTAACAACACGGGAACTTTTACCTTGTCTTCAGTATCCCAATGGACCGGCGCAACGGCGTACGATTTGAGATAATCTGGTATGTTGTCCTCTTGTTGATGGGCGTCCTCTGCTTCGTCAAATAACTCAGACTCATCGACTTCCATGCCAAAGGTAGGGGATGGGGGGCGAGAAGATGGTGTTTCGACCGCTGGGAAGCCCGCATAATCGTCTTTAGTATCGACTTCAGTTGCTTGAGCCGTATCAACGTCGTCAGCGCCTGAAGCCAAAGTGTCCGAAGTAGATTCAGTGACTGTTATCTTCATCCCCTTGTTGCCATCAACATTCGATTTAGGTTCCTCTTCATGACCAGCAACAGTGCTGGCTGGTGAAGGCGCGTCGTTGAAACTCTCGAAATGGGGAGACCTGTAGTCTTCGGTCGTCTGCTCGTGCAAAACGGAGTCGGAGTCGGTAGGGGTCTCCCGAGATATCGGTAGACTGAAAGGGAGAGGCAAAGGGTGACTCCACGGCCACAACAGACAAGACAGCCTCTGACTCTTCTTCATCGTTCATCTCAGCACCCAGTAGATTGGCACCAGCTTGGGAGGTGGCGCTCGAAGTATCATCAACTTCAAACCGAGGGACTGATGGCCCCAGTAATGCCGACGCACTGGTTCCGTCCTCATCCTCCTCCCCCTCTTCTTCTTCATCCTCAGTGCTTTCTTCATCCTCAGCATTCTCCGTATCTCGGTCACTCGCTTGCGACGAAAATTGCTGCCCCACACCATCCGCATCTCCCTCATCCATTTCAGACTCTGAATTTTCCGAGCCTTCAGAGTCGAATCCCGGTTCCAGAAGTGACCAGAAACACTGCTCGATCTGCTGCGGGACATATCACCTCTGGCGAGTTCTGCTTGCTGAGTTTCCAATATATGACCAGAGCGATCGAGGATAGCATCCAGATGCTCATGACCACGACGCCTTTCCTCAGCCTCCGCGCGTAGTCGATGCTGTTCCCGAATATGCTATGTAGAGGAAGATGAAAATTAAAGCAATATCCCCAAACAAGAATATGGTGCGTACGAAGACAGCCTTTTTCCATTCACTAGTGACCACCTTGATGGTTGCCTTCGCCAAAGCACGAAGTCTTCTCTCTTCGTGCAATTTTGCCTTGTCCTCCCGTTGTGCCCGTTGATCCCAATACGCCTTGATGCGGGTCGATATCTGCGCGGCGATAACTCGACCTTTCACCTGCTCCCGTCGGGAGCGTTGGGTGACGGCTTCTAAGACAACATCCCAAGTGTCACGACCTTGCTTTGGTTCCTGGAAACCTACGCCACCCCTTGTTTTGGACATCTCATTGAAGGTCGCGTTGTCAATAATGAGCCGACCCTGTTGTCGGAAGCTTTCCATCTTATCCAACAGTGCAGCCTTCTTCTGAGCCATAAGATTTAGATCATCCTCACGTAGGTCTAAGTCATTGATGGAGACATATGAGTTCAAAAAGCCGGAGAGCGATGAATGAACCGAGGTCGAGGAGGTTGCTGGCGGGGATTAGAGTACAATGGAGGTGGTGGTCGCACTATGAGCTTGACGCGTCTGATATTAAATTGTGATTGTGGCGGTTCAACTTCACTGGGAAGTTGGAAAAGTGTTGGTGGTTCTCGTATCATAGCTGGAGGGTGTCGCTGAAAGATGTTTGAGCGAGGAAATTGCAAAGAGGTAATCAACCCTCACCAGAGACTTGCGACGAGCAGAAATTTGGGAGGGATCCAACGCCACATCATCTGACCCAGTTGACTTGTGCCCTAAGATATTAGGGACCTCCGCCACTTCCGATGCGAGTCCATCTTGGAATTTCCGCTTCTTTTTTGCAGAAGGTGCAGCAGCAGGTGAACCCGTGGGGGAAACAACAGTGATATTCCTCTTCTTGCCACGTACAGGTCCCGTGGATATAGAAGCCTCGCCATCCATAGGCAAAATCGGAGCCAGAGCTCGAAGTTTCGGAGGCTGAGATATAGATTTGCTTTTCCCAGGCTTGTTCGGCGTAACTGATTCAATGGGCGCAGTGCCATTGACTGAATCAACCGCCTTCTGTTTCCCTTTTGATTTAGCGGAGAGGGGCAGTTCCGGTTCGGTGCGCACTCGAGAAGTCGTGGAAGGTAAAAGTGGTGCAGTAAGATTTTGAACGCGCTCGGTATGAGCCCTCCTTGTAGCACGCGATGGACCTGCCGATGTAGAGGCTTTTTCAAGCAGGTCATAGTCCGACTTATACTGTGAAGACAAGATAGGTCGTTCCGTAAGTGCCATAATCTTCGTGTCCTTCCTCCCCACGCACCTCCTGAAACACGATCGACTTGTCCTGCTTCGCAATCTGGGAGACCAATAAGTGTTAAAAAAGTGCCGGCTCAGAGGAGCTTACAGTTGGGTCATATTCAATGAGAGTCACAAACTTCTCCAAGTGAAAAGCCTCCCGCACCTAATCCGAATATGAAACAATGAACTTCCCTGGTGACATAGGCAAACTCACCATCGCATCATGTGTGTCCATAATTTGATCCAACTCAGCCTGTCTTTCCAGTAGCATTGTTGTCCTTTCAACAGCAACATCCTCCTGTGACACCAACCGTGCATCCTTGGTTACCCCGTTCCGTCTACCACGACCCTCCCTTTTCCCGTTCCTCAAGCCACCCTTAACACCTTTCTCGCTCTTCTTCGATGACGCTGACCATTTTGAGTGTCTTGTGGGCATGTTTCGCAGCCATAAACGAATACACCGCAGTAGCACCTAGCCTTAGCGCCCGCGCAAGTCGATCTCCTCAAATTCTTAACGGTTTGACGAGCTTCTTGGACCTCTGGGCCAGTGGAAAAGAATGGGGCCCCACTGATGAAAAATTATGAGACTAGATTCTGAACTAGCTGGTCGTTCGAGGTTTCGGGGAAACGGCAGCCCATTTTTCGACATGATGTTGATATTTGTTCCGAACAAATAGGAATGCGGGCATGACGGACGCTGCAATCACGGCAGTTGCAGCACAAAAAATCACACCCGGGATGATCTTACCAATACTTGGATTGAAGGAAGGAACAAACAAGAGGGTAAAACCTGCCGTGACTAGTATACAATGTACAGTGCGCAGGGGGTGTCGACGTGTCTGGGTATTACAACAACAAATGCAGGTAATGGATAGTGTCAACGTTCCAAAAAAGAATAATGTAGTGATAACTGAAAAGAATCAAAGTCCCATTTAATGGCTGGTATACTCGAAATTGGGGAAATCCTGTCCCCATGTGTCTTGAGCTGGAAGTCCGTACAGTGAGGCAGCGTTGTCCTCGGGGTATTGTTCAAAGCTACGCCAAATTAAGCCTCGAAGCTTGAGATTAGAGAACGAACAAAACTTACGCGCTTGCATCTCCGTCTCCTGCAATTTTAGGCAGGTAAGGAGCAGTGATCTCTCTGTTCCGCAACTTGTCCCAGTCGACTTCACGGAACCACGGATGTGCGAAGACGTCACCTGCGCCATGCCGCAAGTTTCCGTATCGTTTGGAGGGCTCCCCCTCCATCAATTTTTGAATGATGTCCGTAGCGTTTTGATGGAATGATGGCCAGCGAATGAAGGCTGGACCACGAGTGATCTTTTCGTAAAGTACAACGGGGTTATGATCGGGTTGGTGATAAGGAGGAAGTCCAGAGAGCATCTCAAAGATCAACACGCCTAGGGCGTACCAGTCAACACTTTTGTTGTACCGTTGTTGCCCTATGATCTGTTGAGGTAATGTGAAGTGAGACTTGAAATTGGAAGATGACCACCAGGCACTCACTTCGGGTGCAAGGTAATCAGGCGTGCCACATAGTGTCCACGTCACGGATGAACAGTGCTTTGAGAATCCAAAGTCTGCTATTTTAATGTGACCGTCATGGTTGAGAAGGATGTTCTCCGGCTTAAGGTCACGATATATAATGTCGAGGGAATGCAGGTAATTTAAAGCAAGTGCGACTTCTGCGGCGTAAAACTTGGCTACGGGATCCGGGAAGCGCTTCCAGGAAGGTGTCAGAACATTTTTTTTTAAGATGATTAGAAAAGACTCACATTCGACCGTCGTAGCAGGGTGAAAAGTTCACCCCCAGGTACGAAGTCCATTACCATGAATAAGTTGGATGCGTCCTGAAACGCGCCCCAAAGATTGACGATGAAGGGATGTTGAACTGCTTCAAGCATCATCTTCTCGTTGTTGGTATGCTCGACCTGTTTCGTCCGAACAATCTTCTCTTTGTTCAACACTTTGATGGCGTAAAAACGGAGATTGTGTTTGCTCCTGACTGAGAAGCTAAATGAGATGATGGCGTAATGAATAAGTCCAAAGGACATACCTAAATGTACTCTACCAAAGGAGCCCGTCCCAAGGGTCCGTTGTATTATGAAGTCGGTGAGCCGGTAAGATGCTTTTGGCCTCGACACGCGCGGTAGTGGAAACGTCTCGACTTCGAGATTATTTTCTTGTTGGGTCCATTCGCTGGAAGACGTTCGCTTGTGTTGATATCGAGCCGCGATGATAGTCTGCAGCGGCAGATATCGAATGAGACATTGAAGTGTAAGGCAAGTTCGCAAGTCCTGGTTGACTAGACTGCTTCTGAGACTGGCCAAATTGCCCAATCTTATCGGCCATTCGCTTGATCATGCGCCAGAGTAATGGAATATAGACAGAGGAGACCGGGGGCGGACTATGGCACAGAGGGACTGAAAGAAAAAATGATGGGAACTCCGTGGTCAATCAAATTCTTACAAACTTGTCATGTCAGCGAGCGCTCTCGAGACACATTGCATTGTTCTTACCAAACAAGTCGCAAACAAAAATCACAATACAACAACTCTTTGTTCAACGATCTCCTGAACGACGGTCACTGTCGTGCACACGCCCTGTCGACCCTGTTCTCAACGTAAAAGTTTATCTTGATCTACAACTTGCGACATTGACTACACTGCGTTCAATGATCAGGTTAGGGCTTGATGATAATCTGGTACGACTACATGTACCAAAGTTGTCATCTGTAACAACTAACTGCGGGACTCTCTACCTCATGAAACCAATGTTGACACCATCACGAACGCCCCAGTACGACCGATGTTCAGTGTGTCAACAAGTACTACCATTTTGGAAACATGCAAACAGTATCACGATGTACACCAGATGGTCGAATGCAAAAGGTCAGCGACATTAAACCTGGGAAGCTCAGCCTCGCATCCGTCACACACAAGTGTGACGACAAGCTCCCCTGGGTCGCGCGGTCTGCATGCTTATCTCTAACGTGTGTGTAGAAGACCATAGTCAACCTCTACACTCGCACCAACATCCTAACCGGAAGTCCTTGAATAGTCAGCGGGGTCGGCCATGCAAGGAACTATTTAATTCGAGTCTTGTGAATACTGAGGAATTTGGAGCCTGTCACATCTCGCTGTATGAATCAACTTGCACTCTGTATAGGCACTCAAAGAATGAGTTTAGGGCAAGCGGGGTCTTCTAGCTCGATACCAGGAGGACCCGCAATCAATTTTAGCACCAAGATATGACAGCTCGAAGTAACACTAATTAATACACAAGTCATCGAAATGACTGAGACTAGGCAGAAACGAGAGTAAGACGTTGTAATCAGTGGTAGTTCGTACAGCCACCTTGTAGTAGGACAAGGTACCTACCACGTGCAGTACTTACCCCACGCTGACTTGGACGGTACCAAATTTCTGCACCCGACGCCCTACTGGTACCGTACTTGTGGGTACTACACCCGTGACGCCAAGTTACTGGTATACTCGCGGTGTGTCTCCATATATCCTACAAGTTGTATCCGTACTAAACCAATGGTGTTTTTTCTTTCAGAATCGAGGTTATTCTGAGTCGTGCCTCGGTCCCGACACGCACTGCATGTTTCGGAATCGCTGTGCTCCTGGATATAGTTATTTTCCTGGCAGGTCGAGTTCTGTTGGGTTTCGAACGCCATCTCCCGGTCCCAGGATGACTGCCCCTCGGTTCGCAATTGGTAAATAATATCGGTTGTTGGTGCCTAACAGACCCACTCAAACACCTGCGTTTTTTGCTTTTCGTTTTGCTACCAGTACGAAGTCTGTCGAGAGTTCGTTCTTTGGAAGGGTTCCGTACGATTGGCACTGGGATATATCTCCGGGATATCCACGAACAATGTCAGGATACTAAATCTCCAAAGTGAGTCAATGTCCGTTGTTTGGCAAGATAGCTGATGACCATTCTGTAGTGTTGTTTTGATATTCGGATGGCGTAAATTCCCAAGTTTGCGTTCTTGTAGTCCATGTTTAATGAGTATTGTCCGCAGTGGGAGCATATCCTAGGCAATTGCGGAATTATACTAGTGCATACGCTAAACTATACCCAAAAGCGTCTCAGATCGTCGTTCAGTGCAATCCCGACTTGCTCTGGACTACAAGCCGTGCTAGGGTGAGTACTTCTCGGTAATTGCTCACTGTTGTCTTGTGGCCTCACAAGCGAAAGTCACGGAAGCTCAAGCCTGTCATCGATGTCTTAGAAGCACTGCATTGCTTACCATCTTCCTCTCCTGCCCAACGGCCTGCGCGGATACTTACACATGTGTTTTCTAATGGTGGGTTCTCCCCGGCTGACTCCGAAAAAGCTAAACCCTGTACGCCAATACCAGGGGGTTCTCTGCAAATGACACTTCTTGGACATATGCTGCAGCGGAAATACGGTTCCACACCAGTTCTAGGGACATCTGCGAGCGCGATGATCCTTGACTCGTGTCCAGCAGCGGGCGACCTAAAATCAATCAAACTCGCTGTTAGAACTGTCATCCGGAATCCAATTGCCAGACGTATCATACTCGCAATCGTACACGCGATATACTCTGTCCGCTTTGGACTCTCTTTGCTGTTCGGTAAGCAAATGATTATGCTAGAAAACCTCCAAATCGAAATGTGGAATTCTCGCATCCTGCCATGGATAGGCCTCCACACACCTCGCCTCTACCTTTTTTCGCGTAAAGATAAATTGGTCTTGTGGCAAGAGGTCACACGACATGCCGAGACTGCGAAGGAGCGCGGAATGGATGTGCTTTGCGAGCTGTTTGAAGAGAGCGCACACGTAGCACACGTCCAGGCCGAGCCAGAGAGGTATTGGTCCTCAGTGCAGAATGTTTGGACTGTCGCAACCAAGGAGAAAAATGAGCATTAGAGGATATATATTTTTGGTTATATAACTCCCAAAGGTCGCGTTTTCAGTATGACGCTCCTACACGTCATCAGAGCAGCCTTGAGCGAGACCTAGACCGCATCACCATCAGTCCTTCATTATTTCACTATCAATACGATACTGGTGTGCTGAACCTACATCTACCGAACAGGATTCATATGCTACTAAGTATGTCACATCGACATAATGACAGGGACAGCGAAATGGTTGCACAAGGAATGCGATGACTGCAGAAATAACGATACAAGGGGTTCAATCAAAGGTGATACATTCATGTTGCTTTGTGCAAACCTGGTTGCATATTATTTCAACGATTTGAACTAAGTCGGTGATTACAAACTCACTAGGCTCCCAACCCAAATGTTGCAACTTTCCACTCTCAACATTATGAATAAACTGCGTCATCATCTTCTCGTACGGTTTGAACATGGCATTGAACTCTGCATGTGAAGAGGGCTTGCGCGATGAGCCTGGACGATGTGATGTGATGCCATGATTTATGTCTTTTGCCAGTTGCTTTACTGGAGATAGTATCCTTGCAGGAACATCACGCGGCTAAAACGCGTTCAGTTACAGAATGTGCTATGGCTGGTGCAAGTAATACTCACAGGTCTGGGTCCATCAGAAGAAGGCTTTCGCATGAATGGCGGATTCAGTTCATCAAGCACGTCCGTATTCACCGTCGCATGCTGTGGCAAGTTTGCGTAGGACACGGGTGCTGTGTGCGCTGGCCATAAAGGACTTGTCGGGGAAGGCTCCTCCTTTGTTGCAATCGATGGCAATGACACGCCGCGAGTATGAATAGGTGATAGTGATCTTGCAGGTGTGGGAAGATGAGGAAGTGGTGCAGTGGGTGACACGCTCGTGGATTGTTCCGAAGTCCCTCGCAGTGGTGCGGTTTTTGCTTGATGGTATGAGACCCACTTGCTTACTTGCTCGCGCTCTGCCTTGATGCACACGGACCAGATGTCGATCATTTCTTTCTTGGGGAACGGATTGTTTCGCAGCAACGGCCTCAGTATATCGAGTTGCTCCGACGTGAAATTCGTAAATACTGTTCGGCAAGATCATGGCGTAAATCAAGGGTGCACATATACGCATGTTCGGGAGAAAAAACACGCACGGATATTGTCGTCATCTTGCATTGATTTCTTCCTTACGGTGGCACGGTAGCGTTGAAACCACGCGGTTATATGTTTGGCATCGGCCTGTCCACACCCATGCAAGCGTCGCACCTGGTCGAGCAAGTGTTGTCTTTGGTGTGAATCCGGGTACATCGAAACATGTTCGGCAAAATCTGTATAGAAAGGGTCAGCGCGCCTCGAGCATTGGACCTAACATGCCACCGCGTCTCGGCAAAGGTACAACTGGGCGAACCGTGTCGATTTGTGTGAATGGATGGAGGACGACTTACCTTTTAGGAGTTTTCTAGCGTCTGGGCTCAGTCGTTGGCGTTTAGCACCTGCTGCTGATGTCTCAGCGTGTTGATAATCTCCCTCCATGTCGTTTCAGCGGAAGGGGGAAGAGACAAAAGAAATTTCATGTAATTTGAATGGAATGCGGCGACCTTTGTATAAGTAGCAGTGTGAGCCACTCTTTGTAGATCCTTAGGTAAATCCAACCCGTAGGTCCGTGTTTAAACACTAAAAATGACACATTTTTCTTTAACCTTTCTTTTCAAATCTACCGTATGGATAACGATGCCGTGACGTCGGGGGCGACGTCGGACAAGGCAAATCTGACCCATCCTCTTGGATGTTATGAACGATCATGATGCTTGAAGGAGTCTCGTTCCAAGACACTTCTTTATCTTCCTGATAACCAAGATTGATCGACGCAGTCAACTGACGAGAGGACTGGGCATGGCTAACAACTACATAGCTCAAGAGTCACTCTGCATGCTTTTGCACGCAGGCGAGCTAGAACACCTTCATTGTGCATGTTTTGCTTGCAGGCAAGTCATGTGCTGACCTCATGGTATGTAGGGGCATCAGAACCCTCATTTTCCAGGTCGCCTACTAGTAGGGTCACCCTTTACCTGCATTCAGATGCTTGCGGATCTACATAAGATCTCTGGTTGTTATTGCCATGAGGCTCCCAAACAAAACATTATTTTTTTGCAGTTTCAAAATACTTAAAGCGTTAAAACGATAAAGATCGAGCGCGGTTGTACATCTTCACTTGACCTGTTTTTGGTGGTTGCGATGACAGTTTATCTGCTGTTTCTTGTAATTGCCGACCTTGAACTCTCTTCCTCATCTTTTTATCAACAGCAAAGTCCCATGCAGTCTTCACAGGCCCGACTTCCGACTTTAGCTTATTCTCCACAACAACATCTTCCATCTCCATGGTCAAAGTATGCATGATATCACTTTTGAGCATCTCGCGCGACCGAGGTAGCGTGCTCAACTCAGATGTGACCATGGGTGTCTCATGGATTGCGAGCAATTCCGTATCCAGCATAATCGAAACTAGAGTCAGAAGAAATATTGGTGCATACCAAAACTTAATGGATATGCCAAGAAAGGTAATGATCCACTTACACTCTCGTTCTGTTGTCTTTGCCAGCGCACCAAGTCTCTCGGCCATAGCGCGTACGATCTGCTGATCCGTGATAGGATCTCCCCGCATCAGCGAGGGAAACAGGACTGGTGCCACTCGGGACAATGCAACTGAAAGGAAAAAGAAGACCTGATGGAGGAGAAGAACATGTTGGTGTATAATCCGTTTAGGAAATACAATATGGAGGATCGTGGTGTGCGAGGTTGCTGCATCAACAAAGGGGCTCGGTGGTAACGTGGAAGGCGAGGGGGCAAGGAGGAGATAAAGCTCTGATGCAAAAAGGGAAAGAAAAAGAAGATAACGCCACTTGAAACAGGCACAAGGAAGCTGGTCAAAATGGGCAACAGAGCAAGTATCCAGAGTACTCACTGCTGCTATTGGACTGGGCTTTCCGATAACTGAGAAAAGAATCAGACCAGCACCAGTCATGACGTGGTACAATGATGAGCTCAGTAGCCCGCGTCGGAGATACTCGCGCATTGTTGTACACTCTTTCCACTTCAGGACATCAGGTCCGAATCTGAAATGTAGATATGAGGTGACCAAGCCGTACCACTCACAAGACCCCTCACCTGTCGTACGCAAACCTGATCACTGGGTCTTTCAAGGCTTCGAAAGCATCTCTTACCTCGATGAACAATGCTTCTCCTGACGGACCTACTCGATCTGGGTGATATTTCCTTGCGAACCCGCGAAACGCCGTCTTTAGGGTAGCATCACTGGAGTTCGGATATACGCCGAGTAGCTCGTAAAAGTTGTTTGTGATGCTTCCAGAAGCATCCAAGAAGTTATAGATAAGATAACAAAGGACAACTGCTGCGAAAGTAAGTCGGTAGTGTAGTGCATAAGCAGGCGTTCGCGGATCAGGCGGAGGCCGGTGAAAAATACTAGAAGATGCCTGATGAATTACACGGAGAGCTTGTTTTGTTGCAAAATCTGGGAGGTACGACCAGCCAACGATGCGTAAAAGCGCCGCGGACATGAATTGGTGATCTAGAGATGCTGTAGTTTCGTCAGTCAAAACTGCAAGGATGGACATCAATGGAAAAAAAGGAAGCTCAGGGCTGCAAGCAGCCAGAATGATCTCATGTCCTTGACTATACGCGCACCACATGTCCGCTGGAACTCGTGCCTGCAGTTTGTTCGCACATAACCACACACCCAAACATATATCTTGAGTTTGGGTACTTTATAATGTGCGTACCCGTGCAAAGACGGGTAGATTTTGCGTTTAATAGAAATCCACATCTAGAGACCACCCGTGACAGACAAAATCTCTGCTGCCAGGGCTCGGCTAGAACGCCACAATTCGTCTGCAACTTTGCAATCATCTAGGACTGCAAAACATACAAATGACTGCGAAGTGACAGCTCTGCCTTTGCTAGCGAGCTGTGGGCCTTGCAGTCCCGCCAGCCAATGAGAGCCACACAATGTCGGTCTGGCCTTACAATGCGATGCAGCGAGTTTGGGCAAGGCAATGGGAAACAGACACTTTTTGGGCTCAAGAGCCAGGGACAAGGCGCATTACGGTCAAGGTCGACCCTTTTACTAGGACATCGTCGCAAACAAGAGAGGAATATGACCACTTGCCTATCTATGTGAAGCCGGGATGCTCGCCCGAAGCCAGGGAAACTCTTGTCGTCAATAATACGAGGTTATAAGCCTGAAAGCTGTCGTCCAGCATGAAATAAAGCTTGTGCTTGGCGGGGCACCCTGGACTGAAGGAGAGACTCTGGCGTGCGAATATTTTACCTCGTGCAAGCAACTGTTTGAACACGTCGGCAAACGTTGATCTCCTACACCATCTCCACGACGCTCAAATTTCAGGACCATCATTTGGAGAACTGCAGCACGTTGCTGGAGGATATAGGAGTGGACACGTCAAAACATGAATATTTTTCGGTTGTTCGGTTCGCGCTCGCGTTGTGTAAGTTGTCTGGAAAGCTAACGGGTCGTGGTTGTAGGGGATTTGGCCCACTTGGCCTCCATATTCATCCTTATTCAGAAGATTCAGAAGACCAGGTCATGCAGGGGTGGGTTTGCTTTGGATTTACTAATTTGTCCTTGCTCAGGCGTGTCGCTTGTATGTCTATTAGGTATTTCCTTCAAGACACAGGCTCTCTACGCCCTTGTGTTCATGACACGCTACATCGACCTGTTGTTCCGCTGGGTATCTGTTTACAATTTCGTGATGAAGGTTTTCTTCATTAGCAGCAGTTGTTACATCCTCTACCTCATGAAATACCGTTTCCGGTGCGTACTCACTAGTGTCCGCCTTTTGCACGAATATCGACCTTGGTTTTGACAGTCCAACGCACGACCCCTCCATTGACACGTTCAAGATTGAATACCTCCTTGGGCCATCCTTCTTTCTTTCGCTGATATTCAACTACGCGTTCGAGCCAAGTGAAATCCTCTGGACATTCTCCATATATCTCGAATCTGTCGCCATTTTCCCCCAGTTGTTCATGTTGCAGCGTACTGGCGAGGCGGAGACAATTACAACGCACTACCTGGCCGCTCTGGGTCTTTATCGTGCTCTGTACCTTCCCAACTGGATATATAGGTATGCACGCGTCCAATGGATTCTGATCATGACCGAACGATTTTACCCTCCAGATACTTTACGGAGGACGTGGTGGATCCCATAGCTGTCACAGCTGGACTGGTGCAAACCGGGCTTTACCTCGACTTCTTCTACGTCTACTTTACAAAGTTGGTCTTATACGTAATTCCTACGCCAAATGTTTGCTTACCAACGATATCATTCCCAGAGTCCTCCACGGCCAGAAGTTCGAACTTCCGGCATGAGTTGGCATATTTTGGTCTATCAGAGTCCGATATGTCATTAATCAGAGCCTTGCCTGTTACAAACCGCTCAAGGACATTCATGCATGCTTCGGGGACCATAGAATTTTGCAGTGCATAGCAAACGAGATATTTGAGTCACTGGCTCTAGTCTGTTAATGATGATGATGACACGTATTTGGCCATGTGGCCTAAGCATATTACGTGTCTCGGCTAAATCGGCGTCAGGTTCACTGCAGGTCGCCCCATCGAGGGGTCCATCGAGCCATGGTTTCGAACCATTAATCTCAGTGATGATGATCATCGTTATAATCAGTGTGCACCACAGTGTCCTCGACGCTGGGGACAATGCCGAGCTTGCGGTTTATATGAACTATACAACTTGACAAGGAAACCTTCAAACTTACTTCAAACAGTAACCTCCGCAAGTTCGTTATGGTTGAACGTTGAACAGCGAATCAGGGACACAGTGCCTCCGACAAGACCACGAACATCCCGCAACGTTCATGTGGAGTCATACACTCCAGTCCAGCACGTGCTGCTTGTAGGGTGGTCCCTCATACTGGCAATTCTCAACGCGAACTTCATCTACGGGACTCTGGATGCATGGACTTGCTCGACCCTCCTCGGCTTTACTTAGATGCATGTGTGTGAATACACACCCTGGGAATCTCTTGCGTTCGGAAGGCTCGACCGAGAAAATCCGATGATGGTTGGTACGTGTTTAACCTCGCTTGACTGGCTGGTCATCACGTTGGCACGATTAGCACTAGTTTCCCGTGATCAAACCTTGACTAAAAGAACACAATCGCTCCTTCTTTTTCAAGGGTAGGCGCCGTGGTTATCAGGTGAGTCTCCGCGCTTATTGAGTATCTTCTATTACAAAGCCTGTTTGTCAGTGTCCCGAGAGAAATGCCGCTGAATGTATTTTTGTAAATCGTCAAAAAGCTTTATCCCACTCTTAGAGCTTCAAGATACCGATTAAGTGCTCTTCCCAAAGCTATAATACAATTAATACTTGGCCATCCCTTAGAGAGACCTGTAAATGGATTAACGTTCGGCAAGTATTCCAACTTATTATTGGACGAAGAATGGTATCATTTTGGGGCCCATTTTTCAGTGGGTTATCAGCAAATTATCGGCGCACTTCTCTGGTTATTTGCCGAACCCGGTTGGCACGACTGTTGAGTTTTCCCCACTGCATATCGAAGGACCGGCAATTATAGCATCCTGATACCACTCCCACTATTTCGGCAGTTACATTCCCCTTGGTTGACGGAGTCGGAGCACGTACAGTCTTTTGATCTCTGATAGCACTGTGGCCCAGCAATCCATAAAAAGTTACACTCTTCCCAAGCGAGATTGGGGATGGAGACACGACTATGTGCATACTCATCTAGGTTCCAAACCCCCAACGTTACCGCTTCAAAAGGACCATGTCTGCTCGATTCATTGCCAGCCTATCTGATAGCTCTGATCTGGTTATTGCTTCCGAAGGGATTGTAACGCTATCGGTAATCGGACGCGAAATGATTGCAACGATCTATACGAGATCAACGTTCAATCAACGTTCAATGTCCATTCCCCGGTCGTTTCGCGTGCCGGGACGGCCCTGCATAGCATACAAGAACTCTCGTTCGTCAATAACTCGACGTACGTCCCAGAGTATAAGTACAGGGTACATGCAACCCATTGCAACCAATCTCTCGCCAATCTTCTCTCTGCAACTTTCCCAATGACAATGAGTGACAACCTGTGTACGCCCACCCTCGATGGCGAAGTACGTGCTTGTGTGTTTTAATACGCTTCCATGTCCTGATTTTAATGTCAAATACAGGTTCTAACAAGCATCCGCCAGTCCATCGCTGAATTTTTTCAGCGGTGTGACTTGCAATATAAGAACGTCACACTCGATGAAATGTGGTACTCCGAATGCTGTCAGGAGGCTATGAACCGCGGTTATCCGATGGATGCCATCTTCCCATACATGGCCATTGGCGCAGCTATGGCGTCCAACGCTTACGACCACCTCCCGGACCGTGCAACTAAGCTGTGGATCTGCCTCATGACCACCGTATGCGTCTGCATCGACGACACGATGATCAGGGCAGAATATCTAGTGCATGTGTACCATTTCAACGAGCGGTTCGCGAATTGCCAGCCGCAGGAACATCCAGTTTTGAATGCGCTTGATGGGCTCCTGCGGGAGGTAGTTTGCCATCATTCTGCACCGGTGTCAAATTTAATCGTCACGTCCGCCCTCAACTTCATATCTTCCATTTTACTTGACAATGAGACTCAAGATATGCCAGTATGGTATTTCTCCAATAAAGGCAGCTTCGATCTTTAACCCTTTGTGAGCAGATCTCACTGCAGGCTCCCTCATACCCCGAGTATTCTAGGCTGCTATCAGGCTTTCCGGATGTGTATGGATTCAGCATTTTCCCTTCCACACTCCCGCTTCGGGAATACGTTCAATGTATGCCGGATCTAGCCATAGTCCTGAACCACACAAAGTAAGTACATCGATGATTTTGTGTTAACCTTTCTAACCTGCCATGATTCAGTGATATATTGTCATACTACAAAGAGGAGATCGAAGGCGACTCCGCAAACTACCTGTCGCTCATAGCAGCCTCTCGTGCTCTCAGCAAACAGGACGCTCTCCGTGAGCTCATCGATAAAACTGTGCAAGCACATCACAATATCCTCGAATTCTTGAGACCTCGTCCTGAGGCATATGACGCCTATGTTGCGTTTTTCGATGGGTATGTCAAATTTCATGCTACCTCAAAAAGGTACAAGTTGGAGGAGGTCATGTCGGGGAGGTGGTCTTCTTTATAGGTACCTTTCTTATGGTACTTCTCACCTTTCTGTATGTCACATCTCGAAGTAGAGCGCTAGTTATCACGTTTAGCACTTGCAGCACCCCGTCTCTATGTAATCTCCCAGTCGCTATTAGATTGCTAGTCCCTTGAGCTTTTCTTGCTCCCTCCAGTTTTGAGGGGTTTACTATAAGTTGATTCCGTCTACAGGATGTCACGCGCAAGCATGGTCATCATACGGTCACGCAGCTTCACATGTAGGCTAGCCCACATACGTGCGAGACTATGCATACAAACTATCATCGATACGGCCCGTACGGTCTATCTGTATCATCGAGCGATGACAGAACACTACTGCTACACACATTCTCATCGAAGACCACCGTTAATATCATATTCTTCCCGGTGTTCGCACACTTTGTACGGCTGTGCGAGCTGGTACATGTGGGACTGATTTGCGGTTCACGACACTACAGTTAGCTACAGTCGTTCTCGCCTGCACAACCAACCACATCGTCAGGCAGGCCTTCCCCGCTTGGCATGTTTAGCTTGAACTCATCGATTTACCTTCAGTAGTCTTAGTCAAGTGGTTAACAGATTTGAAATCTGTTCTTCCTGGATCGTGCAGGTTCGAAACCCGCCGACAATGGTTTTTTCTGCAATCGCATCTTGGGCATGAGCTCATGAAAAGGTTTTCGAATGTCAACCATGAGACTCATGACCAAGTGGTCAACAGATTCGAAATCCGTTCCTCCTGGATGGTGCAGGTTCGAAACCTGCTCAAAAGAATTTTTCTCTGAAATCGCACCCCGTGCATGAGTTCATGGAGAGGTCTTCGAACGTCAACCGTAAGACTTATGGCCAAGATGTTAACAGATTTGAAATCTGTTACTCCCGGATTAGGGTACGGTTGAAAAATCGTCAAGACTTTTCAACAGCTGTTTATAAACAGACCGCCTCGGACCATTTATCAACAGGTGTTTCAAACAGTTTTCAGCAAATCGTTATTAACTAGTTGAAAACTATTTATCAACAGCGTGAATAATTGTTAAAAATTAGAAATTCCAATCGGTTGCCCCCCCGTTCGACACAGGAACAGTGTCCTGGGTCACTCGAACATTCTGGGAGCCGACGACGGGTACCGTGGAGATCAAATCACGCAATAAAGGAGAGCCAAGGTGAATATCTTCGTCCACCTGCAAAAAATCATCCTCTGGTACCTCATTATCTTTGCGACAGTCTATGAGGTCATCCTCGACATCATCCAGCAAGTCCTCCGAGTCGTCGCTGTCGTGTCCAGTGTCTGGATCGGGTGTTGCGTTGTCGGTGGCTGGCTTGACTCCAGTGGCAATAGCGTGAAGGAGGTCTCTGTCGATATCGCGGAACTTGACTGTTGGGCGGTAGGGTTCCTTGCGTGGTCTCGACTTTTCAGCCTATAGTAAACAGTGTTATGTAAATTTCTGGTGCGGCGTGTACTAATTGTTGCGCACCTTTGTACCATACCACTGTCCGATCTGAATCATATCAACGAGTGTTTGAGCATTTTGGTTGCCACATATTGCTGAGTTGAGCCACGTCAGCCTCGATCCTGTCCGCTCGTCAGGCATGGAGTTGATCAGTACTGAGAAAATTTTGACAGCGAGAGCCTACGTCACAGCGAGCAAGTTAGCATGACAGCGAGAATAAAAAATGACAACGGCAAGGTTGAAGGCAGTTGGCAGATTTTGTAGCAGTGTCCGCAAATATTCGAGCACACCCCGAAACTCAGTAGGTGTGAGAGATTCAGGTGCAGGGAATAACATAGCGCGTCAAAAATAAGCTTGGCGGTGGGAGGGGGGTCCGGTTGCATTTTTCCGAGCCTCAAAAGTTCATTCAAAATGTTCACACACACCTGGATTTATTCACAATTTTCAACAGGCCTCAGGACGTGACCACTTTTCAACAGTGTTATTAACAGTTATTAACAGTAATATTCAACAGCTGTTGAAAAAAAGTGACTTTTCAACCGTACCCTATCCCGGATAGTGCAGGTTCGAAGCCTGCCGACAATATTTTTTCTCTTTGATCTGAATGCTACATATCATAGTACAATGGCAATCATTTATTGGGTGCAACATCGAATTGCATGTGTCTTTAAACACCTAGTTTGGTAAGGAAAGAAAGCCTAGTGGGAGCTGGAAGCAGACGAACTTGTTTGTCCAATGCATGAGAGGGGCAGAATATGTTGCCAGGACGTCCAACGGAGAAGGGGATCTGTTACTAGTAGCTGCACAGCTGGTATGTCCGGTCTACAACGTTGCTGGGGTGGCTCCGTCGATCACATTGGATGTCTCTGCTGGTGGCGAGGAGGACGTAGTAGCTGCGCCAACTTACGCCTTTTTCCACTGTGGGCACTGGCAGTGTGCTACGAGATAATATCAGAATCACAATAGGTTTGGCCTTGGGTTCCCTTGCAGTCTGTGCCTGTTCCAGTGGTGGTAGCTGTGCAGTTGTCACCGTCCAGGTGAATCAAACTGTCAAAGGATGGTGAGGCATGTACCGACACTACTGTACCGTATGCAACTCTCGCGGAAGAACGAATCCTGGTTATCGCCTTCGACGTTTGGCAATGTCGATTCCTGCCATTCGTAGTATTATCACATACATGGGAATTTATCTCATTTGGGCGACGCTGCGGTGTTAACATGTTAACCTTGAACGCAGATCTCAGATCCAGCAATTTTCACACGATTCGAAAGTTTAATCATAGTACAAGTTAACTCTGACTGCCACTATTAAAATAATTGTCGTTATAAACAGCGTCGTCGTTGACACTGGGGACAATGCGGAGTTTGCGTTAAATTTATAATGAACTTGACAAGGAAGCCTTCAACCTCGCTTCAAACAGTAAGAATCATTCTCCACGAGTTCGCTGTGGTTGAAAGTTGAACAGTAAATCATAGATACAGTACCTCCGGTAAGACCCCGAACATCCCGACACTACATACGGTCCAGCACGTGCTGCTGTTTAGTCGCTCGACACGAATGAGAGGTGAAAGGTATAAGCCGAAGTTTATATGCCCGGGTGCTGGTACCCAGCCGACCCGCACCCACCGTACCCGACCCACGCGGGTTCTACCAAGGCATCCGGGCACCCTCTACCCATGTCGGGCGCTAACTTCAAGCAGACTTTGCCGCGTAGGCTGAAATATTTCCCGCGAACGAATACTGACGAGTGACAACTAGCAGATCACCGAGTGTACCGTGTGGTACGCTCAATTGTAGGGTGGTCCGTCATACTCGCAATTCTCAATGCGAACTTGTTTTAATTTTTATTCTAATTTATGTCCATCGGGGATGAAACCCTATACTGTCTAATCAATGGGACCCTTCTGACCTCGAATGCCCTGATGTGAGGCTTATCCCCACTAGTCCGCTGCTCCCGCCGGCCGTTTCAGACGCGCTTCTCGATCGAAGATGAGGTGATTTTAAGGATCTGTGAGGGAGTGGTTCGTTGACTTACAGTGATAGGACGTGTTTCTTGTCCGCTTCCGCGGAGTGTTACAGGAATCTAATGAAACACTTAGTATTGGGAAGAATTTGTTGGTGAGTTGACGTGTCTGTTCTTCCACTCTGCTTGTATCCTCGTGGTGGTCGAGATTCCGTGTAGGCGAGATATTGGGGTTAGATCGTAGCGTGGTCATGTGAGGGTTATATCTGATATCTTGATGTATAAATATTAATATGTTTATGTCGTTATGTCGATGGCGGCGTCTATGCTGATGCGAGTCAGTTCTTTCATTTCTAGATAATAGTACCTCACCAAATGTGGTCTTGAAGCGAGGTGTGGTGTTAACCTAGATGAGGGACAGCTTTGGAGTCGGTGATGAGGTGGGGTATGAATGAGGCTTCGCGTCCCAATGCGCAATGGAGGGGGGTGTCTCTCTCAGATAGTGCAGACATTCTACAATCAAGTGGTGGACCAATTCTTCGACGTCTTGGCAACGTGTATCCAGTGGGAGAGTTCGGATTTATTGATTCGAGTGAGGGGAACGTGTTGGGAGCGGAGACTCATAACCCTGAGCAGTCCTGTGACTCGTGTGGGGTAGGATGCGGTTAGCTTGACGGACGAGCGGTTCATGTCATCTATCAACTAATGCGAATTTCATTCATGGAAGCCCCAGGTGCATGGACTTGCCTGACCTCCTTGGCTTTACTTAGATGCATGATCAATGTTTATACACATCTTACGAATCTCTTGCGTTCGGATGTCTCGGGTGAGAGATTGCAATGATGTTTGGTATGTGTTCTAGCCTTGTTTGACTGTGCCAAGTATATGCTGGATATCACATTGGCACCTGGGGTGAGCAGTAGTCTCCAGTAGTCAAACCTTATGTAAATGAAAGAATGCAGTCGCTCCTTCTGTTTCAAGGGTAGTATTCGTGTAGATCTGACTCACTGACGCTCAGAACTTGGGACCATAAACAGGGAAACAACGTTGGGTGTCAGATGGTATCGTGACGGCCGTGGGTTCTTGGTCCCACTTCCACTCTTTGGGCGGCTACATTCCCCTTGGTCGACGGACTCGGAGCGCGCAGTCTTTTGATCTCAGTGATAGCACCACGGCCCAGTAATCCCTAAAAATTACGCTCTCCCCAAGTGAGATTGGAGATAGAGACACGATTATTTGCATACTCACCTAGGTTCTAAGCCCCCAACGTTACCGCTTCCAAATTTAGGACTAAGTTCGATACATTGGCGGCCCGGGCAACATCTGATCCGGTTATTGTCTCCGAAGAGATCGTAACATCATTAATACTGTCGGCAATCGGGGCATCGGGCACAGAGTCCCCGGTCTAACGAGACTCTGCACGTATTGATCAACGTACAACCCGGTCGTATGATGTAGTCCCGCGTGCCGGGACGGCCCTACACAGAATACAAGGACTCTCATTCATCGATAACATCCTAGAGTATAAGTACAGGGTACATGCAACCCATTACAGCCATTCCCTCGCCAACCTTCTCTCTGCAAGTTTCACAATGACAATCATGAACAACCTGTCCACATCCATCTTCGACGGCGAAGTACGTGCTTGTATTTTGATACGCTTCCACATCCCGATTTTAATGTCGAATATAGGTTCTGGAAAACATCCGCCAGTCCATCGCCAAATTTTATCAGCGTTGCGGTTTGCAATATCACAATATCGCACTTGACGAAGCGTGGTACTCCGAATGCTGTCAGGAGGCCATAAACCGCGGCTATCCGATGGATGCCATCCTCCCATACATGGCCGTTGGTGTGGCCATAATGTCCAACGCTTACGACCACCTCCCGGATCGCGCAACTAAGATATGGATCTGCCTCTTCACCGTCGTAGCTACCTGCATCGATGACATGATGATCAGGGCAGAAGATCTGGAGTATGTGTACCGTTTCAACGAGCGATTCACGAATTGCCAGCCGCAGGAGCACCCAGTTCTGAATACGCTTGATGGGCTCCTGCGGGAGGTCCCTTGTCATTATTCTGCGCCGGTGTCAAATTTAATTGTCACGTCCGCGCTCAACTTTATGTCTTCAATTTTACTTGACAATGAGACTCAAGATATGCTGGTATGGTATTTCTCCGATAAAGGCAGCTTCAATCTTTAACCCTTTGTGTGAACAGATCTCGCCGAAGACTCCCTCGTACCCCGAGTATTCTAGGCTGCTATCAGGCTTGTCAGATACGTACGGCCTCTGCATTTTCCCTTCCACACTCCCGCTTCGGGAATACGTTCAATGTATGCCGGATCTAGCCATAGTCATAAATCACACAAAGTAAGTACATCGATGATTTTGTGTTAACCTTTCTAACCTGCCATGATTCAGTGATATATTGTCATACTACAAAGAGGAGATCGAAGGCGACTCCGCAAACTACCTGTCGCTCATAGCAGCCTCTCGTGCTCTCAGCAAACAGGACGCTCTCCGTGAGCTCATCGATAAAACTGTGCAAGCATATCACAATGTCCTCGAATTCCTGAGGCCTCGTCCTGAGGCATATGACGCCTATGTTGCGTTTTTCGATGGGTATGTCAAATTCCATGCTACCTTAAGAAGGTACAAGCTAGAGGAGGTCATGTGCGAGAGGTCGTCTTCTTAATGGGTACATTTCTTATGGTACTTCTCAACTTTCTGGGTGTCTACCACATCTTGAAGTAGCTACCAGTTTCGAGAAGTTTTACGAGAACAATGGGCATTTTTTCTAGAATACTTATTTCTGTGGTAATTCTGTATGTAAAGCTTGCAAAGGACTGCAGCTCAAATTACTTACAGTATAAAAACTAATGTTCGGTGAGAATGCTCAGAATTAAATCGTGCTATACTTCTCGCGTGAAAAGCGCAGCCCCACCCACATGGCACAGATACAATATCAAGGATTCATAAATTCCCTGATGCTGTTTTTGGCCGTCGATCTGCGTGTAAGACACAAAATGTCGATTAGAGTGCGCAATTAGTTGTAGATACACTTGTACAATCGAGAGACAGATGGAGCCTTCTGTGACCACTGTCTCATGATCCGAAATTTTGATGTACATATCTGAATCGATATCTTTCTAGACTAATAAAACCTTTCTGAGGTTTCTTCCTGCAGGCTGCATTACATGTTGCTTGTACATGTTTTCATTTTTGGCGGACTTTGAAGCATTCCGGCACCACGGCACTTGAGTATACATTGTGCAACCAGCTCGGGTTGCGGCAAGCATCCCGCACACACAACGCGCGACTCCGAGACCTCCACTTCTTTCTCCAGTTCACGGTTCGCAATAATGCGCCACTTTTCCGTGTGCTATCTTGCATATCTACTTTTTGCAAGCCTACCATGCGTTTTCGGTAAAGCGGACACGACAGTAAACAACAAAACGATTGACCGAGTGAGTTGCAACATTTGTGACGTGTGAGCAGGAACAACCTTGTTTCGTGCTTGCTTCACTTCTCCATCAGTGGGCAAAGCCAGAATATCTCATTGTTTTCATCCACCCAAGACCATACAGCTTCGCACACATTCAATATTTCCTCCATACATTGATCAAGACCTACAAAATCGGTGAGACAAAGATATTTTGCCCAAAATGCAGTCTTACACCTACGTAACTTTTAGTTGGTGGGATTTCGGTGCAGATGCATATATTGTGAGCCCAGTCAGTTTTCTAAAGCGACCTCTCATATTCTAATGTTGCATAGAACACCAACAAACATATTCGTCTCACGCGCGCTCGCCCATCTCAAATGGTGCGCTAGACACGTTACCAGAGTCTCTCTTTAATTCACATTTTACATTAGGGATGGCTCTGGTCACGCATGCCACTGACTGCTTCCAATTTCATTATTGAGGTAGAATTTAAAGTAAGCGGCAATATTTTGGTTGTTAGCGTGTCCAAACGTGTTGTTAGGTCACCGGTGAATCAACGCACTTGTACGGAGACGGAATGGCTATCTGGCTCACAAAGGACCGAGCCTGAACCAGGCCCTGTCTTCGGCAGTAAAGGTTAGTTCTAGTCTTCCTGTGGTCACCTTGATTCAACACTGTTTCCCTCCCAGATAACTTCGAAGGGCTCGGTATCCTTATGGACACGTGGGTCACCGAACCATTATCTTCAATGTTACCCTTCTCACCTATGATGCAGTTATGCAAACTCCCGGCATCCCTATGGCTTTCCCCGCGTCATGGCAATGTTGGGGGATGGCCAGACGCCCTACGACCAAGCGCATGATGGTGAGGCCAACAGCCTAGGCTCGTGTTCAGCCAATTTCCGTCGTACAAACGTGATCACGAAGCTCAAGATCACTTACCTGAAGGATACTTATCTTGATGTGCGTCTGAATGCTCGCACTACCATAACTCTCTTTCTCACGCAATTGTAAGATAGGTCAAAGTCCACTATCGAGCTTGTGCGCATAAATCTTTTGATCGGAGAATTAACACTGACAACACTCAGGGGATAGCTGGTCTGACTGTTTCCGCATCAATGGCATAAGTCTTCCCTCCGCTCCATACATCGGCATCTCCGCAATGACAGGCGAAGTATTCGATTCGCATGAGTGCGTATTGCATTCTCAACAAGTGCCTCCCGCTAACATACTCCTTAGTGTCATTTCCGTGACGACGTGGTCAGCAGTTCTATCAGCCTCTGATGCGCAGCGCAACAAATTTGGCGGCGGCAGCGGGAAGGGTACGTTCTCGCGCAAGTCTGGAGCCGAGTCACGAGGTGGCTCATGGCTCGGCTTCATCTTCAAATTGCTGCTCTTCGTGGCCATCTGTGTGGGTGGTACGTATGGGTATAAAACCTACGCGCTTAATAAGAGGAGGGGTTATGGCGGTTCTGCATTTGGGGGCTTGGGTTATGAGAGCCGAAGGCGGTTCTAAGAGATTATGTGGAGCTCGTGTACATTCTGACTTCATTCAATGAAATCACCGAAAAACGGGTTTGCAGGTCTTGGGGACCAAATTTTGATCCCATCAGGATTGTATCGTATTGATGTCAGTTGAACTCAGTGTTGTACGGGATATGTATCTACTACATACTACTATCTACTAAAATGTAATGCCAATGACAGAGAAGAAGAGCTAAGTACTACTACTACTACGACTACTACTACGACTAATGCTACGTAAAAGATATACAAGAGGCAGACTGAGCGAGAGGACGTAGGTATTTGTGTAACTACAGAGACGCACACGCAAATTGGTGATGAAAGAAATACTACTGCTACTAGAAGATCCCAGAACAACAGAGATAGGACACATGGAACAAAAGGATGCCGAAATACAATGAGATGTCGGGTCATTTTGGTGATACATAGGTCACAATATATGGTAAACTATACACCATATCGCGTAGCGAGGCGCTCCTGGATTACAGGAGGGAAGCTCGAAACCTGTGCGGCCCAACCTGCCTCATCGTGGTGCTTGAAACCAGACAACAGTTGTTGGAACATCGAATTCAGCTCTGCCGAGGGTTGATGCCACCTGATGATGGCATTGCAGAACCAGAGAAGACTCTGCGTTTTGTTTAAATAAAAATTAGTATTATTGCACACTCAAAGAGTAGGAATCTCAACAAACCTTAGCAATGCCCGCTGGGTTGGTCTGCACAAGAGTACATAGACCGCGGAACGCAGAGTCTTTTTCTTCATTATCACGAATCTCATACAATGCTAAGCACCATGCTTGTGCAAACTCGGGCAAATGGGGAGCGACAACATTGGGATGCATCAGCCCAATCCTCCCAATGGACACAGCAGCGTTCTCGTGAAGGCTACGTGGAGCCTTCGGGTGCAGCAAGATAGGAATGAGACGTGCGATGAGAGGGTTAACCCATTGCTGGAACTCCGGGTCGTCTAAAAAACGGCATGTTTGATGACTCGATATTGAGAATAGGCAAGTCTACTCACCACGCCCATAGCGCAACGCTACTTCCCCGACAGACCAAGCTGCGTTATTGCATGCACTGATGAACTCAACCTTGGGCTCAGGGTCAAGCTGTTCGATGAGCTCCGCCATGATGGCAGGCAGATGAGGACGTAGGAGCTGGAAGCATCCCATCGCAAGGTCTCCAACAAGAGCATAAGCACTCTGACGAACAGGTGCCTGTGGGTGCTTGAGACACACCGTCAGTAGCTGAAGAAGGTTCGGACTTGTCTGCCCAATGAGAGACTCTAGATGCATGCCCATGCCCTGGGCAAGGCCCGATAGGAGGTCCAGTGACACCACAAGGAAGGATTTGTCAGGCTCGTCGAGATCGGGGTTCTGCTGGTATGCCTGATACTGGAGCAGAGACTGGTGGATAATGTTCACACAGCGCTGGAAGACGGGTAGTGCGTAAGGGGAAAATGCCGGTCCCATGGCAATTGTAACGGACGCAATGCACTGGGGACACCAAAGCATGAGAACTCAAAGTACGAACAAATCGATCAGGATCATACCTCAAGAAGCGGAATCAAATCATCGTCATCGTCCGACAATTTGGCCCATCGAGACGTCAGAGGGGGCATCAAGATTTCCACATATGCGGGATTCTGCAATGCCCTGCCGACAGGCATCCGCCAATGTGCCGACAGCATCATACAGTATGAGCGTATTCTTGTGCTGATATTTATCGAACGCAAACACCAGATTCCGGAGGACAGGTTCCAAATAGGGTACAAGCTCGGGTCCGGCATCTTCCTCTAACGTTGCGAACGCGCTACATCCTGCTTCTTGTACACGTTTGTTGTCGTCCAGGACCATCCGCAAGAGCTGGAGTCTTCTAAGTCGTCACAATCACATGTGAAGTAAAAAATACGCACGCCTTCCATTGTCGGGACAAAGTACGAGTTCTTATGTTGCTCCGATATAGGTTGTGTACACCAGCTTGCATACCGACCCAATGTCCAGCAGGCGATTGATCGAACAAGGGGCTATACACTTATTCGTCAATCGTCCCATACAGTAAGGGGGAAACAGCATACCTTAGGGTCATTAAGTGTGTTGATTAGATATGGGACGAGGGTTGTCAAATGAGGCTCGATCGCGTCAATGCAGCCTTGGGGAATAAAATTAAAATGCGATCATCGGATAAGAATCACCAGCACCTTCTGCCATTGCGCCTAATGCCAATATCCCACTTTCCCTCTCTAACCACTCAGCACTCCAGAGTTTATTCTTCAAGGGACCAAGAAGAACGTTCAGTAACTCGGGACCAAACCTCACAGCCAGCACATCCAGCGCAGCAGCAGCGCATTTCCTCAAGTTCCACTCCGTAGACATCTCATCAGCAAAATCATCGTCATCAAGGTCGTAGTCATCCTCATCCTCATCGTCCAATGTCTCCTCCCCGTATGCCCCTCGCTTCCGCTCCTGTCCATTAGCTTCTGTCTGTTCCCGATCCAGACCATGTGTTTTACCCCCGTAATGCCGTGGCTTAATGTCGGTATCCTTGTCAGGGACGTTGGTATCTTCTGTGTCGCCATCAAGCCAGAGAAGATCATCCTCTCCGTAAATCATGCAATCGAGCAATACTGGAGCAACTCGTCCTAGGAGAGGATGGAGGAATGCTGCGAGGTCAGGATCCTCGGCGAAAGTGAGCCAGAACTCGCAGGCTTCGAGGGCCACGCTTTCATTCTTATCTTTGGTTGAGTATAACATGTACTCCGCGACATTCGACATTTCCGGCATCAACTTCTCGGGGCGGGCTGCAAGAAGCAATACAAGAGCCTGGCAGACGTGCCTTCGAACAGATGGATCCTCGTCAGATGCGCGCTTGAACAGGCAGGCGATGAACGCATCGATATGGACAAAAAGGGATTGAGAATTGATCGGCACGAAATATGAAAGACAGGCAACGGCATGTGACCGCATTTTCGGCATTGGGTGCTCCGATAGCACGAGGAACTTGGGGATCATGTAATCCAGAGGACGCGTTCCATTAATCTCAACATCCATTTTGCGAGGGAAGTCCTCGCAAGCTTTCTCGAAAACGCTGAAAGCAGCCTGCGTGGTAATTTTCAGCATTCACAATCGAATAGTGACACAGATAATCATGGGATATAAACGTCGCGTGCTTTTGGACTGTTCGGGCTCAGCATAAAGTCACGTTCAATTAAATGCGACATTCGATAGAGGAGAGCTGCCGAAGAGCCAGAGCTGCACTCGCATAGGCTTTGCCCGATCATCAAGCGCCTCGAAATTCATGGGGAGACACTTGCCCCGACATGATCCCATGTTCCAACCTCGGAATATCATCACGCGGACACTCACCTCCTGGAGAGCTGGATCAGGCGAATCTAGCATATTCACCAACTGCTGCAAGCAATCTGGCCAATTTCTAGGCTCAAGAGCACCAAGGAATGCAACAATATCATGACCGGCAGCATTCCTTATCAAAGGAGGAGAGCTGACGAAGGCTTGAAGAACAGCCGACTTTGCATATTCGGCCACCTCCGGAGATACGTTAAGGAGCAGACGCGCGTTGTTCTTCAATAGATACCCAGCTATCGTGCGGATTTGGTCTTCCTCTTGGGGGAGAGCGGTTAAGATGTATGCCAGATATGCAATATAATCTGGTACACGTGTAAAGGTGTTCAATTTCTATTTAAGCGAACGTTAACGCGCTGCAGATCATCGCAAGGAAAATCCACACATGAGTGATTGCTCGCTGTACATTGCCTTGCGTATCAGTTGAGTCGCGTATAGTCTGCAAGATTTCCTGTAGACCTGCAGGCTGCGGCGTCCAAGTAGACATCGTTAAAGGCCGTCAACGCGCGTGAAGTGTAGATTTAGGGGAACGCGCCGCAAGAAAGAAAGGGCTCAGTCGGAACTCTTAACCAGTGGCAGGAACCCTTTCTGCTTCACCCAAATTACTTTGTGTGGCTCTATTTGACCTCGTGAGAACTGATAGGCGTAGTACACAAAAAACGTCACGCTTGTCACTTGAAACCAGTATAATACGTAAATACTCCTGAGAGAGCGCCCTGGGTTTCGGTTCGCAGGAAACTTCTAGACCTCGATTGGAGGCTGGTTTTACTAGGGTTGAAACTTCCTTGATCATCGGCTTAATTCATGCGATGACGATCAACCTGATTAACAGTGCCGTCGGACATAGACTCATCCCTTCTGAAGGACACGTATGCCAGAAGCCTTGACATCAGGTCTCAATCAAGCTTCAGACCCTAGCCGCAACCCAGCACTCACACACGGTCACAGTACTCCAACACTTGCGACACTGCAGTACCACTGAGTGTGGTAGGGCAGCAGTCGCCCACACCTTGGATCGAAAGTGTCTTGCAACCAATCGTATGTATTAGTGCTATAAAGATGGATTTATACTAAAAGTGCCACGTGAAGTGTTTATGATTGGAAGAAGCAGTAGCGCAAACTTAGTACTTATCAGTCCTCTCGGGCGCTATGGTACTAAGCTTCAAAGCTTCAAGCTTCAAGATCAGTCACACCGAAGCAATTAATTACCGGCCAATGAAATATTCCCTAATACTCCCAAGGCCGCTGGAAATCCCCGCACAAATTATGAGGTCAACACATGCTGTACCGCATGACAGCGATCAAGCTGCTTATTGCCGTCCTTTTGGCTAGCTGATCGGTGGAGCGTTTCAAGACAAACTGTATTCGTGCGCAACCGCAACTTGATGGTGCATCTTGCAGTCTAGTACGAACGGGTCTCGCGAAGCCACTGTTCCGAATTCCGTGCACGATTCAGTGCCTCCACTTGTGAGCACGGAAGCGAAGTGGGTAGTATTTAGTCTGAGTACATGGAGAATGCACATACCAAAGAAATACCAAATGGTACTGAATGGCGATCATCACTTGATCATTGCGAGGATTTATTTCCGAGTTCTCGAGATATAATCCTCCGTAGTAAGACCCATGGAAGCAAGACAGTGTACGTAGTATTGTTCATATTTCGGTATCCAATGCATATTACAGAAATTTTCTTTAGCCCAGATTCATCTACAATACGAGTGGCCCGTCACGTAGCTCATATTCTATGGAAGAGCTAGCCAGTTCTCGAGCAACATAGTAAAGTTGGGAGTACCAAGACCGGTAACTGGATCCCATCCAATGGTTGCGTTGTAACCTTCAGTACCACAGCCCGGGTTTGACCCTTCAGTAATATCATTAAAAGCACCCGCGAAACCAGCAGAGTAGATCTAACATCATAAATGATCAACTGAGATAGACAGGGCAAAGGGCAGGAACATACCGTAGGGTTAATGAACCCAATCGTGCTCTTTCCTGCAGCAAGACGGGCATCGTTGATCATCGTAAAGATGGCACCACTGACTGGTGAAGAACAGGAAGTTCCGTACACAAGCTCAAATTCACCATCGACAGCGACAACGTAGTTCTGGCAGGAAATAATAAACGTCAAACCCCGCATATCCATGCAATCTGTGACAGGCACTCACAGCTCCGTTGGCAGAAATGTCAGGCAAAGCACGAGACTGATGATTGGCTTTATTCGATTGAACATATCACAGTCACTCTGAGACTCACCATGCCAGTCGAGTTCCAGATATCTGAGGGGTAGTTGGGAGGATAATTCTCCAGATAGTAATCGACAGCGGTCATCTGGTATGACGGCATCGCGAAGTAGTTACTGAAACCTCCACCAGAATAGATAACATCCATGCAAGCCATTTCGGGCTGAACCTGGTAGACGGTTGCATTTGGCTTGACCATGGTAGCGCCGACAGATGTGACGTAGGGGCAGGTACCAGGGAAAGTGGGATTGAAGATCATACCGGTTGTGGTCTGACTGCCTGTTGTCGGGTGAGACGATAGAAGTGAAAATTCAACTCAAGGCATACCATCAGGGTTCAAACAAACGTCATCATTACCAGCAACACCATAATCTCCAGAGCTGTACAGGATGGTAACACCCATCAAGCCAAGCTTCGCATACTCCGCGCACTGGCGCGCAGTATAGAACGGAGTGAGATCAGCTTCATTGTACCCGTATGACGTTGATATAACATAGGCAGGCGTGACAGTACCACAGTCCTCGGGCCCTATCACAGAATCCAAGTTTATTATATTTACAATCCAGCATAAACGGCAACTTACCCTCATAACCCCCTCCGTATGGATCAGGATATTGGGAATCTACAGTGTAATTGTCACCGCCCTCGAACGTGCAGTATGACCCATCAATGGCGTCGAGGAAGTTGTTGAAAGAAGCCCCTGTCAATGAGATCAGCGATATGTTTACGGCGTTTTCTCCTGTTCTCATCCTACCTTCGACCATGTCACCAGTCTGGTAAAGAGTAACATTTTGGCTACCAGTGACCAGTGACATTCCATATTGGAGATCGAGGTCGGACTCGCCGTTGTAATCGAAACCTTGGTACTCGGTCTGTGCATACCCTGTAACACGCCTTCATGGTTTGATCAAAGAAGAACGCTTAAGGTAGTCACCTCCATCGATAGAAACCATGACTGGCTCCTTTCCGATGAGATCAGTGGAGAAGTTCATGGCAAACATTTGCAGGTCGGTTTGCAAGTACGCCTGAGGAGTGTATTCCACTGGGTGATGGATTAGCTCACAAGGTGACCAATGGAATAGAAACCATACCGACGCCGAAGCTGTTCTTATCAGTAGCGACAGGCTCATATTCAAGATCATATAGAGCCCTCAAGCAGACAGGAGTGATGTACTCGTCACACTGCTCAAGCTCGGTCACTGTCTGTGAGACGGAGCCAGTAGTCTTCGGGGTGATTCCTGCGCCAGGCTGACCAATCCCGCCAACGGGTTTCGGCTGACTACCAGATCGACGCTTGAGTTTCACGTCGAAGTTGACAGAGGGTAGGACAAAGTCGACATGGGGACTAATGTGCTCAGGGAGACGATAAGCTTCGCAAGCTAAAAAGTGGTGTATGAGTGCCGTAACAGTATCCTCCACAGAGATACTGACCAACGTGCTCCTGTCCGGAAACATGAGTGTAAACATTATACTCGGTGTTCATGAGCCGTTCCGCTTCTTCGACCGTAACATCGACGTTGATCCAACCCTTGGTGGGACTTACGCGGATGCGCTCGCTCGCTAACCCATTCTCAACAAGCCAGTCTCTGACGGTGGAAATGGATTCCTCTGAGGGTGAGAATTTTCGGGAAATCTCTCCTGCAGTCCAGTGCTTGCCGTAGTTAGCTGACTCCGGGTGGGAAACATCGTAAAGATATTCATCGATGGACTCGATGTTACTCTGTTTCAGAGCAATGCGCAGAGGAAGGGTTGCTGCACTCTCGTGCCTTCGAGTGTGAGACCATCCAATAGGAATAGCGTTGCGTTTCTCATGCACATTATATGGGCTGACGGTAGGCGCCGCCAAGGAGACTACTGCGAGGCCGAGGGTGAAAAATGTGGTCAATGAACAGCGCATGTCGACCGAGACGACCAGAAGCTGACAACAAAATCAATCACCAGCCATATCTTTTATAACTTTCTCGACCACAGCAGCAGCATGGTTTTGTGCCAGGATTAGACTGTAAGCACGCGAAACAGAGTCTCCTCGATGAGACACCCTCTCAAGTGCTCCCACACTACGAGCTGTTTCCCCGAGAAACACATGGTTGGATGAGACACTCTTGGATTATACTGTCCACAATCGAGGAGAGGCACCAGACAGGGCTCTGCTTTTAGTTAAGTCCCTGATCCCATATTACAGATCACCCTATTTCGTGGACAAGGACGAGTTTATTGCGAAGCCTGTGATCGTTAATTGAATTACCAGCTGTTGAGTCAGCGAGTACCTTTCAATGATCTTCAAATCGCCCAAAGTTGCTTGGGAATGAAGCATGAGGTAGCCTGTACAGGCGAAACGAAGGTTCCCAGAAGTAGACCCGACATAAGTATAACTTCAAATTGAAAGTGTGCCGCCGCATCTGAACAGGCTGTTTTCAAACTTGATCGATTGGACCCGCCCTGCACAGCCACACAGACACTCTCAGGAGGCTGAGACTCGGAGCTCATCCAAGTTGTATCTGCTCATCTTGTATTCGTGGTTCTCATGCCGTAATCATGATTCGGACTAGAACACTCTACTAGACAAGTTACCTGTGGTCGTAGACGATGGAGCTGCAGATCATAACATGGGATTGATCCTATAGCAAGTCTTCGAGCTACCTCCAATCCTTTTGTCGATATCTACGCGGACGCTTTCGAAAGGCCGGTTCTCTTATTTATTTACCCCAGCCGGGAGTGCCCAATCCTAATGGCTGGGACGTTATTCTCAGTGCTAGCGGACACACGCCAGTAAGAGGCCTCGCGGGCCATGTGCTCCAAGCGCGAGATCTCGTATTCTTTGACACCCGTAGGTACTACTCTTCTTTTTGACAGGTGGAAAATAATGGGATTGCAATACCCCATGTTTCCTCCGAATCAGGCCGGTGACAAGACGCACAAAAGCTTTTTGACTTTCGATCCTGAAATAACATTATATCGCAACGTGCTCGCGCACCTCCGACAACTTCCGTTACGCCCAGTTGTCCCATGCTTGCCATCTTTTGATTCCCAACCTAGATTTCGCTTTGCATTTTTCACTTTGGTTGTTAGCTTTCGGACTGCAAGACGACGGAACTGCTCGGGTTGCTGCGGATTACTGTCTCTGAATAGGATAATGTTTCTTGGCTCACCGTCCTGTCATTCCCGTACTCGTCGACGACTTCCCACAATGCACTAGTAAACCTACACCAACTTTGGTTTAATCTGCCAGAATACGGATGGAAAAGATGTTGGCACGGGATAAGCACTGACCTCATGACATAAATGAGTTCGGATGCCTACCATATGATTGAGCAAGCCGTTACATGGAGATCAGAGGTTTCTATAGCGATGACAATTCACACCATGCATCAAATGCTCCCAGGTCTCGATCCAGTGACCCTCGAGTTATGCTTCGCCTTGAAAAGCTGTATGTAGAATCACATATTGCTTTGTCACTGTTCGTGCGATCAAGGAGTCAACATGATTCTCACCTTACTTCATAAACCAGTGGAGAAGTTGGAGCACAGATCGATGAATGTTGCCTCTGTCGCTGGAAAAGGTAGGGAGACTATACCTCCCAGTTGTCCCAATCGAGAATATTTCCGCCAGTTCAAGTGGTCAGCGATCATTGCGATGCCCTCCCAACTACCTTTAAGTCTGTGGGGAATCAGTTGATGGTATGCTCGTCGGCCGTCAAAGAGAGTAGCATACCTCGGTGACACTGCAGACGTATAATACAAGTTGTTTTTCTGCAATATTCCATCAGGAAACCATATGTAGAGTTTTGCAGGAGACAAACATCATATGCAAGTCCCTGCGATAGGTTACTTTCCCATGTAGACCATCGGGATGGATCTGATATTGGGAAAGTAATATCCGAGAGCTGATGGAGGCTTTGCAAGCACGATGCGTCGAACATAATTCTCATCGAGAAATTTTTTCAAATATTTATGTGACATCAACGTGAGAATGTAATCACTCACATTGCTGATGCCAAAATGATTCGGGTCTGCACCCGAAAGGAAGCCAAAGAAGCCTTGAGAAACTCGTCGCGGAAGGAGGTCAGAAAAGCATGCGAGTAGATGCATCGTACATCATTTACAGTCCCTGCAGTAGGAGACGATTCAGCAGATGGCCGATATAAAATAGGACCTACCTGGAGGTTATCACAGTTCTCGACGAGCAGACGAATGACGCTCGCAGGACCGGCCCCGAAAGAAATACGGAATATGCGGAGTAGATTTTTCCACAGATTGGGAAGAGCTCTGGGGATTGACGACGAGGCAGAGCAGGTTGACAGGACCCGAATCGTTCAAGATAAGCCTGATCTGAATTGGGCCTTCAGTCGCATAATCCTGCGAATGAAAAAAGACCCACCTCGCTGACACGCAAATGAAGCCAAACGTCGTACTACATTTCGCTGGCCGTCCCTCGTTGATGCCGATCTACCAGGTCTGGCGGCAGCTCGTTCTGAGCCTAAATTGGTACCACACGCGTGATCGAGATGATCAAAGTTTGAGTTAAATAACATTGCACAGCGATGTATCCACATAGAACCTAACTATCTGATGATCTGGACAAAGGAATGTAAAGTTCTCATACACTGAAACAGTAGGGTAGCAACTGAAGAAGGGTAAAGTAACAGTAAGCATTACAATAAATCGCGAGCGAGCGCACACATAGACTCACAAGTGTTTGCAACCAGTGCACCCTCGACAGATGGCACTAACCACAAGAGTAAAGGGGCGCGCGTTGAAGTAAAGGGGCGTGTTTGAGGAGAAAGCCGAAGGGGGCTGGGAAATGGGAACGGTTTTGCACACGAACTGACGCATGAGAATACGTTTGTGTTCGACAAAGCCCTCCCCCACTAACGCAGGAGTCAAGGACTTACCATTTCCCCAGTGTTTCTTTGGCAATGGAGGTTTCATGCGCACCCGAAGCATGATCCGGACTGCCGGGCAATTACCTGTCGATTTTGCGTGATTCCAACTTAGCTGAGAGTTGTCAATTACAGGTTTCCTGACCATTATATTCAAGTTCAGCGGGTGTCATGCCTTGTTGGAAACGCTTGTGAAGAAAATTTTAGACCGCAGACTTTGCATGGCGAGGTTAACATCGTATGCCAGGTAATGTACTTGTGTGGATAAAGTTGAAACCTTCTCACCCAGTAACGTGGTCAGGTCGCCGAATCTGAAGCTTGATGTTAAAAATACCGAGACATTTGCTTCAACGCTGCACGTGCAGTGTGCACTGGTCTCGTCAACTTTGTTATTAATATCCGGCTAGTATCCTCTGAAAAGTATCATATGCAATACACAGGCCTGGAGTTGGGTCGGTCCTTCTAGTCCTGACTCCTAGTTATCATCCCAGCTTGAAATATCGACAACTGCCAGTTCCATCGAGCGCGTTATCCAATCCCTACTACTTCAACTCACCCTTTGGCATTGAACTCGGGGCACGATGTTGGGCCAGCAGTCTCGCGACAGTTTGCGCCTTCTGGCCAGGATACCACCAATGCCATCTTTTAACTCGCTGAAGTTACCGCGCGGCCAATCGACGACGTTGGTGCTGTCGGCCTCCAAATATATATTCTTCGTCTTGCTATTGATTAATTTTCGGTCTCTACCGTTTGCCTGGCACAGTGAGTACACATTCATTTTTACCAGCGATGTCCACCAAACGCAATGGCTTCCTTGAGTTCGCGTGTTCCTACCAGTCCTGCGACTCCGTCTCCAGTACTACCTCCTACGACTTCGCATCCTGTTCAGGCCCAAAGAGGTTAGGGCAAAGATCCTTGCAGACTGGGGCGAAGGTTTATGTCCAATTGGCGCAAACCCCTTCGAGCTCGTGACCTGTTCAACATGGCTGGACGAGTATGTTTTAATCCAAGTCTCATGATATATAAACTCACCTGACTTAGGTGTGGACGACGCCGATTACAATGGACACCTCAGCAATTCCAGTTATGCGAAGGTAGGAGTTCGGTATACTCGGCCATCCAAATTACGCAATAATGACGACCTTCTTTGTTCAGGCTCTCGATGCAGCCCGCCTGAAACTGGTTCTGAAAGCCCTCCCTGCGTTCGCAAGGAGTGGTGGGTGGATGGCTCTGGGGTGTGCGTCAACTTCATTTTACATATTTCTTAATCAATATTCATTCCGCATGTAGCTACTCACTTTCATTTCATTCGAGAAATACCGTTCCTGAGGAGCTACGAGATAAGGCTCTCCATCGGGGCATGGGACCATAAATGGGTGAGCTCTTAGTGCTTATAATATACCTACAGTAAACCATCTAATATGGACAAGATGTTCCTTATTGCTCGCTACGTCTCTTTCCCAAAGAACAGACATAGTGATACCACCTATAAACTACATGTAGACGGATCAGGTCAGCAACTGGGGACTAAAAACGATAGTGCCAGACTATCAAAGATACCGACAACATCAAATGACTTTCCTCGGATTTTGCTAAGCACGCCTGCGGAAGATTTGACTACCCCTGCGACCCCCAGCAACGTGACTGAGGTGGACTCCAACCTTCAAGCCGAAAAGACAGCAAAGGCAATGGAAGGCCTGGCTGCTGCACAGTCAAGAATGCTCGAGTCCGACGGTGCCGTACTTCACTGTGTGGCGATCTCATATATTTGCTTCAAGCATGGCCGCATTACAGTGCCTCCTGGCGTTATTCTCCCATGTGAAGGTTTCTCGAAACCTCCCAGTACTGCTGCTGCCGCACCATTCTCGTCGACGAACCCTCCCCCTCACTGGAAGAAGGCCCAAGCATTGCGCGTTGCTCCATCAGGCAGCATGCCCACATTTGCAAAATTTCTGAAAGGAGACTGGCGCGATGTGCCTGAAGACGAGAGGTGGTGGGAGGAGGCGTTGGATGGGCCAATAGAAGAGCAGCGAAAGGCTAATCTCGAAGTCCTTGATTCCATCAGGAAAGGGATGGAAGGAGCGAGGTTCATTGGATAGTTGCTGAATTTTTTTTCCATATCATCGAAAGCTAGCTTTCGCTAAAACAACGTAATTCATGCAGGCTCGTCTCGTTTCAACCCTGTTGTTGGGCGAGGCTATAAGATCACCCCAAGGCTTTCTGTCTCATTAAAGGCAACCTCACCTACACGCGGATTATTGCCGCCGAGTGTGGCACGAGCCCCCTTCCAATTTATTGTTGGCCCAGAGTGGTAGATTTTGAAGATGCGCGCTCACTTCCGCTTGTGATCTAAATCGCTTCCAAGTTGGCGCAGCAACAACAACATATTGCTAGCTCGACGCTCGACCCGCGGCGTTGACGTCGTATCATTCTCATTCCAGCCAGAACCGGCACTGATTGACACCGAGTAGCCCTGCTATAGCACTTTCAATACCAATCTATCAAATCGTAACAGCGCCGGCACTAGCCCTCGATTCGGACTCGTTTATTCCTGGCTTTATTTAATCGTCAAAAATAAAACAGGACAGCGTTGTTTAAATTACGATGTCCAGTCAGATACCACAAGTTTCTGGGGTGTATAACGTCCTGTTATAACGTTCGACTTCCCGTACATAGGAGGAACACGATTGATTGTCGGAAGTTGAAAGTTCGTTCTCTTTTTATATTATTTCATTTTGTGTTGGCAATGGCAAGTGACTGCCAATTCTATGTACTGTCAATGCATGATCTTCGACTCGTCCATAGTGACCAGTCTTAGCCAAGTGGTAAGCGTGACAGTGCAGAAATCTGTAGCAGGTTCGAAACCTGCTCTTTTTCCTTTTACCACACACCTTGACATTTACTCATGGATGGTTTCATTGCAGGCTCATTTTAACTTGTCTTAGCTAAGTGGTTACCACAACAGAATCAAAATCTGTGTCTCTTCCACGTGTGCAAGTTTGAATCCTGCTCTTAGAACAACTTTTTCCCCTATCCAACACGCCTTGAAGTTTCTCTCATGGATGGTTTCCTCAAAGGTCCACCTTAACCGGCCTTAGTCAAATGGTTACCGGAACAGAATCGAAATCTGTTTCTCTTGGACTGCGCAGGTTTGAAACCTGTTGACGATAGTTTTTTTTCTATCAGAACACGCCAAGATTCACTCATGGATGGTTTCCTCGGAGGTCCATCTTAATTGGTCTTGTCCAAGTGGTTACGGCAACAGAATCCCTGTCCTACTGGAACAGAATCAGAATCTGTCCTTTGGCCCGTAGGACCGAAACCTGCTGGTGCCAAGGTTTTTTTTCCCTATCGGACGCCTTGACATTCACTCATGGATGGTTTCTTCGTAGGCTCATCTTAACTGGGCCTAGTGGTTACCACAACAGAATCAAAATCTGTCGAATGATAGTTTTTTTTCTCTATGGGAACACACCTTGTCATTGACTCATGGATGGTTTCCTCGGAGGTCCATCCAACTGGTCTTAGCCAAGTGGTCACCCCAACAGAGTCAAAATCTGTTTCTGCTGGAGTTGGTTCGAAACCTGCTGACAACATTTTTGCATTATATAGATCCTCTGGAGGTCCATCCCTACTAGGCCCAGTCATTGCGCTGAAACTTCTTTTTTTATGTGATAGTTCATGAAAAGGAATTCACCTTCATGCCCCGCAGGGGTCGTCTCAGGAATATGAGATATATCCCCGAGGTACGTACGTGCCAACCTTGATTACAGACAGGCCAGAACTGTCGGAATTCACCACTAAACCAAAAATACCAATGAGGTTGAAAGCCAGAAGAATGCACGCAAGCTAAAGACAGCGAGTCTGACAGTCAGGAAAATGTTGTTACCTCCCAGCTTCGTTGAAGCCGCATCGACGGACGGTCCTTCAGTCGTTGTCTCTTCCAATGCGACCGAGGATGACTTGAAAGCATAATTGAAAGTGGCAGACCGAGCCATATCGTTCTGATGTGTGTAGTTTGCGTGCGCTCCCGTTTTATGTCGATGCCAAGGCGGAACAAAAATATATTTACTTTCGATTGCCACGGCAAGACCTAGGCACCGGACAGAGAGGTCAACCCAAAACTCTAGAACACCCCATAACGGAAGGTTCAAGACACCATGCAGGAGTGGCCCACCGAGGCATGCGTAACGGAAAAAAAGGGGCTCACGAGAACAACTTGACAAGCCTCTAATAAACAAGGTGTCAAATGATTGTAACCGAAAAGGCCAAAACGGGTGTAGCCAGCAGAGGTTTTGGGAGATGGGACACTGGTCGCATCAGCGGGTTGGATTGTGTTACAGAGTGCGCTCTGTAGCACTCTGTAGTGAATTGCGTTTCCCTGATGCTGGCTGCATTGGTAGAATGTCAGGCAACTTCCAGTATTCAGCGGTATCATTTTACATCTATATTGCAGCCTGAGAATCTTCCTCGATAATAACGTCTACATGGTATCATCCAGTCTAACACCGACTCACTATTTACACCACAAAGCATTAACTTTATTCCCAAATGTCGAGTTCAAAAGTCTACGGAAGGAGTAACCACTTCGCAACAAGCTTCGGGAAGTTGGGGGTCCCCAGTCCAGTGACTGGGTCCCAGCCAGGAACAGCAGTGTATCCAGCAGTGCCACATCCTTGATTTCCACCCATGGTGATATCATTGAAAATGCCAGTAAAGCTAGACGAGTAGATCTTCATTTCAACAGCTAGTGAGAAAAAGTAACTGTGATTTGAGGCAGACACTCACAGTTGGATTAATAAATCCTATCGGGCTCTTTCCAACTGCCAGGCGGGCATCGTTGACCATCGTCAAGACGGATCCACTGACTGGGGAAGAGCAAGACGTTCCATAAACCAAACTAAATGTACCATCAATAGCAACAACGTAGTTCTGTATAGTATTAGCGTCGGCTGGTAGATCTTCGACGATGAGAACTTACGGCTCCATTAGCAGCAATGTCAGGGTAGCCACGGGACTGCAATAGGAAGTCGAGATTAGATGCTGTCATTTGCAAATTCTACTACTCGAGCAGCACGCACCGTTCCTGAGGCGTTCCAGATATCGGGGGGATACTGAGGGTAATAATTTGTCAGATAGTACTCGACCGCGGTCTTCTGGTAATCAGGCATCGCAAAGTAATTGCTGAAGCCACCTCCAGAATAGATGACTTGTTCACAGGCCCCTTCCGGCTCATAGACCGTCGAACCAGGGTTGACCTGAGTAGCGCCAACAGATGTGATGTAGGGGCAAGTTCCTGGGAAACTAGGGTTGAAGATCGTGCCGTTCAGGGAATAGGTTCCTACGAAGAATATTAACATCTCGCCACAAGCATGCCGAGAAAACTCACCGTTAGGCGTCAGACAGTAGCCATCGTTTCCAGCAACTCCATAGTCACCAGAGCTGTAGAGGACAGTGACACCCATCAAGCCAAGTTTAGCATACTCCGCGCATTGACGGGCAGTATAGAAAGGCGTCAGATCAGCTTCGTTGTACGAATAAGATGTCGAGATAACATTAGTAGGGGCTGCAGTGCCGCAATCTTCAGGGCCCTCGTAGCCTCCGCCGTATGGGTCAGGGTAAATGGCGTCTTGAGTTGGATCGTCTCCACCCTCAAAGGTGCAGTACGTGCCATCGATTGCGTCAAGGAAGTTATTAAAAGAGGCACCTTCAGACATTTTCAGCAGTGTCCTAATGCTACGCGAAAGCACTCACCCTCTACCATATCTCCAGCCTGATATAAGGTGATTGGCTGCGCAGCGGTGACGAGGTTCATCGAGTACTCAAGGTCAAGATCAGATTCACCGTTGTAGTCAAAGCCGGTGTATTCGGTTTGTGCATAACCTGGTGAAAGGGTAGCTGTCAGAATTCAAAGAGCTGTGATTCTGACGGACCTCCATCTATTGATACCATCTTGGGTGCAACTCCAACAAGGTTTTCGGAGAAATTACTTTGGAACATATCCAGGTCAGTTTGCAGGTAGGCCTGTGGGGTGTATTCCACTATTTACCGAGTCAACTCGTGTGCCCAATGTCATGCTGTATAACTTACCGATTCCATAACTGTTCTTGTCACCTGCCAGCGGCTCGTAAACCAATCCATACAGAGCCCTCAAACAAACTGGGGTTATTTGTTGATCACAATCTTCCAGCTGATTCAGGAGAGTCTGGATCTCTCCAGTAGTCTTTGGGTAAGTGCCCTGTCCTGGCTGTCCAATTGAGCGCGCAGTCCCGTCGGGGGAAGTGGAGCTGGAGCGCTTCGAGATTTTGGCGTCAAAGTGTACAGTAGGGGTCACGAAGTCAACATGAGACTGGACATGCTCAGGCAAGTGGTATGAATCGCACGCTGCATAACCGGTAAAGTTCACGAAATGATAGGATCAAGAATACTGCTTACCAACATGCTCTTGGCCGGTTTCGTGACCGTACACATGGTACTCAGTCTGCAGGAGACGCTCAGCCTCCTCTACAGTGGCTTCGACTTCGATCCAACCTCTGTTACGAGTAAGCTTGGCACGGGAGGAATCAAAACCGTTCTCTTCAAGCCAGGTAAGGACGGTTCCAATACTTTCACCGCTAGGCGAAAACTTTCTGAAAACTTCTCCGGCAGTCCAATGTTTGCCAAATTTCGCAGACTCTGGGTGAGAGACTTCCATTAAGTAGTCACCAATCGCGTCAATGTTACTCTGCTTCAGAGCAAACCGCAGAGGGATGGTAGCCGCATTGTCGTGCTTTCGGTCGTATGACCATCCAGCGGGGATGTGCCCACGTCTCTCATGAACGCGGTAAGGCGACAAGAACGAGTCGGCAGAAGCCAACAGTCCGAGAGCAAGAGCTACAAAGGATGGGAGAAGACGCATGCTGATGATCTCAAGCGCACCCACCAAGAATGCTTGCCGGCAATTTATAGCATCAATAGGGGGAGACTGGTACTTGAAACCCATAGAATTCCAGAAAGAGATAACAGGACAACCATGCGGGCAGTCGCTACTCGCGAGGGATCCATATGCGCTATAACGCCTAAGAATATCCGTCAGCCATATGTTTAGCGATGAGTTGAA